CTAAGGCTCGTGCTAGTTTAATTTTACGCTTTCAGTGTCTTTGCGTGATGATAGATTAGAGACAAACCTCAAAAGATATCAGAACAAGCCTCATAAAAAGATTCTCTCAAATGCGGCAAGCTGAGGCCACCTTTAGAGGTAATTTTTGATTATATTCTCATCAACGCAACAATCTTTATTACTTAAACCGCCTGTTGTTGAGACATCTGTTGAGATGACTTTTTCTCTCACTGGTGAAGAAACATACGCGTGTGATCTATTTCAGTTTGGTAGATAATTATTTACCGGAACAAACGAAAGAACACTAGGCTCAAAACACAGAATTGCCTAGGTAATTAAAGAGGTATTAGTTAAATAATTAATTTTTGGAATATCGAGGAGCCAAGAAGTAAGTTGGGAGTGTAAATGAGGAACACATCTGTGTACACGAGTACACTGCTGCTAAATTACTCTCCTCATTAGATTATTATTTATCTGTGACTATATAACTAGATACCCAGGGAAACCTACCGAAATGCTGAAGCTAGTGTGGCACGGGGAAGGGAGGGGGGGGGGGGCCGCCAAACTGTTCTCTTCTTTAGATTATTAGTTATCTGTAGCATTGTGTAATAAATAACTTATATTATTAGATACCCGGGGAAACCTACCGAAATGCAGGGGTGAGTATGGGGGGAGCTGCGGCCAATTCGTTAAATCTTTTGTGAGTTCGCTTCATTGAAAAGAAACTAATGTTCAAAATGTTAAAACAACTTGGCTTATTGGACTTTGCAAAAATAGAATTCAAGACACCAGATCATGTTTAAATATATTTCATTTAAAAAATATTCAATTCACGACATCATAACCGACCAGTGCCCAACATTTTCTAGTATGCGTCTTCCGGGGCTGTGGTCAACTTCGTGGCCTAGCAATCATTGACTACGTAAAGCTATCTGTTGACACGTTAAAGACAAAGGAAGAAAAAAACAGCAATACAGAGGCTGTCGCATTTCTTTCGCTCTTGGTGCTGTAACATTTTAAATGTTATTACACTTCATTTTCCAAATCAAAAAAACGACAACAGATACCTTGCTCTAAATCTTGTTCAACCAAGAAATAAATGCAAATTCAAAATATCTACAACATAAGCTAACATGATGCAAGTGGTTGCTTCTCGTCATGAAAAAAAGTTACATGACTCAACTCCCATAACAAAGCATAGACGCTCTCGAGACGCAAGCAGCAATAGGAAATAGAATGCAATTACTTTTGCCGGGCGCCCTTCGATATCTTCTGAAAAACTGGTAATAAGTCGTGTTTTCTTTATCTTTTGGCTTCTCTTCTCTGCCCGAATAATTCTTTCTGCAGGTTTTCGCACTTTCGAATATGTGGCTTGATAGAGACTAAAAAGCGCGCATAAGGCATTTTTGTAATATGCTGCTCTAAATGCTGTCAAAAAACTAAATGAGAAACGTTGTATTTGAAAGCTTCACTCAATTCTTACCATTTGAATTTCAAATATAAGATGAAAGTGATGAACTTATTGCATTACACAGAAAACACTATAGATACCAGACAGAAAGAATTTACTTTTGTGAACTACCCAGGAACAATACATGCATTGTTTTATGTTGGCGTGGTTTTGCAGGGAATTCAACGGAAATCAGGTTTTGGCCATGGGTTCTCTGTCGTTTTCACCAATTAAGGCTCGTGCTTGTTTACTTTTACGCTTGCAGTGTCTTTATGTGATGATCGATTAGTTACAAACTCCTGAAGAAGAGCAAGACCCATAAAGAAACTCTTAATGCGGCAATCTTGGATCGCCTGTGCAGGTTTCTAAACCGCCTGTGTTGGCCCATCTGTGGTAACGGCTTTTTTCACACGAAAGATACGTTTGTGCAATGCAAAGATTACCAAACCGTTAATGATCCCGTTAAACTTAACTTTCATTAAAGGTATCAACTGACAGACTTTACGAAAGAACAATACATGCATTATTTTTTGTCGTGAAGTTTTGCTCGGAATTAAACGGAAATAAGATTTTGGCGATGGGTTCTCTGTCGTTTTCACCAACTAAGGCTCGTGCTAGTTTAATTTCACGCTTTCAGTGTCTTTGCGTGATGATAGATTAGAGACAAACCCCAAAAGATATCAGAGCAAGCCTCATAAAAAGATTCTCTCAAATGCGGCAAGCTGAGGCCACCTTCATAGGTAATTTTTGGTTATATTCTCATCAACGCAACAATCTTTATTACTTAAACCGCCTGTTGTTGAGACATCTGTTGAGATGACTTTTTCTCTCACTGGTGAAGAAACATACGCGTGTGATCTATTTCGGTTTGGTAGATAATTATTTACCGGAAAAAACGAAAGAACACTAGGCTCAAAACACAGAATTGACTACTTCGACCAAACACCACTGAAGTAATTAAAGAGGTATTAGTAAAGTAATCAATTTTGGAGCCAAGAAGTAAGTTGGGAGTGTAAATGAGGAACACATCTTTGTACACGAGTACACTGTTGCTAAATTATTCTCCTCATTAGATTATAATATATCTGTGACTATATAACTAAATACCTGGGGAAACCTACCGAAATGCTGAAGCGAGTGTGGCACGGGGAAGGGAGGGGGGGCTGCTAAACTGTTCTCTTCTTTAGATTATTACTTATCTGGAGCATTGTGTAATAAATAACTTATATTACTAGATACCCGGGGAAACCTACCGAAATGCAGGGGTGAGTATGGGAGGGGGGGGGAGCTGTGGCCTGTTCGTTAAATCTTTTGTGAGTTCGCTTCATTGAAAAGAAACTAAAGTTCAAAATGTTAAAACAGCTTGGCTTATTGGACTTTTCAAAAATAGAATTCAAGACACCAGATCATGTTTAAATATCTTTCATTTAAAAAATATTCAATTCACGACATCATAACCGATCAGTGCCCAACATTATCTAGTATGCGTCTTTCGGGGCTGTGGTCAACTTCGTGGCCTAGCAATCATGGACTACGAAAAGCTATCTGTTGACACGTTAAAGACAAAGGAAGAAAAAAACAGCAATACAGAGGCTGTCGCATTTCTTTCGCTCTTGGTGCTGTAACATTTTAAATGTTATTACACTTCATTTTCCAAATCAAAAAAACGACAACAGATACCTTGCTCTAAATCTTGTTCAACCAAGAAATAAATGCAAATTTAAAATATCTACAACATAAGCTAACATAATGCAAGTGGTTGCTTCTCGTCATGAAAAAAAGTTACATGACTCAACTCCCATAACAAAGCATAGACGCTCTCGAGACGCAAGCAGCAATAGGAAATAGAATGCAATTACTTTTGCCGGGCGCCCTTCGATATCTTCTGAAAAACTGGTAATAAGTCGTGTTTTCTTTATCTTTTGGCTTCTCTCCTCCGCCCTAAAAATTTTTTCTGCAGGTTTTCGCATTTTCGAATATGTGGCTTGATAGAGACTAAAAAGCGCGCATAAGTCATTTTTGTAACATATTGCTCTAAATGCTGTCAAAAACACAAAATGAGAAACGTTGTATTTGAAAGCTTCACTCAATTCTTACCATTTGAATTTCCAATATAAAATGAAAGTGATGAACTCATTGCATTACACAGAAAACACTATAGATACCAGACAGATAGAATTTAATTTTGTGAACTATCAAGGAACAATACATGCATTGTTTTATGTTGGCGTGGTTTTGCAGGGAATTCAACTGAAATCGGGTTTTGGCCATGGGTTCTCTGTCGTTTTCACCAATTAAGGCTCGTGCTAGTTTAATTTTACGCTTTCAGTGTCTTTGCGTGATGATAGATTAGTTACAAACTCCTGAAGAAGAGCAAGACCTATAAAGAAACTCTTCATGCGGCAATCTTGGATCGCCTGTGCAGGTTTCTAAACCGCCTGTATTGGCCCATCTGTGGGAACGGCTTTTTTCACACGAAAGATACGTTTGTGCAATGCAAAGATTACCAAACCGTTAATGATCCCGTTAAACTTAACTATCATTAAAGGTGTCAACTGACAAACTTTACGAAAGAACAATACACGCATTATTTTTTGTCGCGAAGTTATGCTCGGAATTAAACGGAAATAAGATTTTGGCGATGGGTTCTCTGTCGTTTTCACCGACTAAGGCTCGTGCTAGTTTAATTTTACGCTTTCAGTATCTTTGCGTGATGATAGATTAGAGACAAACCCCAAAAGATATCAGAGCAAGCCTCGTAGAAAGATTCTCTCAAATGCGGCAAGCTGAGGCCACCTTCATAGGTAATTTTTGGTTATATTCTCATCAACGCAACAATCTTTATTACTTAAATCGCCTGTTGTTGAGACATCTGTTGAGATGACTTTTTCTCTCACTGGTGAAGAAACATACGCGTGTGATCTATTTCAGTTTGGTAGATAATTATTTACCAGAACAAACGAAAAAACACTAGGCTCAAAACACAAAATTGACTACTTCGACCAATCACCAGTGAAGTAATTAAAAAGGTATTAGTAAAATAATCAATTTTGGAATATCGAGGAGCCAAGAAGTAAGTTGGGAGTGTAAATGAGGAACACATCTTTGTACACGAGTACACTGTTGCTAAATTATTCTCCTCATTAGATTATAATATATCTGTGACTATATAACTAAATACCTGGGGAAACCTACCGAAATGCTGAAGCGAGTGTGGCGAGGGGAAGGGAGCGGGGGGGGAGGCTGCTAAATTGTTCTCTTCTTTAGATTATTATTTATCTGTGGCAGTGTGTAACAGCTTATTTAACTAGATACCCGGGGAAACCTACCGAAATGCTGGAGCGAGTATGGTAGTGGGGGGGGAATATACCTATGATGTATTTTACGGAGCTGTGGCCTGTTCGTTAAATCTTTTGTGAGTTCGCTTCATTGAAAAGAAACTAAAGTTCAAAATGCTTATACAGCCAGTCTTATTGAACTTTGCAGAAATAAAATTAAAGAAACCACATTATGTTTAAATATATTTTATTAAAAAAAAAATATTCAATTCACGACATCATAACCGATCATAACAAAGCATTATCTTGTATATGTCTTCCAGAGCCTTCGGTCAACTTCGTGGCCGAGCAATCATCGACTACGAAAAGCTATCTGTTAACACGACAGAAAGACAAAAGGAAGAAAAAAAACGGCAATACAGAGGTTCTCGCATTTCTTTCGCTTTTGGTGCTGTAACATTTTAAATGTTACTACACTTCAGTTTTCCAAATCAAAAAACAACAACAGATACCTTGCTCTAAATCTTGTACAACCAAGAAATAAATTCGAATTAAAACATCTACAACATAAGCTAACATTATGCAAGTGGTTGCTTCTCCTCATGAGAAAAGGCTACATGATTTAACTCCCATAACAAAGCAGAGACGCTAGCCGCAACAGGAAATAGAATGAAATTACTTTTGGCGTGCTTCGATATCAACTGAAAAACTGGTAAGTAGTCGTTGCTAGATTTTAAACTTAAGATTGCACACGGAAGAAATCTGAGCTGTGTAAGCGCTGGGAAAAGGAGCGCTCATCTCACAAACGTCTGTGCTTCAGTTACCTAAGAAGTGCATTGTCTGCTTTGGTATGAAAACTACACTGATCATCTCTAACTACGATGTGCGATGGGCTAAGTACTGCTATGTGGCTCTTTTAAAGGACGCGTGTTGAACTGGATAAATACAAAAAAAGTGGTTTAATGCTAACACTTAAACAATGACTTGAAAATAACGAACTAAGAAACATTCATAATCTTAGCATCGCTTAAGTAGACCAGAGGAGGGCCTTCGAACGAGTTGCCTTTCTTCGGCCGTTTCAAAAAGGAATGTCCTCATTCGTTCGGATTAAATATGATGACGTCTTGTTAGGAGGAAAATTTCTGTAGTCTGTTTAGATGTCTTGCAGCTCTATAGGCGTGCCAGAGCCCTAATGAACAAGCTGAATTTGATTGAAAGCTGAATTCAAAAGGAAGTTAAAATACAACTATGCTAAATTACCAAATTCCGATCGTTTGAAAAGCAGACAACTTTCAGCCTGTTTACTGCTAGGCCTCGTCAAAGTGCAATATTTCCTTTCCCACTGAAAAGAAGGAGTGAAAACTGAACATCAAATTCCTAATAGCAATGAATAAATAAGATACCATAATAATTCGACTTAGCGCCCTCGTTCTATTAAGCGCCGCCTCTCTATTGAACGTCCTCCCGAATTTGTCATGTTTTGTTAATAATCGCCCCTATTCTAATAAGTGCCCCCATTGACTAAGCATCCTCATTTCAATGAGCGCCTCTATTCAGTGATAGCACCGTTAGAGTACATAAACATTGAGATCAACCGTGGTTCATCTTCGTTTTACTTCTCACTTAGAGCCTCATTATCAGAAAGCTGTCTTTGTCTCTGAACCATGATGTCCACGTGAGAGCACAGTTCCTTCAAACGAATGACCTCGTCTTAAAATTGCGGCGACAGCTTGGCTGGTCGTTACAGCCAGGAAGGATCTAGGCCGGACAACAAGTCCGTTTTCCAGTCTCCTTGATCTTTTTCAAACAAACATCAAAGCTTTGTTTTGTATAATCTGCTTGTTCTCAAAAAATAATCAAGCGCTGTGACCCTGATAGGCACCTTCCCTTGAGGTACCAACAATAGAGAAGCACCCTGGGCGCTAAATCGAATCATTACGGTAATTGGAAACATCAAATTTAACATAAATCGTCGCATTAAAACCTGTCGGATTATATATTCTGTACGAGAATCAGTTTTCACATGGGGAATGGTCATTATTGACCGCCTGCCGGGGTAGGAAGATTTTTTGTTTCTTTTTTTGTTTTGGAGGAGGGGGGGATTACATGGTTTTCAGAGTAAACGGAAGGGGGGTCAGTCGTCGCTAAGAGAGTATCGAGGAGTGGGGGGGGGGTATCAGAATAAAACAGAGCTTAAGGGGGTGATCAGGTTAATTTCATTGTGACACTTTCAAAATCTCTAATCCGATGCAAAATTTTTTAGGCGATTTAAAAGGTGATTTGCATAGCTAGCCCGACTTTGGTAGGGCTAAGGGAAGGTAAACAATCTTTTCTGAGGTTTCATAAATGTTTGCAGCTCTTTGCGAGATGAGGACGAAATTTAAACCTAAGCGTCATAAACAACTTACTCGAAAACTACTGCGTATCCTGTCTGTGCCTTGATCGTAAACGGTGCCTGAAATACAAGACTTATCTTCATTAAACTATTTATGCTCATATTTAAGCATTTCGCACTTTAATCAACTCATTCTAGAGGTAGTTTTCAACTCCAGCATTTAAACTCAAATGGCACACCTCTGCACCATATTATGCAACAGCGATAGGCTGTAAGACTAACCCTCTATATAAGTGCTATACTTAAGCCAATCTCTCTAAAATCGTATTTAGAATCAAGGTATATGATCCCTAGTAGGCAATGTTACGTGTGCCACATGTATAGCGTGCAGAATGCTTAGGTGGAGAATAAATTGATAACGCATGAGATGTTTGCGTGAGCAAGAGTGGTTATCTCGTGATCTTTATTGTTCCCCGACAACAGGGATCATTAGAAGAGCTTATCGAATGTCGTTGAACCAAAATCAAAGTAATCACAAAGACCAATAAAAAGAAAGAAAAATATCATAGGAGCCAATGAAAACGCGAAGCAGTAAAAAGTGAGCTGGCTAAAGCGCGGGAAAACGCAGGTGACCAAGTTTTGTATTTGATTGGTTGAGAGATAAGAGCGAACTTTCTAGATCAATTACAGAGCGTAACAAAGAAAAACCAATGTAATCTTGGATTGATTTTGATACTTAATTGGGAAAATTGCTCCGATAATAGCTAAAGACGGATTAGGGATTGTCATAGGAATAAGATCTGTACGTATAGATGTAGTCTCCAAATCTGATTCTTTTTTACCAAACTAAACCTAGGTTTACCTACCGTCGAATAAACATGCAGACGGCCCATAAAATCCCTCCAGCACCTGCTGCGAATCCGACCACACCAATTATCACATAAACCACCATGGAGTCTAAAGATAACCACAAAGATCAAATTAAGCAATCAGAGTAACTAAACGAAAAGGAATAAAGGGTGTGGGGCGATTGCAACTTAACTTGGTCTTATCAACTGAGTTGTTAGTTAGAATGGCTATTGTAAAGAGTAAAGATGACGTCATGGACACCGACTCTTAGGATACTTTCGTGACGTAGAAAGGAATGAAAAAACGCATCTAAACAAATCGCTAGACGCTTTAATCTCCCAAAACGTTCAAAGCAACATATGGCAGTCTGTGGTCTTTCTCTACACATAGGAAGTTCCGAGAGTTCCAAAAGTTCGGCATTCTTTTAATCCCCACGGCATTAACGAAAGTTTTTCATTCAAATAATTCAATCTTGTGTTTACGTTATCATGTTCCTGCCAATATCGTGGCTCCATATTATCTGCATTTAAAACACACACACACAATACGCAATTCCTCTCTTTGCTCTGACGAAGAGCAAACCCTCGAAACGTCAGCTTTAGAAAATCTCAACGGTAGCCATCATGGTACGAAAGATGCCGAAACGTTCAGTAAAGCACGTTATTCTCAGATTCTACTCACGTTTTTCAACTGGTCTTTCAGCGGTACTCTCGAATATAGTGGAGATCTCTACGTCGCCATTCGTTGAGGACGTATCACTTATTTTACACAACGAGGGTGAATAACAGACTACAGAGAAGCAGTTCTTGTCAACCATGTAAGCGACATTACAACCCTGCTGTGCACAGCATCGATCCATACACATATGCATATCACTGAAGCAAATAACAGAGATAACTAGTAAAAGATAACTGTATGGAGGAGTGGGTGGGGGGGGGAGGGGGGACGGGGTGCACAACTCCTTTTGGATTAAATGACACAATTCTTGTATAACCGTCAGATATCAAATCGCAAGCTCTTTATCATTCTCTTACATCCAACCCAGTCTCTCCGTATTTAATTTTAGTGGGGTACTGTGACATAAACTCCCCAAGAAAACACAAAATCCGTTGAATTAAAGTGAGACCCACTAACCAGCAAACTTCTGGCCACGATAAAAAGGTAAAAACCTTTTGCTATAGCAAATAATGATGGATGAAGAGACGCAAAGGACAAATGAACTCTAAATCGAAAGGTCCAGTTCAAAGCGAGGCACGGTCATATTTACAGTCAAGCTTCTTACCCTCACAGTGCCTGCACCCAGGAGTAAAGCATACAATTTAGGGAAGGAAGCAATACCCCTTGTCGCTAAATGCCAAAGAAACCGAGGAAACCTTCGGAAGTTATCAAAAGCTCACTTATGTCCAGAAATGCACGCAGTAACGAAAATGGCAGATTTAACGACATTTCGTCAAACCGACTGAATGTTGATGGATTTGACGATTTTAGCGAATATTGGTCAAATTCGTCAAAGCAAAATCAGCTTGGCGTATTTGACGATTTCGACGCATTTTCCCCATTTTCGTTACGGCAGGCATTCTGGACATATCCAAAAGCTTATCGGTAGTAATGTTGTGCAGTCTTGTACGCAGACTTAAGAATATCTTTGTTCGCGATAACGAAGTAAAGTTGGAAAAGAAAAAAAATTCAGTCGGTGCGCAAAGAAACCTTTTAGTGGAGAGGTTGAACAGATACGCGTCTCACTTTATGCCTAGTTGAGAGCAATGGTCTATCATCGTGCTAAAGCTAAACAGCTGTCGTTAGAGAGTAACTTTTCAGAAACTCACATTTCTCGTTCAGGTACTAAGCACACCATATATTTAAATATTGTCATAAAACTTTTAAATGAACTGTACCTGACGACTCCCTCAAAACTGAACCTTCCCGCTTCTAATCCTCCAACTAAAGTCTTATTACTGAATATCTTGGACTGAGACTTTTGATCTGCCCGACATGTCGGCGTCTGGTCGCTAGCGGAGAACATTGTCCCTAAAATGGGAGAGGGAGTTCGTTTTATGATGTTATGCAACATGATATGTGTCTTTTCAGTATCACATCTCCTTAAAACCTATGATCCTGTAATTTGTAATTACCAAGGTTCTCGTCAGGTGAAAAGTGCTCTAAAAATTTTACACGAGCCACACAAACCTTTGTCTTTATCATTATAAAATCCCCTTGAAACATAGGACACTTTTGGTTCAAGGTGAGACGGTTTGGCCAACACAGCTTGACATAGCTTTTCACTCTGACACTCTACAGAGTAACAGTGATCTCCGAACATGAAAGCGAGGTCACATGACGTGTCGTCACAGCATTTGCCGATACAGTCTCGCATCGACAGCACTCCAGACCTCTCGGTAAAATTTCCTGAAATCAAGGCGAAAGATGTGTCGCAAGTCAATTCTAAAAGTTTATTAGCAGTTAAAACATTCTCAGAAAGTAAAGCCTGAAAAAGGGAAATACCTGCGTCAATCCCGCCACGTAAAGTCACGTTGTAGGTGATGGTGCTGTCGCGACATTTGTCTTGAGCTATGTCGTTGTTCGTTGTAACTACAAATGTCGAAAGAGATGAAAGATTTATTTCTTTTCTAACAAAGAATGAGAAAATATCGTTTGAATGAAAGACGATGTATCTTAGTCGCACGCCTTCAAATAACACTTAATTCTAATTAACATGATTCTACCGACATTTGAATGAAATGTTAATTACTAATCAACAATATTTACTACATACAATTGTGATTTAGCATCAACTTCTTGATAAATTGTGACCCTCTATGGGCAAATATGCACCAAGGTGTCATGACACGGTACATTAAGTGTGCCAAAAATTTGCTGACATGCGCATATTTAATAAGCAAACAAATGGTAAAAGCCGAATCATTAGCTGATATCTTGAGCTAGGTCTGTGCATAAATTGCAGAATCGTAACCTGCATGAACTTACCAAGAGAGCTTATACCAAACTGCGAGTTCTTTTTGAGAAACGAAATTGCAGGATTCAAGTTAAGTCGAGAAATACTTGATCCAAAGATAGGGACAGTCTTGCAAAGATCCGCGCTGTAACAGCGCACGGCATAACACATGCTGCCTAACATGAAGGCAACGTCACTCCGTGGTTCTTTACAGCTCATCTCTATGCAGTCGTCCATGGAGTCTACTCGACCGACTTTTTGAAAGACTCCAGAATGGAGTCCCATTTTAAGGGTGACGTTGTACTCGATGGGTGTGGCATCACACGAATGCGCCACTTTGACAGTTGGGTTTGTGGTTGAATCAGCTGAAATTGTAGACAAATAGATCTTTATTTATCGCCTGGGGAGAGAGTGGAAGGGGGGGGAAGACTGGTCTCTCAAATAAGTAATTTTAAGAATCTATTCTTCTATAAAGCTAGATATTTTGGGTATGTCTGGCTTAAGCAGAGTGCTGGGTGAAAGGGAAATTTAAGTTCAAGTGGCCAGGCCTTGAATATATTTGAGACTGAGATTAAAACTATATGGTTAAAATTTATTTCGAGTGGAATGCTTAACTTCATCATAAAGAGATCTAAAAATATGTAAGGAGATACAAGTTTGATATTCAGGTGAAATGTGACCCCATAAAATGATTATATGGTTAAAGTGTAATCATTTTGTTATCTCAGTCACTTCACAGAGTTGTAAGTGTGCCACACTTTGCATCATTCCGCAAGGGACATAAACTGAATGCGTACGTTAACAATACCATAGTGACGAGGCCAGATCGGGTAGAATCAGCTGTCCGTAGCTGATAACCTGGTGGTTTTAGTTTTCATCATTTTTTGGTAGTTACGACCAAGTATACCGCTATCGCCTTATTGCGCATTTTTTGGCTGCGAAATACATCTTTGATCATCGTTACTGCAGCTAAATTAAAATTTCTTCCTTCAGGAAAAGGACATGTTTTCAAAAAGCGTACAAAAGTTCATAGAAGAAAGCTGTTTCACAACCGAAATAACACTTTTCCCGAACTTGTTGTCGAAATGAAAAACTAATACAAATGATAATCAGTACCTTGGTGAACTTCTGAAATTGTTGATAGAGTGGGAGAAGGAGAGGTGGCCGGCGTCGGGGACGAAGATTGCGACACCGATGATGTCAGCGGAGTTGTGGTGCCTGGCGTTGATGTCATGTCGGTAAAAATACCTTTGACGTTATAATTTCCTGTGAACAACAAGTGATGGTATCGATATCAATCTCAGTTTTTCAGGAACGGCCCGTGGTTAGGAAAATGTAAAATTAATCTGTACTCGAGTCAAGTGACCCGGCCAGCCGTAGCTCATACCGGTTTCTATAGCAAGAGGTGACTAGGAGTTTTATTACTCCCCCCTGGATGGGACGCCAGTCCATGTTCAAGTCACCCTCAACACTTCATCAAGGCTTCCTGACAATTCGCCGGTACCCGTTCATACTCCAGGGTGGAAAGAGGCAGAATGAAAGTATGGTGTTTTCCTCAAGAACACAACACAATGAACCGGCCGAGTCTCTTTCTCGACCTGGTACCTAGCTCACTAACTCGTAGGCCACTGAGTCTCCTACTACAGGTTAGGAAACCCCAAAGCCATCTTAAGGCTCGACGAATGTGGTCTTTCGGTAATAAGACCACATGTATCTTACATGTTGAGGGAGAAGGGGAGTTCTGGATGTAGGCGACGTCGATCCCTTGCACGGTCGCCCCAAGTTCCTTCGCCCCAAAACAAGTTTTGCCTCCCCGAAGTATGAGGTAAAAGTTGCATCACTCACAACTTTCGACCTGAGTTAAATTAGGATTTTAAACGTATTTGACATAAGTTTTCAAGCTTAAATTTTTTATGTCCCGGGTAAATTCTTCAACCAGCGATCGCAATGCTGTGACTGCTTAGTAACCAGAGAAAAATATCCTAGGCAAAAATATCCCGAACCGACCTTAGGGCGACCGCGAAAGGGAGCACGTCACCTGCTACCGTTCTATTCCTTCCACTGGACTCAGATTTCTTCTTTGTCTAACACTCGTGACAAAATGAATATCACATTTACTCGACAAGGTCTTTCTTACCTTGAGGTTTCTTCCTTATGGCAATGCGAGGAAGATAATGAGTAGGTCGGGCCTTTCTCGGCTCACAAGCCCCATTACTGTTACACGAAACTGAATAACAATCGTCCTCAATCATAAATGCCAAATCACAAGAGTCACGCTTGCAACAGAACTGCATGCATATGTCCATGTTAGTGGTCTTCCCGTTATCACTAAATGTCCCTGCATTGATGCCCCCGACCAAAGTGTAATTGGACAAAATTTCACCGTCCCAGCACACGTTCTTCTGTTGAGGTGACGCTGTACAAGAGAGAAGGAAAAAGAGTTTCCGTTAATGTGCTAATTTGTTGTGGGTTTTTGCGTACATAAAGTAGTGGACGGTCAGTCATGGTGGAAATACCTTGTGAAGTATGAGATTTCTGTCTGTGCGTTAAACGTAATCTTGCATAGTCAGCAAATCTGTCTAAGTCTGCGTTACTCAGTGACTTCAGGGCGTCGTTAACGTTCTCATAGTGATGTGGACGTTCTTGGTTGTCATCATCTCTCCACTTCCTACTGTGTTTGTTTTTATTGACAACTTTATGAAGGAATTTGCGGAGAAGCACCTTCAAAACTTTGTCAACAGTCATGTGATGCGTATTTGATAGCGCGTGAATAAGAGATGCGCTACCATACGTCTTATCGTGTGACGCTAAATCGTTAATAGATGCGACGTGGTTTGTTTTGGGAGAATTCATCTCCTTCATGAACACACCCAGAATACTCCGCGGGGGCGTTATCTGAGTTGTTTTAACTGAGTCTACTTTTGTAACTGGCGTTGCAGTGGCAATTGTCTGATCTTCACCATGAAAGACTGGCAGAGCGTACACATTCATTTGTCCTCCCTCAATGTTCGCTATAAGTGTTTCAAACCGCATTTGAGGCGTCGTTGGCGTAAACATGTCGGTAGAGAAATTTTCGTCTATGATTTTACTCATTGATTGATTGTCACTAGGGAATGTCTTCACAGACGTGCTAACTTTATTGCTTACGTCATTATTTGCGTCAGTGTTTACGTCAGTGTTCACGTCTTTTTCCACAGAGAAGTCAGTGCCATCACCGTATTTGTCATTCACAGGTGTAAAGTTTACTGCAGTCTGTTTTTGTGGCTTCTTTCCATACAATAGGCGCCTGATGATTTTCATGAGAGCCTTAAGTTTTGGCCGGTTTAACACTGTGGAACAAGGTTCAAGGCAAATATACTTTAACGAATAAACTGAGGGAGAGTTGAGGCATCCAGCAGCACCATCTGATACTTTATTGAATGTTTGGAACAAAATGAACGTGACTTCAAATTAAAGACCCAGTTTTGACCAGTATACATTGTGCGCGGCGTTGGCTATCGGCGGCCATTAACTCGGCGTTAATTATTGCACAAGCTTCGGGAAAACATTGCAAGCCTCGTTTTCGTGAAAAAAAACCACAAAAACAGAGGCGCGCGATGCATAATGGCCAATACTGGGTCTTTAACTCTGTTAGCTAAGTGGTCTATTGCAGTTAGAACCTATCCTGGTTTCCATTTCATATAAGGTTGGGGGTCTCGCTACTTCTCATGGCTGCTATGCTATCCCGTGGTGGGTAAAAACCCAACCCAGCATTTTCTTTCTTATGATCTATTAGAGAGCAGACGCATAGATAGCGTCATCATTAAAAATTTGCTTCCTTATTATATAAAACAAACAGATTCCATGTTTCTGAGGGCCTTTACAGTAATGCATCACAGAATGCATCAAATTGTGGTAAGAACCCAGTGACACACTCGTCTGCGCCCCGTGGGCCACATTTTTGTTCTTACTATAAATTTGACGTCAAAAAACGCAATCTGTTTGTTAATTCTATACTCTTGGGTGGAGAAAGTCTGTGTATGAGTAAAGTGTTTTCACTCAAAAAACAACTCTGTCACCTGAACGAGGCTCTAAACTGGAATTCTCGACAACATTTAAGTGTGACGCCCATAGTGCGACTTCTCTATTTTCTTGAGTCAATAATCTACGGATATAACTACGAAATACAAACTTGAACAGGAATAATCCACAAACTTACCTTTATCTTTCTTTGTGTCGTGATACACATAAACAATTCGCGGGTTGTACCTTGCGGGATTTCTTGCGGGACGTGACTCGCACAGTGATTCATTCAAGCAGCTCACACCGTAGCATTCGTTTTCAAGCATGAACGCTACATCGCAAGCGCCTTTCATGCAGCACCGCTGTGTGCAAAGACTCATATTGTCAGCGTCGCCAAGATCAGTAAACTTTCCTGCGTTTATCCCACCAACCAGTGTGACGTCATTGTGAACTGCGCTTGCGCGGCATTGAGAAACATCTGAAGGTTTGGGTTTGTTGGCTTCAAAACAAAAACAAAGGGAAAATCAACGCATGTGCAGTTGAGCATGTACACTGAATTAAGTAAAGAGGCAGAAGTTCAGAAAGTTGTCGTAATTACCTCTCAGTTTTTTGCGCATTAAGTGTCTAGGAGAATGGCCGCTCTCTATCAATAGCAGTGGCGTATTCACTAGGAGGGACTGAGGGTTTTGTTTCCACGTCTATCAAGAATTGTAGTATTTTTACTACTAAGATTCTCGCAACGACAGATCGCATATTACCGCACAACGAAGGGAGATGGGTATAGATTTATCGAATAATTTGCCTGGAAGAAACATTTCCGTGTTTTCTGAACCACAGTTTGGAATCCTCTCTCCCAACTTCCCGCCCCCCTCCCATTATAAACTCCTGGATTCGCTTAACTTATGAATTGACTCATATATTAATTTACAAGCTTCCTATCGCTTACATTTGAACTTTTAGTGAGGCAAAAAAGTCTGAGACAGTTCTTTCACAAATTTTGAAATTACAAAAACTCTACTAACGGCAACATAAGATTCTGTTCTCACCTGAGACAATCTCCTTTGTGTGCTTCACAAACGCTATCTGTGGCTTGTAAAACGGTGAAAACGCAGGTTTTGTGAGACAGAGAGCATCACTATAACACGCCACGGCGAAGCATTGCTTCCCAAGCATAAATGCTAGACTACAAGTTTCCATTCTTCCACAAGCGCGCACGCATTCGGACATGTTCCCGACTTTCCCTTTGTCGCTAAACTTTCCTGTTTTAATGCCATACTTCAGCGTTACATTGTACAGAATTTCACCTGCTGTATAGGTGTTCTTGTGTGGCAAGCCGTTTTGAAGAGTAAGGTAGTTTTCTTGGATTTCAGGTGTTGGCGACGGCGAAGTGGTGGGTGATCTTTGTGTTCCACTAAACGTGGTTGGGGTGAAATTGGTGGATGACGGGCTTGAAGAGCTTCCCGTGGTCGCTGTGCTGGAGGTTGAGCTTCCCGTGGCACCAGAAGGAGAAGTGAAGTTGTTTGTGCTTTCTGTTGGCTCCACTTCCAAGTTATCTGTAATACAGGTACCTTGGTTTATTATGGAAACTTGGTATGGACAAGAGAGCGAGCCATATTCATCGGAAAAGTGAGAAGTTCTTACTATTGATTAAGTTAACAATCATCTTGCGAGGTTGTTTTTCAAAGCTTTTATGTCTGGTCTCAGAAATCAAATTTTGTTCGTCTTACAAAGTTCTTATGAGGTGAAGTTTGCACCTGGTCTTCAAGTTAGTAATTTTTTCGTAGATAGTGAACAAAATCCTCTTGTTGATAGACTATGAAACTGCCAACAAATCAAAATTATATGTGAAGATGACGATGAAACAAAACATAAGCGAAGACATAGGGCCGTGTGGAAAATCACTGAAGGTGGATAACAAAGAAGTCGTTTTCGTTTTGTTATCAACGTTGAGTCTCGGGTAAGTTCCCTATGGGAAATGCGTTTGATTTGATTTATCTCACCTATTAGTCTATATACGCTATTGGCATAAGTCCCACCCAGCCCATCGCTGCATCTCCTTGATATTCCATACATTTTATAGTCAATTTCAGCGCGGGGTCCACCAAAGCACATTCCTCCTCGCTGAAGAGCGAACACAGGATAGCCTCGCTTTCGCGCCACCTCTCCGCACTTGCGCAGTGGATCGAGGCGTGATTTGTAAAAATCGTCTAATTTTTCATCTGAGTGCTCCATTACAGGCAGGGCATGGATACTGGAGTCGTTCCAGCAACCGAGCGAGATGTAACCTGAAATTTAAATTGAATCGGGGAGCGTTTATAACTGAATTAAAACCTCTGCGTGTAAATTACATCAATCTTTCTCTTTAATACTCACCAACATCTGTCAGTCGGTAGACATCATTGGCGAACAAGCCTCCCTTTCCTGCCTTACAAGATGATGATTCGCCAAACTGGTTAAACGTTCTTCCCGCTTTCGGACCGCTTAGGCAGGCTCCGCCATTCTGGATGGCAAAAACTGAGACAAGCAAAAAAAAAATCATTGGTTACAACTTATAGCAATCTTTCTTTGCATTTCAAACGTTGGTGTACATTCATATAAGTTAATTTCAACACAGTGTCAAACCAGTTTAAACAAGCTGCTAAATTTGATTACCGAGCCGATCAGAATACTAAAAATTTATTGCCGCTAAGAACGCTGAGCATTTGATTGAGATGTTTACGGCACACTGTCACCGACATCAAATTTAATTTAGTCCCCCTCCGCCCGATCACGAGGAGCTAAACGGTAACAGCTTACCTTTGTAGTCGTGCTTTCTTGCTACTTGTGCGCATGTGTCGATTGGCTTCTGTCGTGTGAGATAAGGCTCTGTTAGCAGAGGATCTGCGCCTTCCAAAGGGGAAACTGCAAACGATTCCGTGTCTTTCCAGCAACCTAAAGACGCATACCACCTGTTGGCTGTAAAACACAAAGTAGGATTTGGAGAGTCCAGTGAGACTGTTGTCAAACGAAACTCAGTTCTGCATTGGTTTCGCTTCTCTCTGCACGCTTCGATTGCTTGAGAAAGCTGGCCTTACCCTCTCAACCAACCAGACACTTAAAGTAATCGCAACTCGGTCACTTTTGTCTTCCGCGTTTCAAACATTTTCGCCGTTGGATTGACTTTGGTGTTAGTTTCACCTCAATCGATCGAATCGCACTTAAACCCTAACAGTAAGCATAACATGTCTCAAACTTTGGTATCCCTGAGTTGAAAAAGAAAAACAAAGAAATAAGTAAAACGGTGACTCGACGAATTAAACAAGTTAAAATAATACCTGGAATTTCGTCATCGGGCGGACTCCAATTCACGTAAGCCAGTCTTGGGTGATAATATTCAGAAAGCGCTGGTTTTATTTGGCACGACTCATAATCTTTACACGATACTAAGAAACAGTTGTCCCGGATTAGAAAAGCCACGTTGCATTGTCCGTCTGCACAGCAATAGGCTGAACATTCGTCCATGTCCTTGACCACGCCTTTGTCAGTGAAGTTCCCTGACTTGATTCCCCCACGAAGAGTCACGTTGAATATAGTGTTACTGACGGACAACTTATCACAAGCGTCTGAGTTTGGCTTTTCAGCACCTGGTAAAGGATCTGGGAATAAAGAAATAGAAATAGCATTAAGCGAAATAGACAAAAGCTCATCATATCTTGCAACCTCTAGAGCTGATCGTTCTCTCCGATGGCAGAGTCAAGGTTTCGTACTCTCAATCCCTATACCCAGGCGAACTGGTTGACTACAATATGATGAATACTTAATTGGTATCTGATTACGTTCACCCTTGTTGACTGTACGTTGATCGATATGGGAAGCCTGGAAGGGAAAGAGGAAAGGCGAGCTTCTTGTTGCAGGCTTGTGACATGTATTAAGAGAGGTTCACACATATTTTACTCCCGGCGGAAAATATAAAAATGTGACTGATATTAAGCGGACAACCACTCAACAGAGGAGAAAGCGGCATAATTAACCAAACAAGGTTTTGAAGTCAAGGAAGCACGCCAATTACCAGACTGAAACGACATTTCTGCACTGGATAATACGAGAGGGCAGCGGAAATTACCGCAAAAAACCATCCAGGCAGGTAAGCTGAAATGGAGTGTACTAAACTTCAGTAACCATGAAAACCTTATTCTAAGCGAAAGATTCAGAGCTTAACAATTCCAGAAAATTAAGAGTTGCTTGAGGAAATGATGCTCTGGGAGATGCCTCGTAAAAATATACTCTTTACTTACCCCCTATCGGTCTTTCATTGCCACGGTACACGTATGCCACAGTAGGGTTATAAGAGGAAGGTTTTGCTCGCTTCACCTGACACCCCTCCGCATCCGCACATTCAACTGCGTAACAATTTCCCTGGATCATAAACGACACGTCGCACTTGTCGTCACGGCAACAATGACGTATGCACTCATCCATATTGCGGGCTCGACCATACGTGCTGAATTTTCCTGCGTTGATCCCGCCGACCAGAGTAACGTTGTAGCTCACAGCCGTGTGGTGACAAATCGGTTGGTCCTTAGCGGGTAATGTTGTTGGTTTGGATATACTTGAGGTGATAGCCTTGTTGTAAGCGCTTCCATCTACAGGCAGTTCTAAGGAAAAGAAGAAATATTCAGTACCAAAGCTTCTGATCAATTATACTAAGTTTGATGGAGATCACCGTTTATAATATTGGACAACTTTATTCAATGTGCTTACATTTTACAAGCTAAGTCGCTGGTCACTAGAAGTTGGAGTTAACCTTGAAACTATGAGTGACTTTTGTAACACTGTGTTTTAACACCATTCTGTCGATGTCTATTAGACGAAAGGATTAACGTACGGTGGATATATATCAACATGCACTTGATCATGAAAGGAAAAAAACACTTTGAGCTTCACACAGCGAGCAAAGTGACATGCCGCGCGTGGAAGCGAAATATTTATCAAACCACTCACTGCAAAATTGCAATTGGCATTTGAAAACTAGAAAATTTAAGCAATGATTGATATCCAGAGGGCGAATACATGAATAGTGTAAACGTCGCTTAGAAGCTTTATTTACTTTTTTCAGCCGTTCAAACGTTCCGTTTTTAGGAACATCTGGAATCAGAGTTTAGAATTAGAAGCCAGTCTTGTGAACACCTGGATTTTGGTAACTTTCGGATTGCATAATGATTTTAGATATATGAAATTTATATATTTGCACTGCGGTGAAGAAACGAATTTAAGAGATCCTCGCAGCTAAGAACACTACTGAACAAGTAGTTGAAAATAGGACCTGAAAAAAATTCAGGCCCGAACGGGATTTGAATCCATGACCTTTGCGATACCGGTGCAGCGCTCTACCAACTGAGCTAACAAGCCAACTGGGAGCTGGTCAATATGTTGGGACCTAATAAACCATCCAGTTAATGAATAATGATTTTAGATATATGAAATTCATATATTTGCACCGCGGTGAAGAAACGAATTTAAGAGATAATTGCAATTTGGGATTGCAATCATCGCATATCAACTTACCTGGCTCGGGTGTCACCGACAGTAAGTGTGAGACAAAAGTGATACTGGGGTTCATATTTGAAGGTCGCGCCCGTTTGGTCTTACATAAACTCTGATTGGTACATCGCACCAAATAGCACGAGTCCCGGATCATGAAAGCCAAGTCGCACGACTTTCGTAAACAACAATGTTTCGTGCACAAGTCCATGTCGTGCACGTGCTTTGCCTCAGAGAAGATCCCGGATTTGATGCCGCCAATCAGTGTAACATTATATTCGGGTCTTGTTACGGCGCATCTCTGCGAGTCGTCAGCTTGTGTAGGTGTGGGTGGTTTTTCGGTTTTCTTGGTCTGGTGGACGGTTTCTAGAAAACGAAAAGTAATATCATTCAACCATTTGGTGTTTTGCCTACTGCGGTCTGTATATGTCTTATGCGTTAGTCAAATCGAAACTTCAAAATCCGTTCCCCCGGGTAACCCATAGGCATTTGACCGTCGTCCGCGCCCCAGGGGTGGGGAATTTGAATCGTTTCTGGGTGGGGTGTGGAAGTTGAGCCAACTAAATACATGGGTCTCGATTTTAAACATGGATGACTTTAAAGATAAAGAGTCCGCTTTCGTGAGTTAGTGACTTAGAAGAAAATTTTCACACCGTAGAATTATGCCTAAAAGCGAAAAAAATACAAACACCAGCATCAAAAACTAGTAAGTGAGTTTGCTAAATTGTACAATATTCGTTGATCTAAAAGAATCGTTCAATAAAAAAACGTGCTTGAGTGCGGCATTTGAACACAATTTTTGCCAGGGGTGGGGGGGGGAAGGCAGGAATTTGAACGAAACAATCTTCAGAAGTATAAATTACTGGGGGGTTGGCCGAGGGGATGTTGAAGCTTCGAATTGATCGACGAATTAGCTTGAAAAACTGATATACATTTAACTCAAGCGAGGAACACAGTCAAACATCTAACTGACCATGTTCATTTGCTTTGAGGTGTTATTTTGTTCATTCCTTAAACAATGTTTCCGCTTCTCAAAAGAGAAGGCCTTCGGATGAAAAGCCATAAAAACAATCCGGAACCGAAGAAAAGTTCACATGGAGCCATACAGAGGTTAAAGTATAGGCATGGAAAGGCTGACGGGAAAAGACCAATTACAAAGTCGCGACTAGTTTAAGTTTGGTATTTGATTGGAAGTAAGGGTAGAGAGACGTTTCCTGATAAATCAAAAGCAAAGCAATCCCGATTTACTGTGGACGCTCTTAAACCAAAAGTAACCCGGTAAAAACAAGGCCGAACAGCTAATGATCTCATTTACTTCCTACCTGTGTTGTAAGAAATGAGAAAACCTTTCCCTTTCCCTCCCTCAGTGCTGGTAAACTGTACAAACAAATGATTCCCGCTCGATGTTATCCCTGTCGGCCGCTTGGTTCCACAGTAAACCCCGAGTGCCTCCGAATTTTCTCCACTTCCATCTCTAACAATAAGTTTGGCATTTTTGCACGTCCCGTCTTCATCCAAACTGAAGCGTTTAAAACTAAGCGTGATTGTCTCCCTCGGATCAACAGACAGATGCCATGCACAAGTGGTTTTCCCTTTATAGCTTCTAGGCCATTCCGGTGATTCCAAAATTCCTTTTGGACCGTTAAAAAGGCCGCCGCAAACTAAAGGGAAGGAAAAGAGAGAGATCTCAAGTAAATCAATACTAAGTATATAAACTGAAAAGGAAAAAAAGGACAACTGGTTCTGACTTACCCTTTTGTTTTTATCTTTATGGAAAAAGGTATACAGGTTTAGAGCAATTTTCAATTGCGTAAAAAAGTAATCTGGGTTTCCTTTGTTTTTTCTTTATTTCGCTCTGTGATTGGTCCAGAAAAACTTGCGTCACTTTCTCATCCACTCAGATGCAAAACCAATCACGCCTTCGTCGCCCACGTTTTTCCGCGCTTTAAGCAGTTTGTTTTTTTTTAGTCTGAGTTCTCATTGGCTCTAAAAAGTATTTTCCTTTCTTCCGACCGGTCGTTGGGATTACTTTGGCGTTTGTTTTTTTACGAAACTCAATCGAAAAGTGCCCTTAACACCGTGACTTACTAGTTTGTGTGGTCGTATATAAATCCTTTGAAATAACTTGGCTCCTCGGCTTTCAGCCTAAAAATACGCATCTTAGCCGTAACAACGATAGCACATACACAGACGTTTAACCACCGTGTTACTACCCAATTATCTCAGACTAACCTCTTTCAAAACTGCATACTTTAATGAGTTTTCCAATTTCTTCCTGCGACAAAGCCTTGTTGTAAATCCTAAACTCGTCCACCTCTCCCTGGAGAAACCTTTGGTTCTTGTGTTTTCCGATTCCCGCATGCGCATCCCAGTCTTGAGACAGTAGACCCTTCCCGGCAGCCTCTGCTTTTAGTCCTCCATTGACAAAAATCTTAGCGACACCAGTGTGCGCGTCATACGTGCCGACTACATGGTTCCAAACATTTGCAGGAATTATTGGATCTGTAGAAAATTGAAAGGGTAAATGCCTCTATTTTTTATTGTGGACATGCATGCCCAAGGATATTTGACGGTCTCTGCATAATCAGCTCACACTTGTAGCCAGGAAAAGCTTATCAGTGACCATTGTGATATTTTTGGCCATTTGTGAGCATTGGACTTCGCAATGGTATATTTACTCAGAAAGTTTTTCTTTCTTATTATTTTAGCAACTCATTAGCTCGAGAAATAAACTCATAGACAAACGCTGACCTGCTTTTTCCCTTGAGCATCAGTCAAAGTCCGAACAACCCTTCCCATTCAGACGACATTACTTGAGCTGGACTTTCGAACAATCGTTAAGGAATAGAAATACCCGTCATGCTCCATACCGCAGAACCTCGGAAAAGACACTGCTCCAGATAGACTCATATAAAGTAGATCAAGGTGAGGTCAGTGAAAGGTTCTTAAAGCAAATGTAAACTTCGCAGCAGTACATCAGGCGTACTTCATCATACTTACGCAATAACTTTTTTCCGCCAAAAGAACAAATTATCCCGCAGAAGAAGAAATAACAAAGAGCTGATCTTGACGACTCATTTGAGTTGTCAATCGCCGACATACCTGTTTCAACGCTGAAGATTTTGATCCCAGTTTCATTCCTGTGGAACCACCGAACGCTGCCATCTTGAATTTCGAAATGATATTGTCCTTGTTGATGCATAGAATGGCCACCTACTGTGTCGAATATCGAGTGATAACCCTTGTTAGAATCGAGTTTTATCCATGCTGCAATGCTTACGGCTTGACGGGGTTTCATCTGAAGAGAGATTCCAAGATTAAAACTTAAAAGAAAGACATAATGTCTATTCTCCTGATATATCTAACCCAATAAAAATGTCGAGAAATTTGTTTGCCCAAAGAGCTACTCCATTCTTTGTCCTAAGTCGCAGCGAGGAAATGAGTTTACATCGTCTCCCACAGTATTTAGCACTTTTTTCGGCGAGACATGAACAATGTAAATTTGAAGAAGTTAGCCCGCCTCTTATGTAAATGCCTTGTGAATTCATCCGGTATGTTGAGTGATTTAAAACTACTAAAATCAGCGTGTAAGTTCTCTAAAAAGCTTAGCTGCAAACTTGTTTGTATAGCGCAACTTGAAACAACTGTTTTATAGTTACGAGAACCACCTTTTTAATCCCATGCAAAAGTTTACTTGAATACGTTTTCTTTCGCAATGATGCAGAAGACACAAGGTAAACCAATCATGTTTATCACTTCAGCTTTAAGTCGTTATTAGGTTTGATGCATCTGCAGGAAGCGTTGATGGTAATAAGACAACTTGGAAATTGATGAGCATAGATAACTATAAATGGCGTTTTAAGGGGGGTTCAGTCATGAAAACCAGATTAAGCACAGTTTGAACGCGACGTTTGAAAAGCTGTTCAATCTATCATGACCACAACAACTAACGATTATTGGTCATACTCTAGTCCACTTTCAGCTTCAACTTAAAAAAAAAAAACTTGCATATTGTGCAGCCATCTCATTAAACCCATTCACTGTCACTACATGTATTTACCTTCAACTGCTTGCCGTTGAGAAGTATCTCGCTTCCGTTGTTAAGCCTTGCAACTTTTCCACATGATCCGAAAAACTTTGTGATCTCTGTTCGCTTGTCCGTGCCAGTTACATCTCCATTTAAAGATGCATACGTCGCTCTACCGTTTTGCACATTCTCTAAATCCAAGTACAAGACAAGCCCTTGCGGAACGCTTGATCTCTGTGACAAACCGTTTTCAAAATTTAATAGATTGTTAAGATTCGCAGTAGGCGAGGATAAGGGCCATTCTGGATTTATTCTTGCCCCCTCCCGAAAGAATGGCAATGGTTTGGTTGGCCTCATTTGAGAAAAGGAGGTGATTCGTGGGTTGCCACCTGCAAGCGCTATCTGAGATTTTATAAACTGGGGCTGATAATTGAATTGATGTCCATAATTGTAGAGGGCACGCTGTGAAGTGGGAATAAACTGCTTTTTACTCTGATCATCGGTGTTCTGTAAGCTACTTCTCTGTTGCTGTCCAGCTCCGTATTCATATCTCACTGGTTGTGGAACATTCGAATGGCTAGGTACAGGGGCGTTTTGCAAAACTGTGCGCCAGAGAGAAGCAATTTGTGGTGTCCTTAGCTCCGATTTCAAAGTCATAGCTTGATTACTCTTTGGAATAAAACTCACTGTCGATGCAAGCGGATAAAGAGCTCTGTTAATGTTAGAAACGCTCTGTCTCCGGTTTTCAACTGCACTGTATTCCTTAGGAACTGAGGATAGTTTGTTCGGATTCAGTGATAGAGAAGAACTTTTTGCCCCGTATACTACTGGATCATACGTCGCATGAGGAATTACATTTCTATCAACAAGAGCCTTGTTGTAAGAATTTATTGTCGCACTTGGTGCCCTCCAATCTGTTTCCTTCAGGAACTCTCCCTTTATGACCCCATTTAAGGGAAATGTGGATGATTTTCCTGGAAACACACTTCGAGGTTTAAAATGTTTCTGTTGGGGTGTTTGCCGGCCTTTTTTCCCTTTGTGTTCTTTCAAGTCGCTGGACTGTGCCACGACATCGTCCTGTCCCAAATTCGACTTTCGTTTGAATCTCAGTAAGACTCGTTCACCACCAAGACGAAAAGGAAGATGCTGCAAAGACCGTCTCTTCATCATAAAACGTTTTTGTTTAAGTTCATCACTATCAGAAACGGCAATGTTACGCTTAAATCTCCCTAAGCTTCTTTCCTGATGCTTTAAACGTGTACGATGATGCTGACCGCTGGTAACCTTGGAAGAGTATTTTCTCCTTTTCTTTTCGCTTGAATTGAAGTGTGTTTTAGCTATGTCCCTTTTACTCTCTCGTTCATAATGTGTCTGAAGCTTTGACCGATCTGGTTTATTTAACGATAGTTTCAGATCTCTCTCAGCTCTTCTTTTGCCACCTTTCCTAGATCTTTTCCCAGTAGAAGCTTGTTTTTTGGGACTAGAATTACCACGAGAGGTTTGTAAGGCACTTCTAAGCTTGTTTATATCATTTAAAGAACGCGTTAAATCATATATATGAGTGACATTGTTAGAAAAATGGGTAACATTTTGTGAAGGAATCCGCTGGGCTTTAATAGTCAACGTGACATCAGAAAAGTTTGCTCTTTCGAGCGGTATTTTATTAGACACGCCTGGGGCTTTGGCTCTCGTCGAACGCCTTCTGATTTCTTTTGCGGAAGAAACACCCAAACGACGTTTATTTTTAAGGTCTTGTTTTTCTGAGGATGATGGTGCATTGAGAAGGTGGATTCCATCTTTTCCGGGATCAGTCAGATTCGTTGAAAGTGGAGAAGACGACTGAAACGAATCGTTGAAGAAAGCTTGCGAAGGGCCTGCAAAAAAGGTGGCAGAACATAGAAGTTTTCGTGAGATCTGGGCAAGAGTATACAGCTTCTGGTCTAAGCCTCGGGATATGCCGAGCTCAGTTGAAGTTACCTATGGTCTCGAACGGCGGTCTATTTACATTTAAGTCGGCATCAAGGCTAACATTGACCAAATACAAGCAATTTATTGATGAAAGCGGGAAAATTTGTTTCAAGATAAAAAGTACATTTGAAAAAGAATGAAAATATTAATTTGGGAACGCATATTCACATTGGGAGCGTCTTTAGAAACGGTTTTCCCCTTCTTCGTCAGAACTATAGGACTAACTTTGGTGGCATCGACTTCATGCCAGCCCTGGTTTCCCCCTCTGAGCCTCTCTGTTCCCTCATTTTTTCGACGTCAGAAATAACTTTGGGAAAACCTTAACCCTTTAACTCCCATCAGTGACCGAAACAGTATTTCTCCTTACAATATAATACAATATTTAGCAGACAAGTGATGAGAAAAAAGAAAAATATCAACTAGGGGACTGTTAGATGATCCGATGCCAAAATTCCTCGAACTAACATCATAAGATTGCAAGGCAGACAAGAAGGAGAATTGCTTATGTGATCTGAGGAGTTGATGAGTTAAGTTCCGTCGCGTCAAAAAGCTTTTTGGTGATCAGTTTTGTCAATCTCTTAATTAGCGCTTTCAAGGATTGCCGGCAGGGATTGACTTCAGCGGTTAAATGTTTAACGACCTTGGCGGTTTGTTAGTCGATGATATTTCTCGCAAAAATTCAATGAAAACCACGCCTTGATCTAAAAAAAGAGATAAGTTGACTTCATAACATCAAAGATCACAAGGTTCTCAAGGTACACGCCTCTCAAAAAGGTGACATGTCACACAATCCACTGAAAGGGAGCCAAAGGATTTCCCCTGAAGATTTTCAGGAACGTCAAACAAAGACCTTCGACCCTCACTATTACCAATATTCTTTATGCAATGAAACTAAAAGCTTTTTTACATAAATCATAAAGATATTTTCATGTGAAACAAAACAAATAAAGGAAACTGTATTTCGTCCAAATGAGGAAAATATAAGCTCACGAAAGGAAAACGAGATTGTGATTCAAAATATGCGCTCGAAGGGATCTATTGGGGCGCTTTACTTGTTAAAAGAAAAAAAAAAAAGAAGTAGCTCATGATAAAAGCATGGATACAGTCCTTAGTTCGCCCTCTTTAAATCTTAATTAGTTCCTCTTCATCCCAAAGGAGAGAAAGGACTTTTCCAGCCATTTTCCAACTCATTCTAGATGGAACAACTTTGTTTCAGCTAACTTTTGATTTTGCCTTTTGCTGATATAAATGATTAAAAGAAGTTTTTTTTTCATAGAAAAAAGGGTCTTTCATACATGAATGACATCCACTCACAACTAATTACTTCCGCAATGAAAACAGCGCAAACTTACACGAATATTTGATCAATTCCGACATATTTTATGTACGAAAGAAGAAACCAAAATCACTAGAACACATAGCTTTATACAAAATTGTGTTGCTCTAACGTATATATTTGATGTTCCACAAGTAATCTCTTCGTTCACAATTTCAAAACTTCAACAATCACAAGTTATCTTCGGACAATTAACTTAACTTACTAACCGTATACCGAACAATAAACAAACAACTAGTTTTAATTGACGAAGCAAAAACCTGTCGGATTTCGACACAGTAAATTGAAGAGTATGATCTGACGATCTTTCTTTTGACGCAAGAATGATATCCTTTCATTTCATTGTAATTGCTAGCTTCCAGCGAAATTGCGCTATTTCTAATGATAGTTTCTTCATTCTTGGAGAGTTTGATGGAACTTAACGGTGGAAAATCGCAAAGACATTTATAGATGCCCAACAAACGAAACACGCATTAGCGAACCACAAGTCTATTATAAAAGATACTGAGAACGAAATTTCTGCAAAACCAATTTTTTCTTAAAATTGAACACTTGTCTCTTTGTCCTCGAACCCATGGCAGGTTTGATATGGGGCATTCTTTCAAAAGTGGGATTACTGCGAACGTGAAAATTTTTCAGGGATTCTCGCCTTTGAGATCCGGTGATCAGGAACATGGGTCGACACTTGACTTAGCAGGTAGCTTTTCTTATTGTTTATGTAAACATAACTCGAAGGTCAATTTTACGAGAACACGTTGCTTTATCCTTACAACTGGTTTCTAAATCAACAAGGTATATTTCAAATCAAAAATAAAACAGCCGATCTAGATCAAAAGGCTACTAAACCTTTTTTGCTTTCGAAACCGGTTTTAAACTCGAGCATTAAATTATTTAGAAATACCTGTCTTCGAGGCGTGAACCGTGAGTCTTCTCGCTTTTTGAACTTTAAACAGAGACAAACGGAAATTATATTCCCATTAGCAATTACAGGCGAGCCATTTCCCTTTATTCTAAAAAATCAAACTTTGACGGGGGATCGTCAATATTTTGGAATGAATTTTGTTTCGAAGACCCAGAAAGACGCTGTCGAATTCGTAAATTCGTAAGATTTAGAGTGTAAAGTACACAATTGCAAGTGAGACGAGCGTAAAATAAATGTTCACTTCAGAGTAGTCACAGAAAGGTTCCAGTTCTTTATTGATGGAATTTTTGGTCCTCTTTTGATTATCAGATTAATGATAATTGAGGAAAAGATTGTGTAGATGAAAATAATTAACTAGTGAGAGTGGTTGTTGACACAAGTGGCCGAGAACAGTGTTCATTTTCAGCAATTCATACAAACGTTAATTAAGTTAACAAAACTGAAATGTTGGTGAACTATCACGACAGTTTTGTTTGGCAAAATTCTCCCTCTTTAATAAAAGCTTGGAGAAGGTAACTCACTCAGGTCTCCGAACTGTTAGAGGGACGAATTTAACAAACGATTCAATATCATTTTACTACGAGCGTAGAGGTTTCTACCAGAAGTAAGATCAATACAAACACAAGCAAAACATTTCAAAAGGATTACCTTGTAACAGGCCGACTGACAAGATGATAAACCAGATGCGTTTGATACGCGAGATTCTAACGCTCCGGACATCTCCAGAATTCCCCACTCTTATGCACATTGAAAATCGACCATTCGACAAGACGGGACTTTCCAATTTACCATGGATGCAAATCAATGTGTTATCGCTCCCCGCGACCAAAACTTTTACAAATCCTTATGGCCACAGCTGAGATAAATTAATCAATCATGGTACAAGCACTCCAAATCTGTTAAATCTCGCATCGGGGTCCGAGTTTGAAAATCGCCGCGGAAATAGGAACAAAATAACGATTGCTGAGAGTTCCGTGTACCAACTACAATTGGAACCCATCTACAGGCCTGCTTGACAAGCATTTCCATGACATCACACGGCGAGAATTCTGGCAGTTTCAAACAATTACGTCATTGTGGCGAAATTCGCGGGCTTGTCGGCGCTTAAACGAAAAACATTCACACTTTGTAGCTCTAATAGCAACATTCAAGATGGAAGTGGACCAAACCGAAGGCGGATGTGTCGCAATTCGGCTCACATAATGGAACGGATTCATATCTATGGCGTGGACAGATTAGTCACATTTCATAACGTAGATGGAAATCAAACTGACAGGGAAGATGTTGAAAGACATTTGATGGCACTCAACCGTTAAAAAAGATAACTTTTGAATAGTGTAACAGGTGGAATATTCACTAGGGCTCATCCGGTAAGCTGCGTGAAAAAATATGCATCTTTTTTCTATTAATTGACCTAAATCATCCCTTTCTATTTTGTCGTCACGAAATTTCGTTTCTTAAATTTACCACTTTTTCTGGTTTGCCGTAACATCAGGTGACTTTATCCAAATCTTTACCAAGTAATTTGGAAAAGTTCCTTGGAAATCGTATGACGTTCGTCACTGCACGTCAAAAGTGACCATTCATATTGCTTCTACGCCATGTTAAGTTGTTTTATCCCACTGTGTGCATGTGTCACTGATATCTGTCAGGCGTGGTTTGAAGGCGCTGGCAACGAGTTTAACAATGAAGTAATACCCCTGAAATTGATGACTCAATATGATGACACGGTGTCATAAAGCGCCTTGCCACTGACACCCTCTTGTTTGCACTCGGCTATATCTAATAACATTGACATCATATGAACTTCAAAGTCTACGGGAGGTCAAGTAGATCGTATTAGAAAGACATCTAGACAGGTGCTTTCAACGACGGTTGACCAAAAAAAATTTTTCCGTTAACTTCTTTTTTCACAGTTTATTTAGGTTAAACCGAATAAGTCATTAACGCAATAAAAACTCATACAAACGTACTTTTTACAATGAAAGCTAAAGTAACTTTCATATTCACGCACTCGAATTAAACTTTGCTCTCTGTCTGAGGACACTCTCGACCCATCTTGAATCTATATACCTTATGACTGAGTATCTTGAGTGAACTTGATTCGTAGACACTTTCGAAATAATTCCACCAACTTAACTTAATCAAATTGCACTCTGAAATATCATGATATTTCCTAAACCCCCCAAAAACCTTGTTTCAATTTCGATAGTTTGCAGGTGTCTGATTAAAATTAAAAAAACAAACAAACAGATGATATAAATTTAAATATATTACGAAAAGAACGAAAAACACGGAGCTAAAATCTAAATATTTCCGTGATCATTTTAGTTTTTTAGGATGACAATTTGAATAGCATTATTGTATTTGACACTTTAAATGGAACTAAACTTCCTCAAGCCAATCAGTCTGTTACGAGCAGGTATGTAGATCGTCTACACCTGTTTTCATGTGAGACGTCGTGCAGAGTCACTGAAAAATTCATTTTCTGACCATTTGAATAACACAGTGGAAGAAATAATGAGAGCTTTAATTAAATAGATCAGAAAAAAATCAGGGAACGTACAGCGTCTACAAATCTACTACTGGACCCCACCTCTTCATACCAATCGACATAGACCATGCAATATCAAGTATCTGTTTAATGCTGTTTGAACGCAACTGGGCAACCAAAACTGACCCTTGATTTTTACGACCATGTCCGTGACTCGCTCCCATGTCCGTGACTCGTTATTTTTTGGAAGTGAGCGCGAGGTGATATGGGGGCCGCCTTCCCGTCGTCCCCTTTGTTGCGTCGTTGCTTGCCACACTCTGACTTGTCTCCAAACCTCTCGGCTTTTTCAAGTTCGGTGGATGTAACGAAAAAAGTGTAATTCCAGCACTCGAAGAACTCTTAAAAGAAAGACTGCGGAAAACTATTGATACAAAATGATTTGTTTAAAGCAATTTTTGAGCCGGTATCAAGTGATGCACCTACGATTTCCTTCATGAAGATTTCTGGCTAGCAATATATTCGAGGCAATCCTGCATTCTGTTTTCGACCTTGGTAAAAAAAACATATTTAAATTGGCTCTGAACTAAGTGGATATAACCGTGAGTTTCTTAAAAACTTTGTGAAAAGATGAATCCTGAATCTCTGAGTCGATATCGTTTTAGAATTTTTTTTCTGTACTAGAGTCACGGGAGAGGACTAATGACCAGGATTACAACCAAAGAAGCGTTAAAGCCACGATTCATTACAGAATTGGCGTTTAAATCTATCAAAATTATCTCGAGCCGCCGGTGACGACTTAAAAAAACCTCAACAACACGCACGCGCATATGAGTGCCAATTACTATGCAAGTCAACACGACGGTAAGGAACGTGCCACAAGTCAACCACGTGAGTTATAATTAGTTCGACATGTAACGGAATACAGACTCTTAATTAATTCAAACAATCCTTTTACTGTCTGAAGTTTTTAGATGTCGCTTTTTTAGACTTATGGCAGAGTAAGGAGGGGTGATGCGAAGACAAATACATATTTTTGCACTCGGAAAAGCCTTGAAAGCCCTCACGGTTGGGTAGCCCCCACAAAGATTATGTCAATTCATACTCAAAAGTCACCGGTCGTCAACTTTAACACAAAGACCGGGACAAATTTCGATAAACTTTGAATAAATGTCCGACAAACGAAGCTGAGGAATTAGGAATTTTTCTTTTACTAAGAGTCCAGCCATGTCACATGTTTTCCAAATTGTGACTGGAATCATAACAGGAAAGATAGCGAGCGTGCGGGACATCAGTTTTTGTGACGAAACAACTGACCTGAAATTGACCTTCTGACCACGAAACGTTTAAGTTGTCATGTGTAAACTGTGGTGTAAATCAATAAACAGAGGGCTAGCCGGGCTATAACTTCAGAACAAGAGAGAGAACCATAGAAGAAGTGACGAAGGCATTTTGTTTCGTATAGAGGACAGTGAAAGAAGCAAGCTTATTACTCCGGTAAGTGAACATTTTCGGTATACAGACGACTCATGTTTACTTTCGCAGCTCAAATTTTTAGTCAGTGCTGACAAAACCCCTTTTTCTATCTCCCTGGAACGCAAGCCTGATTTAATCATAGGTATCTGATATAAAATGAATCGTTTCAGCCGGATTTCGAATCCGAAAGTTAACAAAGAAAAGTTTAGTGAAATTTTGCCCTGATATTTTATATTTTTGGAAAATAACCTATTTAATACCAATATTTAGAGTGACATAACAAGGTTACATTTCTTAAACTGTATTCAAAGTTATGCGAGCCGATACGTTGGCAGCATGCGTGCAATAATCTGTTATTCCTAAGGACACTTCATCTCAGTTCCTTTTTGATTTATGTTCAAATGACCGACCAAACTACTTGAAATATTTTTGCAGGTTTGCATGTGGTTCAGAGTCCAACTTAAGAGAAACAGCATCATGATCCAAAAAAAAAAAAAAACCAGTGAGTTCCTACTCCAGGTTTTTTAGACAGGCACAGGCGAGCATCTGTGAACGCAAGATACTTCCTTTTTTTTCCCACCAATTGCCCGTGGCAATTTCAATTACTATCTGCGTGCAAAAACAGCGAGAACCACAAATAAAACTTTAACTTTCCATCATAGGTAGAGATTTTTAAAATCGCCTATCCAAAATGACCGACTTGGAGTCAGACTCAGTCTCTACCAGCCGAACTGGATGTTTCGGCCAGATTAAAGACAGAATCACAAAAGCACTCTCGGCAGCTGGTGATCGTGCAACCATCCCTGGAATTATTACCAACAACAAGATCACTCTAAAGAACATGGTCATTTCCTTAGCAGTACTGGGGCTCGAAGTTCTGCTTCACTCCGAGGTCTTTGACTGCCCCGTAAAGAATCATAAAATCTATGCCCTCTCCTGGTTGTGTGCCCCACCAGCTATCATTTTCTTTGTCAACCTGCTTATCATTGGAGACATCTGGAAACTTTCCGATCATTGTCTGGTACGCGACTATTCTCAATTTGGCTACTTCTGTGGCCACACTATTCCCAGCATTGTCAAAGCGATGGCAGGAGCGTCTGTATGGTTGATCTTGGCATTTTGTAGAAAGGATTATTACGTGTGTGCCCAGGTAGGACCAGATATCCGCGAGAGAAACGAAACTGATCCAGATGAGCTCAAAGAATACGATATGACCGTAGAGACGGCTGGGGCCGAATCTCAAATTTTCGCCTGGGCAGTTTTCGTGGTCATGGTTTTCTCCGCTTCTGTAGTGGTCATTAGCAAGAATTGTTGTCTTAAGGACCAAGACATCCTAGACGGTAACGCAATTTCCATTTTTATTCTTAATTTACAAAAAGTGTTGTACAATAGCAATACTAAAAGCCCGCTCTTAGAACCGCGCAATCTGACTGACGACGAGGCACTTGTAGTACTCGATTACGCATCATTGCTGAAAATTATGTAACAGAGCCATGACTGAATCTTTCTTGTAATGTGCTCTTATGGTGTCGAGGGGATCTGGCGAAGGATTACGCTGGAAGCATGCATTTTTGCTCAAACTCGTTTGTTTTAAATAAAATGGCGTGGCGTTCCGTAGACACGTTTTAGCTAATCTTAAAAACTTGAGGACAGTCTCTCTCTAATTTTCGTAATATACCAAAGTGTTCTCTGTGGCTTGTCTGTGTTTTTAATATAGAGTGTCTACCGTAACTGCAGCATCTATTCAAGTCATCTGAGTTTACGCTTACTCATGTATATCTTTTCTTAGACATACGCATATTTGAGGAACGGGAGGCGAAGTGGGCTAAGAGGACCTTTACTAAGCTCGCTAAGGGTTTGCGTGATAAAGAAATAACAAATGAAAACGAAACTGCCAACCAGGAAAAGGAGGAAGGAAAAGAGGTAAAGATAACACTCTATCGCGGTGGAATTCCAGAAACATTGGGCGAAAAAAAGGTGATTGAAATGTTTAAAGGTTGGGAGGAAAAAAATCCAAATTGGCATTACCGTGATGCTTACGACCAATTCGAAAAGCTCTATCCTAGAGCTGCTAATGGCAAGCCTAGAAGTAGATGGAGCACAACACATCTATCCCAGCAATTTGCGAAAAATGCGCGCCCAGTGAACACTAATGAAGAAACAAAGCTGCCATTCGAGCAAACAAGCAGAGGTACCACAACTTTGGAAGACACCAGGCCGCCAGTCGACCAAACAAGTGGAGGTAGCACAAGTTTGGAAATGCAGAAGATAACATCTACACGCAATGATGGTATCACACAGGAACCCGCCGAAACAGCCAGACTTATCGAAAGCACTTAATCTAAGCTAATTCAAAGAGGTTTTATGTTATAAATAATGATCTTTTAACATAGCTTCGTAAACCACCATACAAACACATATAACTAATTGCAAAGTAACGAAGTCAGTTCATGTCTCAGATATGATTACCATTGGTGAAACGTAGGTCTTTTATAAACAGCATAAGTCAGCCGGTTTAGATTAGTCACAGAAAATAAACTCCCACGCGTTTGCAAACAAACCTAGACAACAATGAAACTCAAACTATCTTGAGAATATTTGCTCACGAAAAAGAGAAAGAATGACTTACAATTTTTTAAATTTTTAAATTTTTAATTTTTTCAAATGTTTTAAGCTAGAGGACCTAAGCCCATTGGTTATTGTTTTCACTGGAAGTACGATATTAAACAGTTTTCGTATTTTTGAGGTTTTCCTAATGGGAGAGTTAAAAGGCACTCCTTTAACACACTTACCTTGTACGGGTTTTAAGACTCAAGGTAAGGCAAGGAACAATGATACAGACGACAAAAAAAAAGAAAGAAAAGACGATCGTTTCAAGGGCAGTGTTAATTGCGTTAGCCTCAGGTAGATTTTATGTTAATCCATAAACATGCAAAAGTCATAGAACGACCCAGAACCATTCTAATACAAACATGTACTGGTTCATTATATATAGGTGTTGACTTTCTGTTCAACAAACGAAGTTGAAGAATTGGGAACTTTTCTTTCATTAAAATCACAATCAATTAACAGTTGCCACACTTTTTTCAAACCGAGAATCAGAACAGAAAATATAGCGAACGTGCGAAACCTCAGCTCTTGTGACAAAACAAGTGACCTGACCTTGGCCTTCCCACAGGATGAAACGTTTCAGTTGTCATTTGTATGCTACGCATGTACGGACCAACATTAATCGAGCTCATCGAGTCGTAACCTTAGAATTAAAAAAATTGTTCTCCTACAGAAGAAAGTCATAGCTGTGAAGCTTTACAACCGGTACTGAAAGTGATCAGTACACACACGTGACTGCTTTCACGACGGAAAGAGCTCAAAGAACGATTTTAATGTGCGTTGCTAAGATTCGATTTATATCTCTGACCGACGACATTTTCGATCGTTGAGCGAAAGCCTGATTTAAATTTCATGGTTAACTAACATAAATCAAAACATTTCATCCAGCTTTCGAAACCTGAAAACTTACGTGACTTTTGGTGGATTATTTTGAACGATATTACACGACATTCAGGCAAACATAAATATCATTTCATTGATTGCAGATGATACTTGCGATGCTCAGAATTTTAATCGGGCGAAGGACAGGGACCCTTTAGTGTCTTAGAATACAGATCAAATTCTTTCCGCAGAGAATATTTTCTGGGCGAAATTCACATCATCCATCCTCACTATCATTCTGAGCTTTATGACAAATAGTTCATGATTGGTTACATGAAAATAATTTGAAAATGTGCCTGTAGCTATGAGACTCCGCTCGAGTCACGTTTGAATAATGATACAAATTTCAGCCGAGCAAGTCTTTTGTAGAACCTAGTTTTATTGATTGAATGTAAATGATCTTTACAAAATAAAAGAAGCTTCGGTTTTGATCGGGCAGTTTCCACCGCATGGAAGCGATTAATAATATTTCCGTTTGTACTAATCATGCCTCAAGCATAAAAAACCACTGCTTTAACTTAATAACGCTTTCATTCCACTCAAGTTATATCTTACAAATTTGTTACTGAGTTTCAGGTGAGTAAGTTCCTTTGTTTCTGAAGCACTCACAGGCTTCGTATGAGGTCATCTTTGAAACTAAACTTATTATCAAATGCTTTCCATGATTTTAGTGTGGAAAGAATTATCTCTAACCCGTTTGTAGCTTTCGTTCGAGCGGAATGCCTCTACTCAAAGCCAGAGGTGCTTCGAAAATCTCAGTCAAATTTTAGCGAGAAAACTCGTATACAAGGAAACTTGAGAAAATAAAAGTACCCTGGATATGATAATTGTGACGAAATAAGTACTTTCTCAACAGCGCTAAACGATATGTCTTCACTTATTTGACACCGGAAGGATGGGTTCAAATCTACCGCTGTTTGTTTGGGATTCTTTTGGGATTAATTTAAAGTTGGTCTCTTTTAAAAGGATAACGATACTACGATTTTTCCGTTTTTAATTTTTCATTATTTCGTCTCTTTTGTTTCTTTTGGCGTTTTTCATGGGAGAGGAGACAAGCATAAGTCAAGCGTACCGCTCGACCCCGTTCGTCTTGCGCTCGCCTCCGCTCGCCTCGCGTTCGCCTTTGCTCGCTGCGCGTTCGTTATCGCTCACATCCGCTCGCCTCGCATTCGCCTCCACTCGCCCCTAGATCGCCTTCGTTCGCCTCACACTCACCTCCGCTCGCCAAACAAAAGCAAAGCAACAAATATAAAAATAAATAACGCCGTAGGAAGCACTTACTTCGATTTCCATCATAATTGCAGTTTCCATCGTCAATCTAAAATGTCCGCTGCGGGGGCAGAGCCTGGTAATGAGCCACACGTGATCGAACCAGCCCCGGATTCTGGGGGTCAAGATTCTGGGACCCAAGATTCAGGTACCCAAGGTTCTGGAGCTCAGGGTTCCCGCCGTGCATCTAAATATTTCAAAGTTATTAAAGACAAGTTAGGACCTGATGAAGAAACAACCATTCCAGGCATAATCACTAAAAACAAGACCACTTTGACCAACCTGGTAATTTCACTTGTACTGCTTGGGCTTCAATTTCTACTGCATGCCAATATACCTTGGCTTCTGTTTTGTTTTTGTTTTTGTTTTTGTTTTTATTTGTTGTTGTTGTTGTGGATATCTTTTTATTGTAACTGTCAGCGGTTGATATACAATCTACCGAGGCTATTGGTATCTTTCTAAGTAATCTAAACGTGCTTTTATGGTTTTTATTTTCTAGAAATACGCATCTTTGAAGAACGAGAGGCGAAATGGGCCAAGAAAATTTTTACTGAATTCTCTCAAGGTTTGCGCCCTGAAAAAGATCCCAAGGAAAAGAGCACGAAAGACGACAAAACCAAAAGAAACGACGACGACCAATAGGTCAGTGATGCTGATGACAAGAGCGAAGGGATAATCAGGAAGAAACTGTTGACCAGGAAAAAGACAAAGAGAAAGAGGTGAAGCTTACATTCTAAGACAACGGAATTCCGGAGAAATGTGCCCAAAAAATTGTCGCTGAGATGTTCAAAGACTGGGTGGAACAAAAACCAAACTGGCATTACCGTGATGCTTACGACAATTTCGTTAAGATCTATCCCAGGGCTGCCACTGGCAATCCTGGAAAAAGGTGGAGCACGACACATTTATCCGCGCGATTTGCGAAAGGAAGCAATGAAAATTCCAGGTTGTCTTTCCATGGGATCCACCGTTCAGATTACAGAAGCACAAGGTTTGAAATGGAGAATTTGACAGACCAAAGTGGCAAAGCTAACATCTCAAAGGAAGAGCACAAGGAAACCACAAGTTTAATCGTAACTAGTTAATTTGGGCTGAGATTTTCTTTTTTTAGAATGCGGGAACTGAAGAACGACCTCTCCTTGAAACATATTGTGGTCAAGTTAACGGAATCTGGGAACCATAGTGTAACATGGTGGGGGCACTCATAAGCACAAAGCCTTTGCGAGTTAGATCGCTTTCGACTGCGTATCACTGAGGAAGGAGTATTTCATGGAAACCGAATAAACTTCATCTCCACCATTAAAGAGTATATATGAAGCAATGACACTGCACTTATTTTATGCTTGAAATTTCACCTTCGCGGTTGTCCATCGGAATTCAATTCGCTGGTTTCACTAAAGTCCTAGCAAACTATACATCAGAAGAAAGCTTAATAACTGCAGTTTACGATAAATATATAATTTAAGCGACTTTTCCTTTATGGAAGTGTCGGGAGCCGGTAAGGCGTGAAAAGACCGAAGGTTCTTCTATTGAATTTATTGGGTATCGGATGCCGCAGCACGAGCAAAATGGCTGCACAATCTTATTCACAAGGCATCAATCAACGAATGTGTGTCAAGCTTTCTCGATATTCTGATTGGTTGTCTAGATATCGGCATCTAAAGTTGGAGTAGCTGAAAAATATGTGAGGCGTGTTGCGTAAATGTACGCCACGGGACAAATATTTCAAATATCAAAATTTCGCGACACACTTTCGTTTGTCATTATTCCTGGAATGTTTTGGCGAAATTCGACGAAAATCAGTCAAATATAAATACCCTATGAATTCGTTCAAAGTGGTTGTAATCCTTCCAAAATCGAATGCGAGATTTTAGCTCATAGAGGTTCGCAAACAACTCCCGCCAAGCCAGGAGATTGTCTCGCCTCCTGAAACCGCAAATCAATGGGGCAACGCGTTAATGTCGATGGTCAAGATTTCCCGGGGAAAGTAACCCATTGTAGACACTTTTCTTTTTTATCTCGATCGTTCACAGGCGGCACAAACTCCAGCTGTGAGATGATCATCTCGTGCAATAACAGTCATGGCGGAATTATAAGATTTTGTATGGGGATATTTACGACTGCTCTAAGGAATAAAAAAACAAATGTCCAACGTCAAACGAAAAATACCTCACCTTACTTCCACAGCGTATTGCTTGTTATTTGACCGCATACTTTGATGAAAAGAACCCATTTTAGGGAGTTGTCCATTTCGAGGTTTTCTACATACACAAAAAAAGCCCAAGGCTGAACTCTCCATTTCCGAACACCCGTTCCGAGAAGCGAAAAATCCCAGCGCAAAATGACCGGGCGGCCACAAATCCAACGCAGAATCCAAGCACATATACTGTAGTTTCATTTCAATTCACTACAAACTCAATCTTCCCCGTGCAACCGACGCTAAGCCGCAGTTTACTTAAAAAAAACTTCCAGTTTAGAGGTTTTAGAGGTTTCTAACAGCCCGCTTACACATCAACATCAACCTTTAACCTTGACACACGACCGTTGAAAATCAGCTTGGTAACCATACCTCCTTTTTAAACTAAGCTTTACCGGGGACCACACCGTCACTTATTATCAATAAATTGATTTAGAACCACGGGTCCCCTCAGGTCGAATCGACGAAGAGGCTATTGTTTCAATCGGCCGATCGAATTCGCCTCCGGAAGTGTTTACAAATTCAAAATAATTTTCAAGTATATGTGCTTGGATTCTGCATTGGATTTGCGGCCGCCCGGTCATTTTGCGCTGGGATTTTTCGCTTCTCGGATCGGGCGTTCGGAAATGGAGAGTTCAGCCTTGGGCTTTGGGCTTGAGCCTGTTTTTTCATTTTCTTTTGACCAAAGACTTTCTTCCACTTTTGATTTTTCCACGAGAAAAGAGCGTCCACGTGTGAATTTTGAAAAGTGCGCGATGTAAACAAAATATGGAAATAACATGTATAGAAACGAGCCCCAAGATGAGCGGTTGCCGCGAGATTCTCCCAGGTCCGAGATTATGACACTTCCCTGATTTATTAACTTTTATTTGAAAATACGTTTTCCTAAATAACTCGGATGCTTTGAAAGATTTCAGGAAAAATTTTTTATGGAAACGTTAGGATGAGTGTTTCAATTCGTTTTAGTCAAAAACAGAAAAATCGATTTTTTTTTTCGGCCTCTGAAGGTGAGAAGTGACCTTAACCTTTTTGAAATTATCCTGCGATGAGATCTAAATTCGAACTCGCAGCGAGCACTTTGAACAATAACTCCTTAAGAAGGTTTATACAATATTTGTACTATATTGCAATCACTTAAAAAGATAGAATGAAAACACAAAGAAATTAAATTCTGTTTGTAAAATTCATAATTTCTTTAGCAATTGGGTTTCTGAGGAAACGAACTAAAAGCAAAATATGTGAACGCTTAATCAACTAAAATGTTTACTCTACCATTTTCTTTGAGCTGAAATGTTTTATTTTAAGTTGACTCTGAAGTTATCATATAACGAATGATGATCATTGCTGTACGCTGAGGCATTAGACGGGTTCTGAATAAAACTCACTGCAAACTGACACCTGCTTTTATTCAATTTATTCTCATCATTTTAAGTTTTTTTCTAATTCCTTAATTGTGCAAAAGAAAATTGGTATATGTGTGCTAATCACCAAAGATGCATGTTAAGTTTATTTTCGCTGTTGTACGGAAAAATCAATTCTTGCACTTTTCGATTGTAACAATTACGAATTGTCCCTTTGGAAAATTTTTTTTCACACTTGGTAAATCGCCGAGTTCTAACAATAGTAGTTGATAATAAATGCACCAATAGCGGTTAGGATATGGCGCCATCCTATTGGCTGAAAAGCAAATGATCTTGGCTTTCAGTAATTGTTCAGATAATCAGCACAGCCGTCTTCAGTTAAACAGCGACACCACGACACAAGTCAAAGAGAAGTCTGAGTGCTTTTACATCAGTCAAGATCCTGATAAGTACGTTTTGTCTATCTGCTGTAACACCCTTATTCTCTTGGGTCAGTGCTCAATTTAGGCCCAGTTCAGACGCCGTACTTCAGCCGAGCCGAATCAAATTCAACGAATAGTCCATTTTACAGTTGCGTGCTCGATTGCCGAGCCCTTGAACAGGAGTGAGGCTAAGTTTGACCTTGTTATAATACAAACGTTGCTGCTTTTTATACGTAAATGACTTTGTTATCATGCTAACGAGATACTGGTCTCTATCACAACATGGTCACCTTCAGCCTCACTCCAAATCAAAGGCTTGGCAAGTAAGTACACAACTGTAAAATGGCCTACTAAGTTCATGTGAGGTACGGCGTCTGAATCAATTCGGAACGGCTGATTTCATCTAGATCGGCTCAGTCAATTAATCCCGCCTGGCTCAGCCGGGAAGAACGGCTGTAGGCCGGCTTTGATTCAGACACCGTACTTCAACTGAGCCAAACCAAATGCATAAATTATTTTAATGTATTTTTCATGCTGGTTTTACTCAAGAGCATGCGCAAAGTAATGTTTTGCAGGAGAATAATGGCGGCTTGGTGGGCAAACTAAACAATGGTAACATCTGATGTTCGCGTTTCGGTTGTATTGACGCGTCGCTACCACTCGGTGATGCATGACCAGAAGGAGACTGAGTGCACATACGGTTATCATTTGTCTTCTTCTGGCGGCAAAATAGGCTAAGACGGTTTGCATTCTTTTTCTTCTTCTTCTTCTTTTTGCACTGTTTTCTAGCATTTTGAGCAGAAGAAGGGCTCTTGCTCGCAGATTGCTGCCGAAATCCATGGCGTCTGCCATGTTTACAACAGTATGCTAAACCAATGGTTGAATATTAATTTTCTTCGATTAATTAATTTCGGCCGTATAAAGTTGGGCGTTCGAATTTCCATTCGTCGCGGCTGAAGTACGGCGTCTAAACCGGGCCTTAGGCCGTTTATTTTGATTTATGATTTTACAAAAACGTAAAAGTTGTACATACTCTTCAAACAAAACAGCTATTCAACTTTCCTTCAAGTAGAGTTAAATCTTCTTTGAAAAAAAAAGCGCTCTTTTTATTACATTGCAAGGAAAGAAGAGCTGAATACAGTCGAACCTGTATAAAGCGGCGCCGTTTTAAGCGGTCACCCTGTATTGAGTCCTGAAATTGTTTCCCTTTAACCACTAATTTTCACCTCTATTAAGCGGTCGCAGTTACCCTTAACTGGCTGCCAACGGCCTGTTTGTATTGTCTTCCATCTGCATCGAACGCTCACTTGGATCAGAACCACTCAAATAAAACAAAGAATTTTTTCATAATACCCCTATTCTGTGCAACCTGTATTAAGCGATCCTGTAGTAGTAAAAGTAACTTAAAGTCATGAGAGTCTTCAGAAACCGCAAAGAGGAAAACAGATAAATACAAAGACTTAAGAAATAAAACGAAAGGGATACTGTAGTTGAGTGTTTCATTTATTGGTTTTAAGACCTCTCGACTTGAAGTCCACGCGGTTTGGTAATATGACACTTTTGGTGCATTCAAAAGACATGAATTAACTCTTGATGCGTGTTCTTTTCAGTATCTTTCAGCTATGTCAGTTGGGGTAGAGGTGCGCAAAGGCATACAATTCTTAGGCAAAAATGTAAAAACCCTGTTGAACCTTGGACTCTCTGGAAGCGTTGTGGCAATAAACGCAAAAGTCAAATCGGACCTTTTCGACTGCCCTGTGGAAAATCATCAACTGTACGGCTACGTGTACCTTATTGCACCCTGTATCATACTTTATTTCGTTAATCTGTTGGTGGTGGCGAATAAGCTGAATCCTCATGGCTTCCTGCAAACTATAAAAGAAAAGCTGCAAAAGGAAACGAAATTCACCGTATTCCGCGATGTGATCTTACCCAGCGTTTCAAGGGCGTTAGCAGCACCTCTGGCATGGCTGATAGTGTCATTTGCCCAAGGGGACTACTATATCTGCGCTACAATCGGGCCTGGTCCTGAGAAGCGATACAATTTGAATGAAGATGAAAAACAAGAATTGACCCTCAGGATCGCCGAAAGCAAAAGCACATCACAGATCGTCGCGTGGTTTCTGCTCGGCGTGGCGGTTTTGTGGATCTTCAAAGTAAAAGTTCTGAAGACCGAGTATGAAGGTGAATTGACTCAAATGAAGAGTTTCCTTCTTTTGTTTTAACTTCTTATCATGATTACGTAACTAATTTAAATCACCTCTTAAAACCTCTCAAAAAATTGTTTCTGTTCAGCCTCTGTTTTCCCAATCATCAGCACTGAAGACCTCATAGTCACAGAAATAATCAATAGTGACAAGTTACAATAAAATAATGATGATAATAATAATAACAACAACAACAACAACAACAACAACAATAATAATAATAATAATAATAAAGATTATGAAGATGAACAATGAAAATTCAATTTTAGACCTCAATTTCCATTTAAAATCACAGAACAGAATCAACTATTTACACAGAATGAAACGGCGAAAAAAAGCGAAAAGATGGTGTCTGCGCGGCTGTGACAGTTGGAATTCTTTAGGGAGCTTTATGAATTAGGTTTCGACAAGTCTTATTTCTACAATCGTCCAAAGCTACGTGCGACAGCAAGGGCCAGTTATTTAGACAGTTTAGCCGTTTTTTTTTTTTAAACAGAACCGCCCTATAAACTATCTTGAATTTAGCTGAATTTTTAATTTAGTGAAAACAACTTTCTTATTTGGAGAATACGATACGCCCACAGCTTGCGTGAAACCGCGGTTTGGGTTGGACCTCGAGTAAATAACCGGCCCTAAGTGTTCTCATCCTCTCATTTTCTCTCCTTTGCCAGATGAGGACGTGGACACCAAAGAGGACGCAGAAGATCAAGAACCATTATTAAGAGATGGTGAATAATTTCAAGGTGGCGTTAATTTTTACGAGACCTAGAAGAAGAGACTAAGATGTCAATTATGGTTAAAACCGGCAAACTTGCCAATGAAAGAATTATTTGAAAAATTAGTTTTTCACTAAGCAAGGTGATAGGGTAAAATTCACTTTTAAAAGCAGAAATCCAAACAACCACTAACAGTAACAAAAGTACTTCACTATTTCTTTTTGGTCTTTTTACCAACTGCACCTCCAAAGAAACTTGATATCGATTTCATGCCTTTTTTATCCACCATGGATAGTGACTTTTGAGTTGCTGTTAACTTCGTGGCAGTCTGCAGTTAACAATAAGAGTAATAATAATAATAATAACATTGATAATAATAATCACAGTCATAAGAATGATGATGATGATGATGATGACGATGATAAAAATAATAGTAGATAAGTTATCAACATAATTTTAAAAATCTCCAAAATTTTGACTGGTCTTTATTATACCAGTGCACCATACTGGAAACATTACATACGTGATTTTCAATAACATTACATGGGCAGTAGAAATCTACACAAAAATAACAAGATCCCATGATCCATAATTTCATGTGACCAGCTGAAGCAATTCCCTTAATTTTTGTTGGATGAGAAGTGACTGCATTTGACATCTCCATTCCTCCCACAAAGTGCTTGAAAACTTGTTCCTCTACCAAAAAAAAAAAGGAATTGATATTGGCTGCTTAATTAGCCATTCAAAACTCAGGATATGCTCCATTTTAACTTACTGCTTGTCAGTGCAAATGATTAAATACGAAGATTATGAAACACAATCATTATCAAAGAAAAAGGCATCTGCCTTCTGTGTTGCACCCTCCTAAAGCAAACAGTTTGCATTGGAATCAAAACATTCACTTCTGTCTCATTGACTCAAAGGTATTACTCTGAGAACAAATGGGGCAAGTTTCTATGGAAACTGTGGTGCAGCGTCAGTGGGAGAGAATAACAAGGCAATATACTATTGTCAACAAAGTCGATAACGAAAATTGGCCTCTGTAAAGAGTTTTAAAGCTTTGAAGCACAGCTTTGAAACTCTTACCGTGGCCAATTTGTTATTCTGATATGATATACTCTGAGAACACTTCTTTCTCCCTTAAACTTCCAGATCAAATTTGTAATTCTCTTCGCTGTTAAATATACTATTCTTAAAATGTTAGTTCAGAGACTTTAGTAGTGGATCAACTCATTATCCCCAAATTGATGTTTTTCTTCATTCTCATCACTTATCTGGTTGATATTGTATTAATATTGTAAGGAGAAATTCTGTCTTGGTCACTCATGGGAGTTAAAGGGTTAGGTGGGAGACGCGGTGGCCTGATATACTAGGGGAAAAATACGACGAAATACTGGGGGGTAACCATGCAATGGACTAGCGTCCAATCCACGGAGGGAGAAGTGATACTCCTTGTAGCTTCATGCTAAGGAAACTGAGATAAGCGCTGGCCAGGTAGGCCACTTGACTGCAGAGTTTTTGACACATCAAAGCTTCAGACATTCAGACTAACATTGCAAGTACATGGAACAAGACCTCTTGTTTCGGATGACAGACATTTTGACATATCAAGTGGTAGAAACGGGCACTGTGATTTTCCACGAGGCAACTGTACTATTCGATAAAACTGCTTGAGGATAAAAGTATGGAACGTAAAAACTGAGACATCATTTCTTTATTTGCTGGTGTTGGGGAGATCGGACATAGGGTCGTGCGACACGAAAAAGTCAACCTCGATAGGGCATTGGTGATCAGGCCCCGGTTGTTCAAAGGTTGGATAACGTTATCCAATGGATAAATCGCTATCCGTTGGTTAGCGCAGTACATTTTCTTAACAGTTATTCGCTAGATAGTGATTTATCCGTCGGATAGCGTTATTCACTCTTTGAACTACTGGGTCCAGAATATTTGTTTCTTCTTAAATGGTTTACGTTTATGTTGTGTATTAGGGTTCGATATACTACTCTCGAGTAATGCGTGAATCAGACCATGTGCTCTACACAACTGCTTTAGAATACGATGAACTTGATCACATGCAATGATAGATAACCATAATCCCTCGACTGCGGCCAAGTGGTCAGCGATACTAATGACAAGAACGAAGAGGATAATCAGGAAGAAACTGTTGACCAAGAAAAAGAGAAAGAGGTGAAGATTACACTCTATGACAACGGAATTCCGGAGAAATGTGCCGAAAAAATGGTCACTGAGATGTTCAAAGACTGAATGGAACAAAAACCAACCTGGCTTTACCGTGATGCTTACGACAATCCTGGAAAGGATGGAGCACGACATATTTATCCACGCTTTCGTTTGTCATTATTCCTGGAATGTTTAGGCGAAATTTGACGAAAATCGGTCAAATCTATTTACCCTATAAATTCTTTCAAAGGGGTTGTAATCCTTCCAAAATCAAATGTGAGATTTTAGCTCACAGAGGTTCGCAAACAACTCGCGTCACGCCAGGAGCCTCCTTAAACCGCAAACCAATGGGACAACGGGACCTGCTGGCGTCAATGACGATAGATCAAGATTTCCCGGGAAAAGTAACCCGTTGCAGACACTTTTTTTTAACTCGATCGCTCAGTGGAGCGTTGGGGAGGACGACACAAAAATGAGCCAAGTTGCCAAAGGCAAAGGAAAACCGTGGCAAAAATGGAAAAACCGGAAAATGTGCTGAGGAGCAAGACAGCGAATTGACAGACAGCTTTCAGAATTACGATTCGAGGCGATTGTTAATGCCAGTAATTGCATAAAGAAAAGGAAACCTCGTTTTTAACATTATGTAATATGGCAAAGACTGGTTTGACGGCGACTTCTTTGTTTGAATTCTGGACGTCAACGTGGAGCTACGTCAGTACCAATCGCTATCACAACGCAATTTTTTTCTTTTCTTGACAGAATGGTACTCTTTATTTCTTCTTTGGGCCTGTTTTATTTTTCCTTTTCTTTTACCAAAGACTTTTGATTTTTCCATGAGAAAAGAGCTTCCACGTGTGAATTTTGTAAAGTGCGCGATGTAAACAAAATATGGAAATAACATGAAAAACGAGCCCCAAGATGAGCGCTTGCTGCGAGATTCTCCCAGGTCCGAGATTATGACACTTCCCTGATTTATTAACTTTTATTTGAAAGTACGTTTTCTAAGTAGCTCGGGTGCTTTTAAAGAATTAAGAACATTTTTTCATGGAAACGTTAGGTTGAGTGATTGAATTCAGTTTAGTGAAATAAAAGAAAAGTCGATTTTTTCGGCCTCTGAGGGTGGGAAGTGACCTTAACCTTTTTGAAATTATCCTGTGATGACATATAAATTCGAACTCGCAGCGAGCACTTTGGACAATAACTCCTTGTGAAGGTTTATAATGCTTGTATAATATTGCAATCACATGTCATGAGAAAAGGGAAGGAAAGCACAAAGCAATTACATTCTGTTTGTAAAATTCATAATTGTCTTTGGCGATTGCGTTTCTGAGGAAACGAAACGAAAAGCAAAGAATGTGAACGCTTAATTAACTAAAATGTTTGGTTTACCATTTTCTTTGGGCTGAAATATTGATTTTTTTTTAAGTTGACTCAGAAGTTATCATGTAATGAATGATGATTATTACTGTACGCTGAGGCATTAGACAGGTTCCAAATAAAAATCACAAAAAACTGACACTTGGTTTTACTCAATTTTTTTCTTATCATTTTAAATTTTTTCTAATCCTAAAATTGTGCAAAGGAAAATCGGTGTCTGTCTGCTAATCACCAAAGATGCATGCTAAGTTTACTTCCGCTGTTGTACGGAAAAATCAATTCTTGCACTTTTCGGTTCTAAAAATTTTAACAATTACGAATTGTCCCTTTTAAACGATTTTTATTTCACACTTGGTAAGAATTCAACGCCGAGTTCTATCAATAATAATTGACAATAGATGCACCAATAGCGGTTAATTAGGATATGGTGCCATCCTATTGGCTGAAAATCAATAATTGCCAATGGTCTTGGCTCTCAGCAATTATTCAGATAATCGGCGCAGCTGTCTTTAGTTAAACAGCGACACCACGACACAAGTCAAAGAGAACTCTAAGTGCTTATACATCGGTCAAGATCCTGATAAGTACGTTCAGTCTATCTGCTGTAACACACTCATTTTCTTGGGTAAGTGCTCAGTTTTGAGGGTCTCAAAGGGGTAAAGCATATTACGGTTAACGGTTAAAATGTCGGCCATTCCACTGCTAACTGTTCACTTCCTTCAATGAGATTAAAAGACCCATTTACTTTTACGACTAAAATCAAAATTTGTCAATTTTTTCGCACAAAGGTTAAATTTTTTGGCTGTTTTACGGCTAGCGGTTAACCCCATTAAGACCTTCAATTTACAAACACATTTTATCCCGGCGAACAAAAAGTCGTAATCCAATTTTACGCCTTTGCAACAGTGCTGAACAATGTTACTGAAACAAAAGCGACTTCTTTTCTCTAATATTTCAACTAAAAATAACCTTCCAAATCACAGAAAACATCAGTATTTTTAAAAGTTATTTTGTTACGAGCAACGTAAAGCTTGTTTTCAAGTGCGTGCTTATAATTTTGACTGTCCTTGATGTATTTCCATGCCGCTACAACATAACTTGGTTACTAAAAGTGAGAATTTTAAAAGAAGCAGAAAGGAAATTAGCAATTGTTAAGAACATCACCAACAGCAACAACCAAAGGAAAACAACGCGTCGAGGCCGTTAACTTTATTTTGATTTATGATTTTACAAATACGTAAAACACAACAGCTATTCAACTTTCTTTCAGGGAGAGTCAAATCTTTGAAAAAAAAACACTCTTTTTAAAATATGTATTTGCAACAAAGAAAAGCTGAATACAATAGAACCTGTATAAAGCGGTACAGTTTAAAGCGGTCACCCTTAACTGAGTGCCAACGGCCTGTTTGTACTGTACATGTCCTCCACCTACATCGGACGCTCACTAAGAGCAGAACCACTAAAATAAAACTGACAATTCTTTTATACCCCTATTCTGTGCAACCTGTAATAACTCTTCAACCCCAAAGAGTGACTTGCATCAAACTTCTCCTTGTCATATCACCCCTGAATGAAACATTAAGGTCAGGAGATTAAAGGAACTGATCGCCAACCATAGGGGCTCTTGATTGTTAGACAAATTCTCCCTGTTGGCACATTAAGAATTGTTTAGAGAACAGTATGCAGAATATGCATAGTGATGTCTGGGTGTAAAAGGTTAAGCGATCATGTTGTAGTAAAAGTAACTTGAAGTCACGAAAGTCTTTAAAAAACGCAACGAGAAAAATGGGTAAATACAAAGACTTAAGAAATAAAACGAGAGGGATTCTATAGTTAAGTGAATTTAAGACCTCTCGACTTGAAGTCCACGCGGTTTGGTGATATGATACTGATGGTGCATTCAAAAGACATGGATTAAAACTTGGCGCTTGTTGTTTTCAGTATCTTTCAGTCATGGCAGTTGGGGCAGAGGTGCTAAAAGGCGTAAAATTCATACGCAAAAATGTAAAAACCCTGTTGAACCTTGGACTCTCTGGAAGCGTTGTGGCAATAAACGCAAAAGTCAAATCGGAACTTTTCGACTGCCCTGTGGAAAATCATCAACAGTACGGGTACCTGTACCTTATTGCACCCTGTGTCATACTGTATTTTGTTAATCTATTAGTCGTGGCGAAAAAGCTAACTCCGCATGGCTTCCTGCAAACTATAAAAGAAAAGCTGCAAAAGGAAACGAAATTCGCCGTATTCCGCAATGTGATATTACCCAGCGTTTCGAGGGCGTTCGCAGCACCTCTGGCATGGCTGATAGTGTCACTTGCCCAAGGGGACTACTATATCTGCGCTACAGTCAGGCCTGGTCCTGAGAAGCGATACAATTTGAATGAAGATGAAAAACAAGATTTGGCCGCAAGGATCGCCGCAAGCAAAAGCACATCACAGATCGTCGCGTGGTTTCTGCTCGGCGTGGCGGTTTTGTGGACCTTCAAAGTAAAAGCTCTGAAGACCAAGGATGAAGGTGAATTGACTCAAATGAAGAGTTTCCTTCTTTTGTCTTAACTTCTTATTATGATTACGTAACTAATCTAAATCACCTCTTAAAACCTCTCAAAAAAATTGTTTCTGTTCAGCCTCTCTCTCAGATCTCGTGTAAATAACTGGCCCCAAGTGTTCTCATCCTCGTATTTTCTCTCCTTTGCCAGATGAGGACGAGGACACCAAAGAGGAGGCAGAAGGTCAAGAACCATTATTAAGAGATGATAAATAATTTCAAGGTGGCGTTAATTTTTACGAGACCTCGAAGAAGAGACTAAGATGTCAGTTATAGTTAGAACCAGCAAACATTACCAAAGCAATACTTGAAAAACAGTTTTTTACTAAGCAAGGTGATAAGGTAACAATTCACTTTCATACGCAGAAATCCAAACAACTACTAACAGTAACAAAAGTACTTCACTATTTCTTTTTGGCCGTTTTACCACCTGCACCTCCAAAGAAACTTGATATCGACTTCATGCCTTTTTTGTCCACCTTGGATAGTGACTTTTGAGCTGCTGTTAACTTCGTGGCAGTCTGTAGTTAACAATAAGAGTAACAATAACAGTAATAATAATAATAATATTGATGATGATAATCACAGTCATAACGATGATGATGATGATGATAAAAATAATAAAAAACTTATCAATAAAATTTCAAAAATCTCCAGAATTTTGACTTGTCTTTACTATACCAGTGCGCCATATTGGCAACATTACATACGTGATTTTCATTAATATCACATGGGAAGCAGAAATCTCCACAAAAATAGCAAGATTCCATGATCCATAATTTCATGTGACCAGCTAAAGCAATTCCCTTAATTTTTGTTGGATGAGAAGTGAAAAGGATTTTGCATTTGACATCTCAATTGCCCCTCAAAGTTCTTGAAAACGTGTTCCTCCACCTAAAAAAGGAAAGAAGATTGGCTGCTTAATTAGCCAGTCATAACTCAGGATATGCTCCATTTTAACTTACAGCTTGCCATACAATGAATTGAGCAAATTCTATTTTCAGCTTGCATGCCTATGATCCAGTTTATTTTATGCAGTTTCCACTGTTTCAAAAGAACATCTGCATAATGCTCATACCTTACCTTATCATTTTCGGTTTTAGAATTCAGCTTGCTGAATTCTTTGGAATAATCCTCTGTAGCTTCAGGAACCTCATCAGTTACTTTGGCTCTCTGGAAAGGGCAAATGATTAAATATGAAGATTGACTGTGAACTAACAATTATCAAAGAAAAAGGCATCTGCCTTCTGTGTTGCACCCTCTTGAAGCAAACAGTTTGCATTCTAATCAAAACATTTACTTCCATCTCATTGAGGGTAATACTCTGAGAACAAAGGGGAGTAAGTTTCCAGAGAAACTGTGATGCTGCGTCTGTGGGAGGGTATAACAGGGTAATTTAGTATTATCAATACTATTATAGTTGATGATGCAAATTGGCCACCATAAAGAGTTTCAAAGCTTTGAAATGCAGCTTTGAAACTCTTTTACGGTGGCCAATTTATGTTATCAACTCAGTTCATAACACTTTATTACCCTGTTATACTCTGAGAAAACTTTTCCTCGTGGATATATTCATTTAAGTTGGACACGCGGTAGCCTGATGGTTAGCGCACTGTTCCCTGGGTGGAGATGTCTTGGATCGAGACCTAGGCACTTCACTGCGTTGTATTCTTGGGCAAAACACTGGACTTTCACAATGCCTCTATCCACTCAAGAGGATAGATGGGTAACTGCGAATTGTCAGGGAAGCCTGATAAAATGCTAGGGGTAACCATGCAATGGACTAACGTTCCATCCAGGGAAGAGAAACGATACTCCTCGTTGCTTCATGCTAAGGACACAAGGATAAGCTCTGGCTAGGTGGACCACATGACTGCAGAGTTTTTGACATATCAAAGCTTCAGACATTCAGACTAACATTGCAAGTACATGGAACAAGACCTCTTGTTTCGGATGACAGACATTTTGACATACATATTAAGTGGTAGAAACGGGCACTGTGATTTGCCACGAGGCACCTGTGCTATTCGATAAAACTGCATGAGGATTAAAAGTATGGAACTTAAAAACTGAGACATCATTTCTTTATTTGCTGGTGTTGGGAAGATCGGACATGGGGTCGTGCGGCACGAAAAAATCAACCTCGATAGGGCATTGGTGATCAGGCCCCGGTTGTTCAAGGGTTGGATAACGCGGCTATCCACTGGATAAATCACTATCCGTTAGTTAGCGCTCTACATTTTCTTAACAGTTATTCGCTGGATAGTGATTTATCCGTCGGATAGCGTTATTCACTCTTTGAACAACTGGGTCCAGAATATTTGTTTCTTCTTACATGATTTACGTTTATGTTGTGTATTAGGGTTCGATATACTACTCTCGAGTAATGCGTGAATCAGACCATGTGCTCTACACAACTGCTTTAGAATACGATGAACTTGATCACATACAATGATAGATAACCATAATCCCTCGACTGCGGCCAAGTGGTCAGCGATGCTAATGACAAGAACGAAGAGGATAATTAGGAAGAAACTGTTGACCAAGCAAAAGACAAAGAGAAAGAGGTGAAGATTACACTCTATGACAACGAAATTCCAGAGAAATGTGCCGAAAAAATGGTCACTGAGATGTTCAAAGACTGAATGGAACAAAAACCAACCTGGCTTTACCGTGATGCTTACGACAATCCTGGAAAGGATGGAGCACGACATATTTATCCACGCTTTCGTTTGTCATTATTCCTGGAATGTTTAGGCGAAATTTGACGAAAATCGGTCAAATCTATTTACCCTATAAATTCTTTCAAAGGGGTTGTAATCCTTCCAAAATCAAATGTGAGATTTTAGCTCACAGAGGTTCGCAAACAACTCGCGTCACGCCAGGAGCCTCCTTAAACCGCAAACCAATGGGACAACGGGACCTGCTGGCGTCAATGACGATAGATCAAGATTTCCCGGGAAAAGTAACCCATTGCAGACACATCTTTTTTTTAACTCGATCGCTCAGTGGAGCGTTGAGGAGGACGACACAAAAATGAGCCAAGTTGCCAAAGGGAAAGGAAAACCGTGGCAAAAATGGAAAAACCGGAAAATGTGCTGAGGAGCAAGACAGCGGATTGACAGACAGCTTTCAGAATTACGATTCGAGGCAATTGTTAATGTTTTTGTATCAAGGCCAGTACTTGCATAAGGAAAAGGAAACCTCGTTTTTAACATTATGTAACATGGCAAAGACTGGTTTGACGACGACTTCTTTGTTCGAAATCTGGACGTCAACGTGGAGCTACGTCAGTACCAATCGCTATCACAACGCAATTTTTTTCTTTTCTTGACAGAATGGTACTCTTTCTTTCTTCTTTGGGCCTGTTTTTTTTCTCTTTTCTTTTACCAAAGACTTTTGATTTTTCCATGAGCAAAGATTTTTCCTTGAGAACAGAGCTTCCACGTGTGAATTTTGTAAAGTGCGCGATGTAAACAAAATATGGAAATAACATGAAAAACGAGCCCCAAGATGAGCGGTTGCTGCGAGATTCTCCCAGGTCCGAGATTATGACACTTCTCTGATTTATTAACTTTTATTTGAAAGTACGTTTTCTAAGTAGCTCGGGTGCTTTTAAAGATTTTAGAACATTTTTTCATGGAAACATTAGGTTGAGTGATTGAATTCAGTTTAGTGAAATAAAAGAAAAGTCGATTTTTTCGGCCTCTGAAGGTGGGAAGTGACCTTAACCTTTTTGAAATTATACTGTGATGAAATATAAATTCGAACTCGCAGCGAGCACTTTGGACAATAACTCCTTGAGAAGGTTTATAATGCTTGTATAATATTGCAATCACATATCACGAGAAAAGGGTAGGAAAACACAAAGCAATTAAATTCTGTTTGTAAAATTCATAATTGTCTTTGACGATTGCGTTTCTGAGGAAACGAAACGAAAAGCAAAGAATGTGAACGCTTAATTAACTAAAATGTTTGGTTTACCATTTTCTTTGGGCTGAAATATTGATTTTTTTTTAAGTTGACTCAGAAGTTATCATGTAATAAATGATGATTATTACTGTACGCTGGCTGCGGGAAGGAACCGGAATCTATTACGGCTGCTGACTATCCTTGAGAGAATGACTAACAACAGGGTTGGCTCCAACGTAGATTTATTCTGCAAGCTCTACTACAACTTTGACCAGAACGGACCTGGCCAGGTCTGGTTCAACCCCGTTCTTCTCTTCGCTTCTCTTTTCTTTTTAAGCTTTACACAACAGTCCTATTTAAACCTAACGTACATGGATAACGTAATGCCATGAAAGAATCATGTAATCCACTACACTATTGGCTAAGCAGGAACTTCGCCTTTTACAACATTAATTACTTTCAAAGAGTTCCGGTGGATAACAGTAACACAAAAGGACATGACAGGTGGCTGTTACAGTTTAACACTAATAATGAACTGGTAGCGTTTACGCTTTGCTGAACTAAGCGTTCTACGTTGAATATTGTATTTTTTAAGCACAAGCATGAAAGAACTCGATAACTAAAAATCCTATCGTTACACGTTAACTTTATTTTGATTTCTGATTTTACAAATACGTAAAACACAACAGCTATTCAACTTTCTTTCAGGGAGAGTCAAATCTTTGAAAAAAAACACTCTTTTTAAAATATGTATTTGCAACAAAGAAAAGCTGAATACAATAGAACCTGTATAAAGCGGTACAGTTTAAAGCGGTCACCCTTAACTGAGTGCCAACGGCCTGTTTGTACTGTCTTCCACCTACATCGGACGCTCACTAAGAGCAGAACCACTAAAAGAAAAATGACAATTCTTTTATACCCCTATTCTGTGCAACCTGTAATAGCTCTTCAATCCCTAAGAGTGACTTGCATCAAATTTCTCCTTGTCATATCACCCCTGAATGAAACATTAAGGTCAGGAGATTAAAGGAACTGATCACCAACCATAGGGGCTCTTGATTGTTAGACAAATTCTCCCTGTTGGCACCTTAGGAAATGTTTAGAGAACAGTATGGATAGTGATGTCAGGGTGTAAAGGGTTAAGTGATCATGTTGTGGTAAAAGTAACTTGAAGTCATGAAAGTCTTTAAAAAACGCAACGAGAAAAATAGGTAAATACAAAGACTTAAGAAATAAAACGAGAGGAATACTATAGTTAAGTGCTTCATTTATTGATTTTAAGACCTCTCGACTTAAAGTCCACGCGGTTTGGTGATATGATACTGATAGTGCATTCCAAAGACATGAATTAACACTTGGCGCTTGTTGTTTTCAGTATCTTTCAGTCATGGAAGTTGGGGTAGAGGTGCTCAAAGGCATAAAATTCTTACGCAAAAATGTAAAAACCCTGTTGAACCTTGGACTCTCTGGAAGCGTTGTGGCAATAGACGCAAAAGTCAAATCGGAACTTTTCGACTGCCCTGTGGAAAATCATCAACAGTACGGGTACCTGTACCTTATTGCACCCGGTGTCATACTGTATTTTGTTAATCTATTAGTCGTGGCGAAAAAGCTAACTCCGCATGGCTTCCTGCAAACTATAAAAGAAAAGCTGCAAAAGGAAACGAAATTCGCCGTTTTCCGCAATGTGATCTTACCCAGCGTTTCGAGGGCGTTCGCAGCACCTCTGGCATGGCTGATAGTGTCATTTGCCCAAGGGGACTACTATATCTGCGCTACAGTCGGGCCTGGTCCTGAGAAGCGATACAATTTGAATGAAGATGAAAAACAAGATTTGGCCGTAAGGATCACCGCAAGCAAAAGCACATCACAGATCGTCGCGTGGTTACTGCTCGGCGTGGCGGTTTTGTGGATCTTCAAAGTAAAAGCTCTGAAGACCAAGGATGAAGGTGAATTAACTCAAATGAAGAGTTTCCTTATTTTGTCTTAACTTCTTATTATGATTACGTAACTAATCTACCGTAGTTATTTGGTTATAGGGCGCACCGTTTTTTTCAAGAAATTCCTAATTTCTACTAAAAATTACCGCCAAAGTTTAGGTGCGTCTTATAGGCGAATATTTTCCCGAAACAATTTTTTTTTATCACAGTTACTGGTACGATTTCAAGCAAATAAAAGGACACAGTGTTGGTCATTGACTTTTATAAATATGGTGGTTCTGAAAAGACGAGCGAAGTCAAATTTGCATAGATATGATACGTGCTCGAGAGCATGTGCTCAGTAATTTTTTTGTTTGTGCGCGTGGTCGCGTGTGCGACAATTCTGCTTTTGTTAATTAACGGTAAACTAAAATCAATACGCGACTTTTTCGCTTTTTTGTAAGTTTATGAAAGAATTTACAATAAACTTGACCGATCTTTACTCCCCAAACAACGGTGCGCCTTATAACCAAGTATTTTAGCGATATTTTCAGTTTGAAAACATGCAATAATGAAGTTGCCGAATTGGGGGTGCGTCCTATAGCCGAGTGCGCCTTATAACCGAATAACTACGGTAAATCACCTCTTAAAACCTCTCAAAAAAATTGTTTCTGTTCAGCCTCTCTCCCAGATCTCGTGTAAATAACTGGCCCCAAGTGTTCTCATCCTTGTATTTTCTCTCCTTTGCCAGATGAAGACGTGGACATCAAAGAGGACGTAGAAGGTCAAGAACCATTATTAAGAGATGATAAATAATTTCAAGGTGGCGTTAATTTTTACGAGACCTCGAAGAAGAGACTAAGATGTCAGTTATAGTTAGAACCAGCAAACATTACCAAGGCAATACTTGAAAAACAGTTTTTTACTAAGCAAGGTGATAGGGTAACAATTCACTTTCATACGCAGAAATCCAAACAACTACTAACAGTAACAAAAGTACTTCACTATTTCTTTTTGGCCGTTTTACCACCTGCACCTCCAAAGAAACTTGATATCGACTTCATGCCTTTTTTGTCCACCTTGGATAGTGACTTTTGAGCTGCTGTTAACTTCGTGGCAGTCTGCAGTTAACAATAAGAGTAACAATAACAGTAATAATAATAATAATATTGATGATGATAATCACAGTCATAACGATGATGATGATGATGATGATGATGATAAAAATAATAAAAAACTTATCAATAAAATTTCAAAAATCTCCAGAATTTTGACTGGTCTTTACTATACCAGTGCGCCATATTGGCAACATTACATACGTGATTTTCATTAATATCACATGGGAAGTAGAAATCTCCACAAAAATAGCAAGATTCCATGATCCATAATTTCATGTGACCAGCTAAAGCAATTCCCTTAATTTTTGTTGGATGAGAAGTGAAAAGGATTTTGCATTTGACATCTCAATTGCCCCTCAAAGTTCTTGAAAACGTGTTCCTCCACCAAATCAAAGTGCTCTGTGAGCAACCTCGTGAATTGACACATGATTTTTTAGATTATGTTTAATGTTATCTGGTTTAGGGAATTTTGTGGTTGATTGTCATATCTAGAGTACGAGCAGTAGTTCAGTGTTCGCTAATGTAGCAAAGAAACAAAGTAACGTTGGGATAAGAAGGCATTACAATTGAAATGATCATGCTATTACATTTGACAAGGTGGATGATGTCATGTGTTTTAAACGTCTATCATTTTTGTTTCTGGTTCAAAAGAAAAGGTTGGAAGTAAATGTGGGTGAAAAGTGACATTTACTGTCTTTCGTTGTAAATGTTAGAAAATCAAGGCAATACTGTCTTAATGAAAACATTAACGATTCCCTCTTTATCAAATGAGACAAACGGGAACGAGTTTTGAGTGATATAACTAAGCCAAGCCTGCCACCGTCATTTTGGATCTCCGCCTGGGTAGATTTAAGTCACGTGCTAGGCAACGTATAATCAATAACAAGATAGAATTTCATTTCAGGCCTATTTACCAATTTTGTGGTGTGTAACTTTCGCATTTTAGTACGTTGTATGTATGTTGAATCTTCAAATTGTCTTGAAACTTAAAAGAAAATTGTTCTTTAAAAATTCACTGAAAATCGGTAGCTAAAATTGCTTGTTTAGGTGTTATTTGATTTTCGTGTTAACTTGTTATTTCGTCAGTCGCCGGCATCTTCTGTTGCTTCACACAGGAAAAACACACGCGACGAAACGTAATGATCAGTTTTGTCCTCAATCTCACGCTATAACAGAAAAAGCTTTTGAACATCTGTAAACTCCGAGCGCTTCGCAGTAAGTGATATTTTCAATGAATCTTCGGATTCAAGGATTGTAAATTACAATTTTATGAAAAGCGAAGGTTGTTCTGTTATTTCAGTGTGAATCCTTGCATGCCTGCCAATCGCTGGCGCCGCTTGTTGAAACTAAAACGAAAAAAAAAACTCTTTTAAGATTATCATTGGCTTCTTTTTCACTCCACCACTATTCTTAGCAACAAAGGTCGTCATTTCGTCTGTTTATTGCTCGCCGAAAACTATCAAATGCACTCAAAAGCCGAAAATCTAAAAAAAGTTTACAGGAATCGACCAATCGAGCGAGCGAGCGAGCGAGCGAATGCCATCCCCCACATCGTATCTATAACTCGCTCTTGCGCATGCGCGCAATTCGCGAGTTAAAAAAGGAAAGAAGATTGGCTGTTTAATTAGCCAGTCACAACTCAGGATATGCTCCATTTTAACTTACAGCTTGCCATACAATGAATTGGGCAAATTCTATTTTCAGCTAGCATGCCTATGATCCAGTTTCTTTTATGCAGTTTCCACTGTTTCAAAATAACATCTGCATAATGCTCATACCTTACCTTATCATTTTCGGTTTTAGAATTCAGCTTGCTGAATTCTTTGGAATAATCCTCTGTAGCTTCAGGAACCTCATCAGTTACTTTGGCTCTCTGGAAAGGGCAAATGATTAAATATGAAGATTGACTGTGAACTAACAATTATCAAAGAAAAAGGCATCTGCCTTCTGTGTTGCACCCTCTTGAAGCAAACAGTTTGCATTCTAATCAAAACATTTACTTCCATCTCATTGAGGGTAATACTCTGAGAACAAAGGGGAGTAAGTTTCCAGAGAAACTGTGATGCTGCATCTGTGGGAGGGTATAATAGGGTAATTTAGTATTATCAACTGAGTTGATAATGCAAATTGACCACCATAAAGAGTTTCAAAGCTTTGAAATGCAGCTTTGAAACTCTTTTACGGTGGCCAATGTATGTTATCAACTCAGTTGATAACACTTTATTACCCTGTTATACTCTGAAAAAACTTTTCCTCATGGATATATTCATTTAAGTTGGACACGCGGTAGTCTGATGGTTAGCGCACTGTTCCCTGGGTAGAGATGTCTTGGATCGAGACCTAGGCACTTCACTGCGTTGTATTCTTGGGCAAAACACTGGACTTTCACAATGGCTCTATCCACCCAAGAGGATAGATGGGTAACTGCGAATTGTCAGGGAAGCCTGATAAAATGCTAGGGGGTAACCATGCAATGGACAAACGTTCCATCCAAGGAAGAGAAACGATACTCCTCGTTGCTTCATGCTAAGGACACAAGGATAAGCTCTGGCTGGGTGGACCACATGACTGCAGAGTTTTTGACATATCAAAGCTTCAGACATTCAGACTAACATTACAAGTACATTGAACAAGACCTCTAGTTTCAGATGACAGACATTTTGACATATCAAGGGGGAGGGAAGGGAAAGGGGAAGGGGAATTCAACTGACACTAATAGCCTATTTTGGCACTAAGTTTGCAGAGAGGAGCAGCAATATAAAAACAAAAAAAAGAGGAGCTAGGGAAGGGAAAAAACAAAGGGATTCTAAACCCAGGGGTTTCAATAACTTCTTCCATAAGCATCTGTTAATGACACAATACGTGGCTGCCTAAGGTGAAACCCAAACAAAAGCGCCTGTGAGAGGTCAGCAGTAGACCACAAGTCACTGACTTTTAATGAAACCCTTGCTAACCCCCTACCACAGCACACTTGTTTGCTTTTTGGCTCATCATCACGGACCAAGAGGTATGGAGCTTGTTGACTGAGATGTTCCTGATGAAACACTTCAGTTTATTAAGAGGTAAAATTATGACAAAATACTGTCATGTGGGTGTAAATCACCAACTCTTACCTTTGTGGGAGGCCCCTCTGGAGATGATAATTGTGCTTCATCTGTGATGCTGAAATAAAGTAGACCAACACCAGTTTAATTTTTACCTTCAGAAATTGTAAGTGCAAGCTCAAGTTATCCCTTGCACTCACACTATGTTTTTATGTTTTTTTGGCTTGATTCCACAATCCTTTGGAAGAAACAGGTTTTTAGTGTTTCTTAAGGATGCAAGAACTTTTGTTGTTTAATTCCTGTTGTGGATTCTGGGCACTATTCCTGGTCTTTTTTAATCCTTAAAATTACCACAAATAGACCTCTTTAGCAGGTACATTTTTTTCCCCAATTTAGGCAATGTGTTGATACTTTAAAGAGGTTTTTATATCAAAATTTGTCCTATCCATGAGCATACATAGGCATAATGTACAAAAGGAGAGGGAGAATTTCCTTGAGACCCCCGTGAGAAAACAAAATATACTAAAGAATTCTATTGGTGATCATTGCATTGCATTTTGGGAAAGACACTCAAATGCATGTATAATTGGGCCCTAACAGACTGCCAAGAAAATCTACCAAAGTATACATCAAATGAGGAATACTTTTTTAAACCAGTTCCACATCTGATTCTAACAATACTAAATTTAAAAGAAAACATTTGAATTTTCATTTATTTTAGTACTTTATAGATACCACATAATGTAACTTTTACCCCAATGATTCCTTGAGTCTTTCACTCCACTGCAAGGATAGATATTCAGATACCAACCCAAATGCATAACTCACATAGTCAGCTGAAAGTGATGATGACGAAGTTAATACTGAATAAATCTTAATGTAGATTTGTAGATGGATATAGATGCAAGGTTAGTACCTCTTCCATGCAAAAATTAAAGAAGAGTAAACCTTTGATCCCTTAGAGTGTCTAGCATCTGAAATTTCTTCTTACAATAGCACCACCCCAATCACAACTAGTAACACTCTGAAGCAATGAAGAAGGGAAGTAGGCATTAATGGGGAGGAGAGAAAACATTTGAAGAGGGGTAACCACTCATTAAATGTGAGGGAGGGGTGAGGAGACTCTGCTGTCCTAGCTAGAATTTCAATTATCTTTCTTACATCTTGAAGCATCCATGTGCCGTCTACTCCTTATGAATGTTGCACTTTGAGAACCTTTGGAAACATGGACACTACTCTGAGAGATACCATTTGCAGTCTGTTCAACCTATACCAAAAATAATATGGTCTTACTAAACTTGATCATGATGGTCATAATAATCATTGGATCTACTTTAAATAAACAGAAAGAGAATGTATAGGGGTTTAGTAGTTTTATTAGAGGGCACATCATTTTAAGAGCAGTGAGGCTGACCAACAGATGCTTGTTTAAACTGGAAAAGTGACTAAAAGCTCTCTCCTTATCAAGTAAGGTCAAAGTGTCCTTCTTCAATTCATGTAATTTAAAGAGTTTAAATTAGCCCTGCAAAATTTCAGTTAGTTTTTTCTCTCACCAAAAAAAACACAAAGAGAGTGAAACACAATTTTGTGATAAATATGTCACATTGCATATCAAGGACTTGAGAAAGAGAAAATATAAACACCTTTGTTTTCAACCAGGCTATAGTCTTCTCTTTATCGAGTCTGAACACTTGCAGATCGTCATCACCCTTAACATCACATATATTAAGTATCTCATCAGATCTAAGACAACCAGTCAGTCTGCAGATTGATGGGTGCTCATCATCCAAAAGTAGCTGATCAAGGGTTCTAAACTAAGATCAGAATAATCCAAAAGTAGCTGATCAGGGGTTCTAAACTAAGATCAGAATCATCCAAAAGTAGTTGATCAAGGGTTCTAATCTAAGATCAGAACAATAATAATAGTGACTTATGTCTAACAACAAATACAAGTCAGACATAGTTTGATGCTACTCTGGTTTGCAGATTTAATGAATGTAACCGAAGAAGTTACAATTCATAGACCCAACGTTTCGACACCCCTGTCTAGTGCCTTCATCAGGGGTGATCTAAATGCTGTCCTCTTGTTGCAGCGTTTAGATCACCCCTGATGAAGGCACTAGACAGGAGTGTTGAAACGTTGGGTCTATGAATTGTAACTTCTTTGGTTACATTCATTAAATCTGCAAACCAGAGTAGCATCAAACTATGTCTGATTGTCCACCTGGTTGCCGTGTGAACTTTAATATATAACAAATACAAGTGTTAATAAAAGATGTCAACAAGGGTTTTGGTATTAATAGAATCCAGATACTGGTAACAGAAGTCTATCACCACCAAAAAGGCCTCTTAGCACTGTCTGCTGAGGTTTTATGTAATATGAGATTTTTATGGACCCTTTTGTAGTAAAAGCCGCCTATTCCAACATCACCAGCCAGGTAAACACTGGGACATAAGTTATGGAAGCCTCTAGATCATACTCAGTTTTTGACATTCCAAGAATATTTCCATTCACACAATATAAAGAGAAACAGGACACTCAAACAATTCAGGTACTCTACCAAGTCAAATAGAAAGTAGTTTAGATAATTTGGTTTTATCACCTGAGTTGATAATGTAAATTGGCCACCCATCTTAAAGAGTTTCGAAGCTGATGTTTCAGAGCAATTGAATGATTATGGTAAATGATTTCATGATAGGATTAATTCTACTCTGACAAGCCCTTATTTAGTTCATCTACTTCTGCATGTAGCTTAATAACATTTGTAAATAGTGTGTCTAAATAAAGGTTGTTGTTGTCAATAATTAATGCCCATACTCTCCCCTACCTTTTGAGAATATTTTGTGAGATATGGTAAAACAAGGAAAAGTGGGTCCACTGGAGTAATGACAAAGAGGCTTCCATCTAAAAAAAAACAAACAAACAACAATTAAAGACTAAACACAACAATGAGGGTGTAATGTGACCTTCAAGAATATTCTAGAAGTAGCTGTGTCATGCTGAGTCATCCCTGAATCAATATATAAATAGAATGTTGTAATGTTACAGAACATTCTAGATCCTCAACAGCACCTATAAAAGCCGAGCTTGTAACTAGATGTAGAGAGTAGTTTAGTTGCTGGTATAGCCCGATAGATATCAATAAAGGTGTATGCTGCAGAATACAAGACATCCACACTTCAGAGGGGGTAAGCAAGTGCCTGGTTTCAATGAAAAAAAAGAACTTCTCATGGGCATGAGAAGCATATTGAAATCCATGATAAGTGTCAAAAAGGATAAGAAAGTGGTAATTTCAATCTTTGGTACTTAATTACCAGTTACATGCAAATATTTTGTTCTATTTCATAATTGAAGAGGTTTGGTTGCTACAGAGTTTAACTTGTTTATCAATACCTTTTTGTACAGAGTCCTCTATAAACCATGATCTGGGTTCTTCAGTAAATTTCAAGACCTCAAAGATCTTTTCCCCACTGTGAGAGAGCAAAAACTGTTGTTCCATACCTGAAAGTGAGCAGAGTACTGAAAGTGTCTAAGCTTCAACAACAAACCTAAGCTTCAAAGCAAGTCTTGCAAAATTGCTTTTTATAAAATTTTAAACTAGGTAAGGAAACAATTCCAGGAGTCAAAAACCATGATTCTGTCAAATCAAGTTTTAAAGATATTGGTTCTCTAATGGAACACAGTTCAAACTATGTACATGCACTATTACAGTAAACACAGCTTTGCCAGAATGCAAGTTTAGTGCATGGGATCCACAAGTGTCACAGACCTATCAATAACAAGTTATATTTTCACACTATAATTTGGGCAGATCTAAGACTTAAAGAAAGTGTACCAAAACAGCCTCCAGAGGCAGGGATCTCTAAGTGAAATGGAAAAATAGGAAATAATGTTATGCTTCCCAAGAAAAGCTGAGATGAAAGAAATATATCGTAGCAGTATGCGGAAAAAGTCACAACAAGTGCTATGTCTAAATGTAAGGGTGGAGACAGCTCTATCATACAAATATACAAGAAAACCCCAATTATGACTGCATTTTACATAAAAAGGGTTTTGATTCTAAGGGAACCGTGGTGTCGCCTCGGTGGGGGTACTATTAGTTGATTTGCTTTTATTAACTGCGTTGACAGTGTAGATTTGCCGCTGTGATTTCAAGTGTTTGACCAGGTGACCAAACTGACGGGGCGATTCTCAGCACGATCAATGAAGGTATTATTATATTACCTGTGCGAGGATGCGGAATCTTTATGAACACAGGTTCTAATTCATCGCGTTCTTGACCACAAACGACATCTTCTACAAATGCGAACATGCACATATAAAAGGAATGCATCGATGGATGAATCAACACAGATCTTCTTTCGAGCATCAATCCAATGGGGAAATATACAAGACAGACATGCAAGATCTTCTTGTTTTGTAGGGCATCTCGACTGATAGGGCCATGGTTTACGACAGTTGTCATTTTTTTAAGGGTATAATTACAAACCTGGGGCAATGAATACCCACTGAGTTACTTCTCTGGATTTTTTGTTGTCATTCTGAATGTTTCTTGGCATTGTTTCGAAAATAGTGTCGGTTCGCTCTCGCACAATTTTTATCTTCCCAAATTTACTACTAGTGTTTACGCGCGAAATTGTGTACCGCTGGCACACTCACGGCTCAGCTGCAAAGTTGACAAGTGACCATACCGCTGACCTGGAGCCGAGCTCACTCTGAGCCCGAGATCGCCCTCTTAGACTTGTCCTCTGTTGACAGCGACTGACCCCCCTTCCGTTCCCTATGAAACCATGCGACCCCCCAGTACACCACAGTTTGTCGTGTCTAGCAGTTATTTTAAAAACACGCTGTGATTGGTCAGATAGTTAAAGTACGGGACCCCTGTTAAAATTAAAAATTGTTGTTGTTGCCAAAATCTCTCGTTAGTTTCATCAATGTGTTCTTATCTTTCATGAGCAAATAGAAATTACATTTTTTTTCTTGTTCCTTAAATCGTATTGAGGAATACTTTTACTTTCGACGTGTATCAGACATATATGGCTATTCCGCGTAAAGACTGAAAGAACTGGTTCTCCGAGGCGCAAATTGGGGTGGAAAATCCTCTCATTCTGAGTAAGTACAAGCAAGTTGGAATTCTTTACCGGTTCAAGGCCAGAAGAATTAAAATTAACTCTGCAAAAGTGTCCGAAAAAAGTGTAAAGGGTTTAAGTCCGAGAATAACAGTCGATCGTGTAGGGTGATTGACAGGCAGAGAGTGGTTCAGGAAAGGACTGTTGACTCTCATGACGACTTCCACTGAGGTTCTCAAGTCACTATAACCGACAACAATCCCCTTTGGAACTACCCTCGGCCTGGATTATCAGATCAAAAGATATCCTCGTACTTAGCTCAACCCTCACGGATCTCGCGAGCAGTCCACACAAAAACGTGAACACAGTTGGCCCTACTCACAAGAGAGCACTGATTCAGGCCACAAGCGAGTTTCCGTTTATGAGCGAGACGGTCCGACTTGTCTCCGTAAAGTCGTTGTGCTTGTTACTCTTTATCGCACAAATGCAATCAGAATGCAAAAACAAGTCATAACTGTAATATTGGCATACTTTATTTCACAAACGGACAATAATCTAGTTCTTGAGTAAGAGTATTTTCTGTTAGTATATTGTAGTACCTGAGCTATCTTTCATAGTTAAAAATTGGCCACTTTCCTAATTGACGCCCAGACCAGCAAATGTGGTCTAAGCAACCTAGCTTAAGAATCTTAAGAATTCACTGTGGCAAGCACCGCCCCCACCCTGGAGGGGATTAACTTCGTCACAGAAGAGTCCATGGCAGAATGTTCGTGTTTGTACAAGGCCACGCTCATGGAATAAAGTTCGTTGTCGACTGGGGCGGTTGATGGCACTTGGAAAAGGCCGACCTAGGAAAGAATAAACAACACAAGATAGAAAATGAGCCTTGAGATGGAGCATAGAGGAGTGCTCAAAGCTTATTATTTTTTTCTTCTTCTTTTTATGTCTCCTGTCTTAAACAACTGGGGTAATTAGCGTTACATTGTGTTAATTTAGAAACTATGAAGGTGCAGGTCTTAACCAACCTTGCCCGTCAGCCTCCTCAGTCGCTTTCTCATCGCCAGATCCATGCGGGCGCACAATGCCCGTCTGCAAGGTCCAACGTCTGTGAACAACGTCCCTCTTTCGCGCCTTTTGGCAGCCGCACCTGCCACCAGCGCACCAATACTGTTTATGACTTTTGAATCACCCCCGTCGTCGACATCACTCGTGTCAACTGTCTCCGTCACTGCAGGTTTATCTTTTGCCACCTCAGCGTACGCTTTTTGCACCAATTTGGTTAACCGCGGACCAGCAAGCGACGAAGAGATTCCAATGCGCGAGAACACATGACCTGGTGTAAAGCGCTTTAAGTGAGCTCCAGGTTCTTCTCCTGAAATGAAAGAAAGGAATCCATAGGAAATTTTCTCAGGTCAGCAAGCCAAGTGATCAACACCGCTGGTGTATGTCTCGGTTGTTTTAGCAAAAAGCGATCAAGAGTAAAGATAATCCTTAACCCTTTCATTCCCAAGATCTCGTTAGTAATACTCCTCACTGTCTGCTATACAATTCTTATGATGTTAGTTTGGAGAATATGGTATTGCATCAACTACTAATCCCCAAATTGATATTTTTCTTTATTCTCATTGCTTGTCGGTTTGATGTTGTATTAATACTGTAAGGAGAAATTCTGTCTTGGTCACTCATGGGAGTTAAAGGGTCACGGAAATGCTAAATACTGTAAATTGCAGGTTTTGCGCACAGTTCGCCGGAAACCATCTATACTTCTACGTGGAAAGAGACATTGTGACAGTTAAGCGCCTCGTCTAACAACATAACGTATTAGCCGCTGGCGGCCTGGGCTCAAAACGGGACCTTTCCGGCATCCATATTCTTATCCATGTAGCAGATGCATTGCCGTAAAATTGCGATAACATCAGATAAGCTACTATTAGTCCAAAACGTTTTGTGTTTTTGCAAGGAAAAAGAACTTACCTGTTTTGTCTGAGGTGTTTTGCGCGGAGACCAACGCGCTCCAATCAACGTCTTCAACCGCCATAGGAGCACTAGATGGACCTTTACTATCAGAAACCCCAGCTCTGGCATCCTCATCGTCGTCCCCTAACATGGCGTCGAGTTCATCGTCGCTTATTGGGTCGTAAACATCGTCGAATGTTGGCGCCTCATTCCGAACTGGTGACATTGTAGCTGCGCGTTCCTTATCGTCGATTTTCGGTTTGCTCTCAGAAATCTCCGGTTCGTTAACATCTGACCACGCGTCGTCTCCGATAGGACTATCGTCGCTCCAATCACTGAACACTGTCACGGATTCCTCATCTTTGGGAGCATCTCCAGTTTCCTTCCTTCCATCTGCAACTGTGTCAGACGATTTATTCTCGTCGATGTTCCCAACCTGTCCAAACTGACTATCCTTGACACTACCCTGGCGCTCGTTGCCTTCGGACTTGTATTGAACCATTTCTTCATCCTCGTCTTCAAGGTCAGCCCAAGGTTGAACGACAACCTCGGGCTGATGTTTCTTCTTTTTCTTTTTCTTTGGTGGTTTATCACCACCCTTCATCTTCGTTTCCTCCCCATCAGGAGCAACTGGATGCCGGCGTTTTTTAGCCACCTTTGGAATCAGTTCCTCTTCGGACTGTTGTGTTACTTCTCCAAGATTTTCCGACGACGCTACCCCACTTTCTTCCGTCACGCTCGTTGGTTCTTCGGTTTTTTCTGGGCCCAGTCCGGGCTCTGATGCCACCACACCGATGTTCTTCTTCTTCTTTTTCGTCACCTTCTCTTTTGTCTCTTTTGTCTTTCCTTTTTCTTTCTTCAGCTTTTTCTCAACCTTGAAAGGCTTCTCACCTTCCGGCGATTCCTCTGACTCTGCAGGCGGCTCTGGTGGTTTTTGAGTTTCAACATCAGGTTCACCGTCAGGTTTTGGACCTTTCCCTTTTTTCCCCACCTTCTTTTTCTTAGGTTTTGCGGTTTGCTTGACGGGAGCTGCGGTAATGACGTCCTTCTCATAATCATCCTGTTTTACGACTCCTTCGGGCACCTCCCCTCCTGGCGTTACTTCCATCTCAGGGGTTTCACTTCGGCGCTTTTTCCCTCCCGCAGGCGACTCGATGGTTGATATGGACGAGCCTGTTTCTCTAGGTCTTTTTCTGTATATCGTAAGCAAACATAATGAAAGCGATTATTCAGTGAAGATGGCTCTCCACTCCTTTCGAACATTAAACCGAAAAAAGTAAAGAAGAACGTGGTAGGTGAGGTGCTTAATTCCATTTCGATATCGATCAACGATACAGAAACTGAAAAGAAAAGCGCGACGGATCTTTATAGCAGAAAAGAGAGATTGGAATTTGAACAAAACTGCTCGTCGTGAAAACGTTTTAATCATAACAACTTCCCCTGCTCCCGCCCCTCCCCCCATAAAATATTGGTGCGTCCCTTGGATTTAAGATGTCAACCCCCATGTGGTTAATGCGCGCGAAACAAGTCTATCGTCGTTGCGGATGAAGAAGAAATTAAGTACCACCTCCTACCTTTCTCCTTGTCGTGGTATCTTATCTTTTTCGTCTCCTAAATCTTCTTCGTATTCCCATTCTTCATCTTCTTCTTCGTCCGAACGACGCCTGCGCTCTTCCTCCGCTTCACGCGATATCTTCTCTTGCTCATGCGTACGGCGGTCGCGCGATGGGCTAACGACTCGTCCCGGGCTCCCTAAGGAATAAAGAGGGCGATTCGCTTGGATGAAAACATAAGTGACTTAAAGACTACCACGATGGCGACGGCAACGAGAATGTAGCAAACAAGAGATCTAATGAGCACACCATAGCGCTGCCCGTGTGTTTCAAACTTCGATCATTTCTTAGCCGTCCCATGTGAGGCATGAAATCACCTTTACGTCCTCTAAGCAAGGAAACCTGGACAGCAGTTTATTCATGCTTTTACCTTGAATTCAACACAACTTTCCCATGTCATGCCGAAAGGAATATGTTGTATTGTTGAAAACGGTAAACGCATCGAGATAGTGGCGAAACTCTTAGTAGAAAAGGATCTTTGTTTTCGGCAACGTTTTCCCACACATCGCCCTAGTGACATCTTAAACTCCCTACTTAACCACTTCACAACCCGTCAGAGATTACCGCTTGGGATTGATCGACCAAATGCTCATCTGTCAGGATGTTCCCCTCTTAAATAAGTGACGCGTAAGGGAAGCATATTCATGGAGGAACTCCAACAGGCGAATATTGTCACACTAAATAAACTTGCAGACGCCCTTACGCAAAATAACCTTAGAGCAAATCCATGCAACTTTACCAGAAAATAAATTATCTTCCCAATCAAACGGGAGTCAAGTCAAGGTGAACTCGCGGGAATCCCAATTTTTGTCTCGATCATGCTTACATGGAGTTGCGCTTTACAAATCTTAATCGTTGTGATTGTTATTATTGTCATTACTATTATTATTAAAATCTACAATCTTGATCACAAGGGATTGGAAAAGTTTGCTCTCGCACATTTTCTTCAATAAAAATGAAAGTGATGTACTACAAGCACAAAAACCATTGGCATTCCGACGTCTCTTTTTCCGCGAAAAGTTTTACCATTTGTAAAAAAGAAACAGAGATAGTATAATAAAATTTTATCATAAACAGACGCAGCGCTTTCTAAATTGAAAATATTAAAAACTACCCATTGCTAATTGTCTAAAATATTATTATTGCATTAGAAATAAAAAATAAAATGCACTTACCAGCTCTCCTATCCTCCCAGTGTCTTGGACCTCGGCCTGGAGACAGTTCACCTCTCGGACGTCTGTCCCGATCACGCGATTCGTCGTGCGGACGATTCCGGTCGCGTGGATGATCTCTTTCACGTCGGCGCTCGGGATCCCATGGCGCCGCTCTATCACGAGGAGGGTCTTGGTACCGGTCCCCTGGCGGCCGACTTCTGTCGGGAAAACCTCGGCCCCCTATGGTCAAATTAAACGTAAGAGGGAAATTTAAGAACACTATGAAACTCAGAAAACTGTGAACACAAGAAAGAGCAGACTAGTTTGTGGTTTGGTGAATGGCGGTTCACTCGAGCGTTCTGCCCGACCTCATCGCCTGACAAAGACCAATAGTATAGCAATCGAAACGCAACTTTCAATACGCGATTTATTAGCCTGACTCTTACATAGTGAGACAAAATGCGTAAGTTAACATAAAATGCGTCGTTATTACAAAATGCCGCATTGCACCGGGACTTGCTGGCCTATGTGGTTGTTTGTAACTTTTGTGAGACAACTTGGTTATGAAACCCTGAAAGCACACCACCAAGTTACTACCCTGGTAGTAAGGTGGTGGCATCGTAGCATAGCGATTAAAAGCAGTTAATGAGCCGTTTTTGCGCAAAGTGAAAGGGACACAGGGCACAAAGTTGGGGCAACCAGCCAAGCACAGACATTTTCTTGATCAGTGAGAATGGTGAGATCACCAAATGACATAAGACAGGAAATTAAAACGATCCCTCACCACACTAATATAACTAATCAACTACTTGTGATAAAGTTTCCAATTCCCGGAAAATACCCGAGACAAGCATCTATCTCGACACCCAAGGGCCTGTCGGTTATTATCTCAGACTTCTCATAAACAACAAACATCATCTATTGCATATAACAGAGGTCTGCTCACCTCTGACTCCTCTGCCTCGCGGGGCACCTCGGCCACGCTCTGCATACTGTCTAGGTGGAGGTGAAATTCTTCTTCTACTCTCGACGGTTCGACCGCGGTTTTCGAAAGGCGCGGAGTGCCCCCCTCTCCCATGCGCTGACTCACGTCCCATACCATAACCGCCTTGGTCTCGTGGAGGACCCTGGCGATAACCCTCCTCCCTGCGTCCTCCTGGAGATAAACTACGTCTTCGCTCTTCAAATCGATGCGGCCCGCGCGGAGGTCCATGGGGTGGAGGTGATCGACGTGAGCCGTGGGGGATGGGAGGCGAACGTCTGTGATGGTCAGGCCCAGGCCCAGGCGGTGGATAACGACCTTCTCTGTCACGTGGTCTCTCTCCGGCTCTTTCACGGCTGCGGCTGAAACAAAGAACATAGCTCGTTTTAAGTGCACGTTTTGGGACCAAAAAACAATGCTTGAATTGGCCAGGTTGAACCAGGTTGGGCAGTTAGATACTCTCTGTTGGAAATAAAGCGATGACTAATCGGTCATAAAATTGACGGAAAAACTTGTAAAGTAAAGGACAAACTCAACGTCTGTAAATGACTTGAAGTGCACAGTAATTAAAACCTCACTGACAACACAGCGGAAAATTAATTACTTACTTATCAGATATGTCTTGCCGAGGCATATCCGGTCTCCTTCTATCCCGGTCGCCAAACTGCACCTCTCTGTTGTCTCTTTCACCGCGCCCTTCCCAGTGTCTTTCATCTCCCCCTTCGAACGGACGCCTGGGAAAATCACGCCCGCCTCGGGGCCTCTGCATGTCATCTTCGTGCTCGTCACGGACACGGCCTCGTTGATGGTCGTCACTGCGATCGTCTCTCCGTCGCGAACGTTCTTCCTCTCTCTCTAACTCTCGATTGCGGGAACGTAAATGATCTTCATCGCGATCTTCGCGTCTTCGAAGATATTCCTCGTCTACCTCGGGTTTCCTGCGTGGTGGTTCACCGCCTCGGGGCTCTTCTGCCCGGCTTCGGTAATGGTCGTCACTTCGATCTGGCTCACGATCTCGAGCTCGGTAAAAGTCGTCGCTTCGGTCATCTTTTGGGCGATTGCGTTGGTGATAGTCGTCCTGACGTTCATTGCGATGTCTTAGTCTGCCAGGTTCTTCGTCTCGAAGTCGGGCCCTCGGATAATCTTCGTCTACTGAAGCATGACCTCGGCTGCCTCGCGACATGTCGTCGACCCCATCATCACCCCTCTGTCTTGAGTACCTGGTATCACGTTCAGGTCGCTCTTTGCTTCGAGGCACAGACGCCTCCTCGCGATAAGGCAGCGACTCAGATCTCCCGTCGTGAAATTCTTCGCGATTTCTTTCATCTCGACTGCGCACCGGGGGATTGCTAGGGGTAGGTGGAGTGTAGGGTCCACGGTGCCGAGGGGCACCCCGGTCGCTTGAGCCTTGCTTTGGTGCGTCATCGTAATCAGGTTCACCCGGAGGAGTCTGTGGTCCTCGTCTGTCTCCCCTGGGCGGTGGGGTCCTATGTCTGCGCTGTTCCCCGGGTGGTGTGATAGGGTCCCGAGCGGGGATATCTTCGGGAGATGGGCTGCGCGGTGGTTCTTCGTCAACAACTTTCTTTCGTCTCTCGCTCCTTCCCTCCTCCACATGACGTGTATCTTTTATTGCCACTACTCTTCGTCCGTGTTCTGGTGTACCAGGCGATCTTTCTTCTCTGTAAGGCTTCTCGTGGCCTTTCGCTTTTACTTTGTGTTCTGCTTCTCCCGGCGGCTCGTTATTGTGGACCTCACGAACAGTTTTTCGAATACTTCCGTCGGAGGGGTCCGTGCTCCTGCGAGTCCTGCTCTCGCTGCCGTAGGGAGGGGCTGGAGAATTAGAGCCTTCTGGAGACGATAGAGCTGTTCTTCGACGCAGTTTTTCCACAGGTACCCTTTGCTCTTCCGGAGTAGGTGATCTCTTTTCCCTTGAAATCTCCTCCGGTGGAAGAGTTCGCGGAGGTATTTGCCCAGAGGAACCCGTGGGACTTAAATAAGTATCCTCAGAAATCCTGGTTGCTTGGCTTTCTTTTTTCTTGGGCTTCACCTGCTTCTTCTTTGGGACCCGTGGCTTTTCTGTAGCTGTTTCCTCAAACTCAGGCTGCGTTCGAACAGATGCTTTAGGCTTTTCGGGTGATACATCTGTCACTTTTTGAGGTCTTTCCTCCACAATCCCACCATTCGAACCTCCAGCAGCTGGTTTAACACCTTTCCGTTTTTTCAGCCCTTTTGTTGACGGAGAGATCTTACGTTTCGCCTTCACCTTCTTCCCTTCCCCATCCGCCTTTTTCTTCTTTTTCTTCGGAGTCGACTGTGAGGAGACTGGTGAAAACTCATCTGCAGGAGATACGGACGACTTCTCTGGGTGCAGCTTGCTATGAACCACGGGAATCGCAGGTTTGAGGTCTTCATCTCTCTCTTTCTTCACATCTTTCACCTTTCGTTCGGCCTTCTCCCTCTTAGCGTCCTCTTCGTCCATGAGAGCCAGCTGGCGTTGAAGATCTTGTCGTCTCTTCTCTAAATTGAGCTGCCGCTCGTAGTCCAGCTCACCCCGCTCTTCCCACTCCAGATCGCTACGTTCCTCCTCGTAATCTTCGTCTCCCCAGTCCCTTTCCTCTTCCTCTGGACTCTCGTGCTTAGCGATGACAACTCCGCCGCTGAGTTGACGCTTTCTCACTTTCTTTTTTCGTTTCCGGTGGTCATCTCCATCGTCCCCCTCACCTGATTTTTGATTAAGAAAAGCAATAAATAAACGGACGAAAGTCGCTGCTTTGTAACGAAAAGTTAAACTTAGAGGTGTAGTTCTATGACGATTCCGAAATATCGAAACTGGCCGATCAGACCATTTAAGTGTTACTGTCAGTTACCTTCACAGACACGTTACAAAACGTGCTGTCAATTACTTTAAGAGATGTGTTATAAAAAGTCAGTATTCAAAACGAGAAAAATTCTCCTGCCTATTTGAATTAAACAACCCTTACCTTGAGATGAGTCTTGATCAATCTGCTGTCGTCTCTTTAGCTTCTCACTTTTCTTGCTTGGCTCAGAGGATTCCTCCAGAGGTCTATGTTTCTTCTTTTTCAGAACTGAAATTTCTTTCTCATCATCATCATCAGGCTCTAAACTATCAAGACTTTGAGTTCGAACAGTAATGGCACCATCATCTTGAAGAAAATGAAATACCAGTGATAATTAATGTAATAATCTGGTAAAATATAAATAACTCTTTAACCCTTAAAAGTGATTAGGATCTAATATCTCAGTACATTATCACTAATCAATCAAAAATTAAAAGTTGTGAGAGTACAGCCACTCTGTTGATGAAGCTTTGATTGTTCAACAAATTCTCCTTGCCAATACTATAAGAAACCTTTAGAGCACAGTATTGAGAATATACATACTGATATTAGAGTATAAAGGGAAATAAGTATTAATGTTTCATAAAATAATAATTTTGTATTCTGTTGTCCATTGTACTTCTTTCAGTTTTTTGTGGTTGTTGTAGTTGTTTTATTTTCAAATAAGTATAATGGCAAAGTAGTTGCAGGGCTTAATGTATTGTGTTCTTTGGCAAGAGAATTGATTTCAGAGTGCCTTGCTCCAATCATGATATGCATAAATGTCACGTCAAATTATAAGCTCACAAATATACATTGACCTCTTTGATTATCTCCAAAGCTACCATAATAAAACAAGAAAGGTTCTTTCAATCAGCTGTGGCCTTCTGGGCCAGTTATTTACCTGAGGTCTACCCTGGTAACCCAAACCACAGTTTTACACAATAACTAGGCCTCAGTCTTTCACCATAAGAGGGTTGATCTAAGTAAATGAATGTCCTTCCCTTGTCAACCCTCTAACTCTTAAGATTTCATGAGTAATTCTCCTTACTGTCTGCCATACAATTTATATGATGTTTGTTTGGAGAATTTGAAATTGGAACGACCAATAATCTCCTAATTGATATTTTTCTTTATTCTCATTACTTGGCTACTTAATATCATGCTGATAATGTAAGGAGAAATTCTGTCTAGATCACTAGTGGGACTGAAAGGGTTAATTAACTTTGGCCCTCTTAACACTGTTCATCAAAATGAACGTTCAGATAAAAGGTCAGCTAAACTGAGGATTGTTTAGGATGCAGTTTTATTAAACAATGACTAAAATTTGTTTAACATAATCAGACCATTGAATTCTATGGCCTCTCTACTACTTGCAGCATACACATATGCCCAAATCAAAATTACAGGAACAATTGAAATAAAATCTACAGCAATTCGCAATAATTCTTACCTCCTTCTGATCTGTTTATACCAAGACCCGCATCACATCATTGGTAAAGATAAAGAGCAAAAAAGAAAGTTAGTTTGCACAAAGGGGGTAAGTTTCTAAAGAAACTGTGGTGCTGCATCAGTGGGAGAGTAGAACAAGGTAATTTAATATTATCAACTGAGTTGATAATGCAAATTGGTCATGGCAAAGAGTTTCAAAACTGAAATTTCGATTGTTTGCCCTTCCTCAGAATGAATGACAAAGGGCAATCACTTGAAACGTCAGCTTTGAAACTCCTAACAGTGGCCAACTCAGTTGACAATACTAAATTACCTCACCCTTACAGAGCAAGCCAGCAGGCTCTCATTATTAGAGCTTTGGCATGAGTGTTACATCACCCTAAGGAAATTATGAGGCCTTGAGCTATGCAAGACCCCAAACTTATGAGACCTGGCCATGGGCTAAAGCTTGTGAAGAAAACTCTTGCATATAAGCAGAGACCCTGATTATAACAAAGAGTTCACCATTGAATGGAAAGCAATCTACTAAAAACTCCCTTGCAAGAAACATGTGTTGGTTGTTGAATGATTAAAAACAACCAAATAAATATTCAAAAGTTTATTTAACCCTTAAGCTCCCAAGATCTCATTAGTAATTCTCCTTACTATCTGCTATATAATTATTGTGATGTTAGTTCAGAGAATTTGGTACTGGATCAACTAATAATCCCCTGATTGACATTGTTCTTTATTCTCGTTGCTTGTCCACCTGATATTGTATTGATATTGTGAGGATAAACTCTGTTTTGGTCACTCATGGGAGTTCAAGGGTTAAACAACTAGATTATCAGCAAGAATGCAATCCCAGTATATGTATAGCTATTTATGTACCCTAGTATTAATCTGTCATGGTTCATAACTAGAAAAAACACTTCCTTTTACACACTTAAATCTGCAAGTGATCCCAAAGTATGATTCTAATTTTTTTCTAATTTTTTCGCTGCAAACTTTAGTCAAACTAAGAAACACACAATTTTTAGTTTTTACTTCAATGTTACTACAAAAATCATACCTGTCAACATCAGTTCTCACAATGCTTCTGACACTCTTAGTTCTTGATTTTGGTTCAGAAAATGGTCCGTGAAGAAATTTACAATTTCTTCCAAATTGACATCTTCCATCTCGCAACCAGTTTCTACATTTTTCAGGAGGATATGACTCTCTAGATCTTGAACGCTATGTAAAAAAAAAATTACAGACTACTAAGTATTGACATCTATATAGTGGTCACATTTTTAGACTGACTTTGCATATCTGACCTGCAAACAAGAAAAAGTGCAAGGAAAGAGAGGTCCTTATGATTCACACCTGTGTGTAATTCTCATTTATAAAGTTTTCATCAATGAGCCCCTCATTAATTCCCCTAACCATTTGAACCCCTAAAAATTCTTAGCATCTAATTTCTCCTTACACTATCACCTCTGAATCAAATATCAAGGTTACAAGAATAAAGGAAATGATCACCAACTAACGAACCTTGCTTATTGGATAAATTCTCCTTGTCACCACCTCAGAAAATGTATAGTGAACATTTTGGAGAATATACATACTGATGTTAAGGTATAAAGGGTTAAGAGGCTAATGTTTACCAAAAGGACTTTTCAAAAAATGTTACCTACCTACATTGTATCCTGAAAACAATACAAGTCACTGTTAACTTGGGGCGTGTAATCTTTCTTTTATACATTTGCTAGTTAATTTAGGTTCCTCTCCCTCTGTTTCAGGCCAGGTTCATTGTGTTTCTCTTTTATATAAATAATGGGGCAGGGGGGTGTTCAACTCTTAAATAATGGACTGAACTTGAGCTCAAATCATGCTGACTATAGTCAACATTTTGCCAGTCTAGGAAATCCCATCTGATTAGTAAATCTTAAATGAAATTTACTTGAGTTTCAGCCCCCTATTTTCTAAAAATCTTTCCCACTTATTGATTTTGTCAATCCTTTAACTCTCAAGTTCTCATCATAAAACTTCTCCCTATAATATTTATTCATTATCCAACAAACAGGTGACGAGACTTTCAAACTTATCAGGTAGAAGCTGTCATCTTGATCTAACACCAAATTCTCAAAACAAATTTACAAGGAATTGTGAAGCAGCTAGGGAGGGGGAGGAATTAACGGTCAGATCTTAAGAGTTAGAGGATTAAATAGTAACTGACAGCCACACACACACACATGTTATTAATCAATTTATCACTAGTAAACTCTTCCTTTGATTCTACATGAAAGGAGTCACTTTGCTGTTTTTTTTTATATCGTTCCATGTAATCGGCGGGGAAACACAAGCATTCCATTCGGCTACGAAATAAACCGACAAGATTTCAAATAATATTCGCATGATTTTATAGTCACTCACTTCGCTTGTCCCTGGACCTAGTCTGTCAAAAACACTTCGCCTGGTTCCTGAGCTCGATGACGAACTCTGGCTACTTCCTTCTGGAAGCTTCTTACTTCCTTCTACCGTAACCTTCCTTGTCAAACGTGTCCCCGACATTTAGAATATCTCAATAAAACGCTGCTGCGAGATCACAATACTTCCGTCGCCATCTTGCTCCTTGGTAACCTAGCAGAGCCTGTAGAAGCCTGCATTATTTGTTAGTCAGTGCTAACAGTAAAAATTTATGCGTTAAGCGCACACGTGCGTAAAATTCCAAAATGGCTTCGGAAATGCTGACTTCGTGAAACTTTTAGTTGTTTGGTTAACTTTGTTCGAATAGTCGATCATGAGTACACAAGAAACAGGTGGAGGCCTTTCAAAGTGGCAGATCGCGGCCCTTATCGGTGCGCCCATTGCCGCAGCGTGCGTTTTAGGTGCCCTATACTATTGGAGGTCCTCACAAAGCTCAGAGGAAAAAGATCCGGAAAAAGGAGAAGAAGTTGACACAGCCACAAGTACAAGCGGTGTACCTAAAAATGAAGCTCCTGAGAGCGAGGAAAATATGGTGTGTGTGAGAAAATAATTAGTCAAAAAATCCTTGCTTCAGCTCACCACCCCTTAAGTGGACTCTGTCTTGGGCAAGATACTGCTTCACCCCTCCCTCTCTTAACCCTTTAGCTCCCAGAGATGATGAACTTGTAACTTTTCTCAACGATATCCATTCTTTATCCAGCAAAAGGGTAACGAGAATATCAAAACTTATCAGGTGGAAGTTGTTATCTTGATAAAACACGAAATTGTTAAAACAAATTTACATATATTCTCTTACTAATTTACAAGGAAATTATAGCAGCTAGAGGGGAGAGTTAAAAATCAGATTGTGGGATTCAAGGGGTTAAAATTGGATGTTTTGCAATCATTAGAATAGATCCTTTTGATCATCCTTCCTAATGGATTCAAATAAGTAATGTTTGACTCATCGATAGTTACTCCCAATCTGTTTTCCTATGTGTCTATTTAACCCCTTAACGGTAAAATTTCCACACAGCCCCATACTATTGTTAAACAAATGTGTTTTCCCAATGGCAATGTATTGTTTTTTTCATTGTTTTCTCTATCCAAGAACTGAATGCATAATTTAGTATGGAGCTTAGCGGAAATTTTATCCCCCTTAACTCCCAAGATCTGATTCTTAAACCTCCCCTCTAGCTGCTATACATTTTCTTGTAAATTAGTGGTGAGAATTTTGTGTGAGATCAAGACAACTTCTACCTGATAATTTTGATTATTCTTATTGCCTGTTTACTAGATGATTTATGGATATTACAGGGATATGTAACATGTTCATTGCCTCTGCCGGGGAGTTACAGGTTTAAGTTATTTTATAGACAATACCAACTTACCTAAACTTCAGGCCTTAGTAGTTGTTGAATGACAAGCAGATGTTGCTATGTACAAGTCACGAAGCATTCAGAGGTGTGGCAAGGGTGAAGCAATCATGTATCTGAGAAGGCACATATGCATCCTAAGATTTTAAAATTTATGTCTTATGTATGGGCAAAAAGTGTCTTCATTTATCCAAATGAGTGGTGTGAAGGAGTAATGGAAACAGAATGAAAACTGAAAGCTTTAATTATGTGGTATCTGTAGTTTCCTATTAGAAGGGGAGGCATCTTGCCCTTTCCTCATAGAATTTATTGTCAACCAGTTTTTCCTAAATGTTGCTTTAAACCCATGATCCGTTCCCACGGTGAACAATACATGATCTCAAAGTGGTCCTCCCTAAGCCTTTTTTTTGAAAGGAAGGTTCTGCTAAGATAAACAGCAGAGGGAACATTGTTTTGTGTAATAAATCAACAATTGAAGCATAAAAATAGCAATGTTTTCTACTCCTACAGTCTCCAGCAGAAAGAGCTCAGGCTATCAAACTGAGAGGTAACAAGTACTTTAAAGGTGGAAAATTTGAGCAGGCAATTAAATGTTATACAGAGGCAATTGATCTGTGTCCTCAAGACAGCAAGACTGAGCTGGCAACTTACTACCAGAACAGAGCAGCAGCATATGAACAACAGGTAACAGAGCTTTGCCTTTTGTCCCAAGTATTTCAACCAATGGCTCCAAGGCTTAATGACATTATTCACTCAAAATTCTCAAATGTGGTCATAGTTTTGATTAATTGGTAGCAGGAGTTTGTGTTACATCCAATTCTGTCTGTAATCATACTCATGATTGACAAATTGGACTCATGCCAGTTATCTGATTTTGTTAATCACTCATATGAGTACAGACCAAATTACACTCCACTCAATCCTTAATTGATTTCATCTGGTTGAGCTGCAACTGTCCCTGTTTTGTAATGACAATAGTTATGTTTTACATTTTATAACAGAAAAACTATGAACAAGTACTTGCAGATGCTACCAAAGGTAAGAGCTAAGTGTGAAACAAAATGTGTAAATCATTGAATTCTAGTTGAAATTGGCACCTACACTACTTTGGACCCCACCTCTTTAGAAATCTGCAACAGAATCTTAAACTTTTACACCCAAACATCATTCTTCATATTCTCTGCACTGATCTTTGTACATTTCCCATAGCAATGACAAAGAGAATTTGTTTTATAATCAGGAGTTTCTTTCAATTAGTGATAATTTCTGTTGTTCTCATGACCTTAACATTTGATTCAAGGGTGATTCTGTAAGGAGAAATTAGAAGGCGGCTCTCTTTAGGGTTCAAGGGTTAACTTATATGTCTATTTATAAGTCCATGCAGGCGACTTTGATATTTCTTGTTTAACCCTTTAACTCCCAGAAGTGATTAACATAAAACTTCTCCCTACAATATCCATACATCCTTCAGCAAACAGGTAATGAAAATATTCAAACTTATCAGGTAGAAGCTGCTATCTTGATCCAGCACCAAGTTCTTATAACTAATTTACAAGTTAAAGGGTTACTATGCTATTTCAGTTTTCAAGCTGGTTTAAAAATCTGCAAACTATGCTGTCATGTATTTCTTAATTCTCTAGCCATAGAACTCAATAAGAAGTATTCCAAAGCATTCATGAAGAGAGCAAGAGCGTATGAAAAACTGGACAGAAAGGAGGAGTGTCTTCAAGGTTTGTCCTTGATTTTAATGTCTTGAATGTAACCCCATATGAACTCACATAGTGTAATGGTGCTTTAAACAACACAGCCTAGAAGTAGAGCTTCTGGAATCTGAAGATATGGGGTTTGATACATAGTGAAGGATTTTTTTTTTCTATGTCCCACAGTGTTTATTTTCTACTGAGCCAAAGAAAATGATAATCTTTCTGATCCTGTCTGGCAGATCTTACAGCAGTGTGCATGATTGAAGGGTTTAATAATCCAAACTGGATGATGCAGGCAGATAGAGTGTTGAAAGAAATTGGTAAAGAGAAAGCTCAAGAGTATTACAAGGTAGGAGTTATTATTATTTTTTTTGAGTCAATTTCATTGCTGGTTGGTTTGTGATGCAAAATTTATATGTTGTGTCTACATTTCTTAGTGATTATGGATGAATGAATTGCCATGGTTGAATTCTTTCTCTTTGCAGAACAGAGAACTAAGTTTGCCATCTTCAACATACACTAAAGCTTACCTGGAATCTTTCTGCAATGGTGAGTTTCTGACAAAGTGTTGCAGCAAATTAGGAATATATAACCTTGATGGAAAGATAAGTTAATAATCTACAGAAGTTTAAGCTCTGCTACTAAATATGAACAATGGAGTTTAAGTCTGTACTGAACTTGGACAATATCTCCCTTACTGCATTACATTTTGTAATTTAATTTTCTTTCAGATGACACAGTGGTTGTTGATTCTCTGGAAGATGTACCTGAGGACTCACCATTTCTTGAGGCTGTTAAACAAATGAAAGAAAAGAAATATGAAAATATTGTTGACTTATGTACTCAGCAAATCGAGAAAGGTAATGTTGATGAAAACAACTCTTACCATTACACCATGAAAATGTCCACTTCTTAAGTTTGTCATGACCCTTCACCATCATGGCATTTTCAGTTCTCAATCAGTTCTCAGTTAAATCATTAACATTTGTTGCAAAACTACACTTTCCTTAAATTGTGGCTATGGAAATAGTTGTAAGAGAAGTTTTCAAATATTGAGTGTTGTAAAACCCTAGTTAGCTCAGGGACCAATCTGAAAAAAAGGTTCACATTATCATTAGCCAGTGAAAACTCAAAAGGAAAACTAGGAAACTACTTGGAAAAATGGGAAAATGGGAATTTCCAAGTGACATTTGTGGTTAGTTTTGCATCTGATTGGTTGAGAGGATGGTGCATGTTTTTTGGACCAATCGCAGAGCAAAGTTATGTGAAATCTTAATTTGGAATAATTTGAAACTCGATTGAAAATTGTTCCATTGGTTTATTTCAAGTTATCCAAGGATAAATCAATATACACGCCTCCATACAGCTTTATTTTTAAATGTTATTCTTACTTTTTTTCCAATGGCTTCTTTCTTTCATTTAGGAATTGGACCACTTTATATAAAGGCTTTGGCGCTAAGAGGAACTTTGTACACCCTGATATCAAAAGTAGATGAAGCAATCCATGACTTGTCACAAGTGATAAATGCAGATGACAAAACTATCTCAACTAAGGTAGATTTCCAACCCTGATAGGTCTCTAGTTACACTTTTTTTGGTAATGAAGTCATCTCTTTAAACGTGCCACCTCGAGATATCTTCTCATATGCCCTATGCAGCACTCCAGGCCCAACCCCTAGCTAGGGTCATTAGGTTATTTTGTCAGAGGATACACTTCACTCTCATTCTGTTCTATGTAAATTTCTTAAGGTGCTGACAAGGAGAATTTGCTTAATAATCAAGAGGTGCTTTAGTTTTCGATCATTTGCTCTATTCTTGGGACTTTCGTGTTTGATTCAGGGCTGTTAGTGTACAGAGAAATTAGATGCTAGTCAAAAGGTTAAAACTTTGGTTAGGAGACACCTTCCATTTATTCGTTTATTCACTTATTTAATAAAAAAAAATCTGTGCTGATATCCATCTGTCTTTCATAGCGTGCTTAATCTTTGGTTGTTTTTTTGTGTCTCGTTCCTTGACTCTTATCTTGTTCATGAACTTACATAAACAGTTTTCGCGAAGATACATCCATCCGGACTCCAGGCTCAGTCAACAAAGCTTATTGATAACTTTTATTTTATTTTATTTCAGCTAAAAGTTAATTGTCTGATCAAGAGGGGAAGCATGCAGCTACAAGCCAGTAATGTAATGGAATGTTACCAAGATTTTACCAGGGCAGTATCAATTGATCCAGATAATTCCGATATTTATCATCATAGAGGCCAGGTGAGTAATGATCGAGTGCTAAAGTTAAAGATTCAGGAGAGAGTGCGCAGATTAGACCTTCATTTTACCTTCTCTGGACAGTTTTCATCTGTGTGTGATCCAAACAAAGATAAATGAACGATAGCCTTCATTTGGCGTGAAAATATGCTCGAATATTTTACTGCGGACATTATCCGTTTCGAGATGCGAAAAGTTTTCCGTACATTTATCGTATTGGACATAAAGTTTAAATGTTTAAAGAACTATAACTCCCGATGCAACTTTGTCCATCTTCTTTCTTATGTGACGGCGAATCTTACAGTACGCATACACGTTTTGCAAAATCGACCAGTCTGTCAGCGAACCAAGATTCTTTCCTTAAAGTAACTGAGGCTGAATGAATTTGAAGTAAATCTCAACTTTGTGGAAAGGAAATTCCATGTGTTTCTGCTTTGCAGTGTTAGTGGCTTGCTAACTTGCTTCGTGTACTGTTGGATTAATTTCGACATACAGTTGAAAGTAGGAAATGAAACAGGCGTAATTTTGGCGAGCGAGTGTTCAGTCTTTTCTTATTTGTAGCGGCTATCTTTGATTTTTACGACAGCGAAAGACTGGAGATAGAAAAATTTCTGCACTAAGGGGGTGTGCGATGGTCAAAAGGAAAGAGAAGGGAGGGGGTAGATAAATAGAAAACTCGTCTCTCCCCTTTCTCTCCTCCCCCACCGTCCACCCAAACTCTAAATCAAACATGACCAGTCGAGTAAACGATCGCGAGCTAGTGACGTCTCGCCCTAATACGACTTTTGCACTGTAGGCTGAGGTGAAAGTACCTTCTTAAAAACGATTTATATCGGTGTCTTGACGTTTTTTCTTTCTTCTTCATTCTAGATCTACTTCCTATCAGAGAAACTAGACGAAGCAAAGGAAGATTTTGAGAAGTGCATATCCTTAAACGACTCCTTCATCCCGGCAAAGATACAGCTCGCTTACTGTATTTACAAGTCCGCTGCTCTCCAGCAATCTCCTATCTTAGCGCACGGAGCTCTGGATATGTTGCAGAAAACTGTGGAGACTTATCCAGAATCAGCGGATGCGCACAGTCTCTATGCGCAGGTTTGTCGGAAATTTAAAGCTGAAGAGATTCTCATCCATGGCGCCTCAAATCTGTCAGATCTAAAGGGTCGGTCATTATTTTTCGCCTCCGGGTGTGGAAGCGGGGGAAGGAGAGGTGAAAGAATTTTGGTACTGACACGATGAAATTTACCTGATCCCCCCACAAAGCTCTGCGGAGGGACCCCCCCTTATTGGCAGTTAATTGGCAATCAACTTTAATACTCTGTTAGCGACTGATCCTTCTTTGTTCTCATGGAAACCATGTAATTGACTAAGCGAATTGAGTAAAATGTTGATAACCTCTTCCTTAGACGCTAACGGTCACCTTAAATACTCGCATAAACTTACCCCTCTACTTTTGCGATAGAACAATACTAATTTTCTCTGTAAGTAGATCAGAATGTCGCTGAACTTCTTCATTGCATAACTCATTTATAAGGCTTTCCTTCTCGCAGGTACTTCAAGACATGCAGCAGTTTCCCAAAGCAGAGGAACACTTTGATACTGCCATTGAGCTAGAGCCACAAAATCCAGTTCACCGCGTTTACAAAGGGTCAGTATCTAGTCGGTCTTCCACATTATACTTGGACCACAATTATGATAGGACCTAAAAAGCTTGATATCTGTTTAACCCCTAAGAGTGACTAGCATCTAATTTCTCCTTATAATATCATCCCTGAATCATGCAGTAAGGTCAAGAGAATAAAGCAAATTATCAGCAGCTATAGAAGTTGTTGATTGTCATACAAATTCTCCTTGTCAATACCTAAGGTAATATATGGAGAACAGTATGGAGAATACCTTTACTGATATTAGGGTGTAAAGGGTTAACAAATTGATCCCATGTTGCCGTGCGTGTGTTCAGTAAAAGATCACACTGAGATGACATCAAAATTTGGTAAGACCAAACAAGTGTTATACGAGGCGCAGTGGGGTGTATCACTGATGTTCTTACCGCGTTTTGAAGCCTTCTGTAATCTAGTACTCAACAGACCCACGAATCACGACCGACTCACGCCACTTGAGTCATACTGCTTAAATGACCAATCCGTTACACGAACCGGACTTGGTACATTCGAAAGACAACAACTACTCACTCGACTCTGATGATGACTTCCGCTCAGGTTGTCGAAACCTCAGCCACTACTAACGACACCAGTCCTTCACAGGAGTACACTAACCCGGACAAACACACTACACTATCGCAAAAAATAAAATGAAGTTAATGAAGACGTCATTTATGCGTCTGTCTTCCAATAGATCACACGTGGGAACCAATCAAAATGCGAGAAAAAGTTCAGCTTATCTTATAATCTTTTTTGTAGCATGTTGATGTTGCAGTCTCGCCAAGACGTGGAAAAAGCCGTGGAGTTAGTTACCGAAGCTCTAGAAATTGATAAAAAATGTGACTTTGCGTATGAAACACTGGCCACGCTGGAAGTTCAAAGGTAAGTTGTTATCATGTAACCACCTTTGTGGGTTACTTTTTACTTACTTTTTCCTTCCTAATGGTTCTGTTTTCCGTTGTAGATTGTTTACGCAGTTATGTTCCGTCTTAATATTGTGTAGTTCTTTTTTTGTTTTGTTTTACCCTTTGACCCCTAGGAGTGACCAGCATCTAATTTCTCCTTACAATATCACCCCTGAATCACACATTAAGGTCACGAGAATGAAGGAAATGATCAACAACTAAGGAAGCTCTCGGTTGTTGAACAAATTCTCCTTGTCAGCACTTTAGGAAATTGATAGAGAACAGTGTGGAGAAAATGCATACTGATAGTAAGGTAGAAAGGATTATGGTATTGAGCGGTTGATTTCTTTCTCCAGGGGAAACTTGGACAGAGCAATCGACCTGTTTAACAAAGCGATCGCACTGGTCAGGACAGAAGCCGAGTTGGCGCAGACATTTTCCCTCAGAGAAGCTGCTAAAGCACAAAAATACGTCACAGAAACACTGGGACTTACGCCACCTACTCTGCCTTTCTCGACTTAGGAACTTGTTTTGAACTGCACAACACATCAATTAAGCCTGAATTTATCTCCACTTTAGCGGTTGTTTGGTCGGCCATGCAGCGTACAATGTACTACCCACCCCACGGGAGAGAGTGTGATGTTTGACGAGACCAAACACCAACTGAGGGAACTGAATACAAATCGATGCCAAGCAACAAGATGAATATTGTCGATTTTCCTTTCGCGTGAAGGAAGTGAAAATAGAAAAACTCCTTAGGGACAAAATGATTTTAAAGTAAGGGTGGTATGTAGAGTTCAGAGGTGAAGAGGGGAGGCGGGAAGTTTCCAAAGAAACTGTGGTGCTGAGGGAACATAACAAAAAAGATTTGTTTTTATCAACTGAGTTGACGTTGACTTGGCCACCCTTAAGAGTTTCTAAAGCTGACGTTTCGAGCAACAAGGGGCAAAGAAACGTCAGCTATGGAAACTCTCAAATGTAGCCAATTTATGTTATCAAGTTAGTTAATTAAAACCAAATTATCGAGTTCTAAGATGCTGCGTTCTCCATTTGAGCACAAAAAATCGCAAGTGTTCACAATTCCTCAAACAGGCTTGCAAATTTTGTTGGTCGTGGGTCGTGTTTGCTCTATTCACTGAGATTTTGGAACCTCGATATTCCGGTTTCCATCCTTCTTTTATGAGTTAAAAATAAACTGCATCTTCATGGTTTTAAATCTGAGGCGCTTACTAACCAACATGATGTCCTATCATGAATCAAGAATCGGAGTTAGTCGATCGGTTCTTCGGAGATTCACAGAAAAAGGCGTTCGCTTGGAGACACGATAACACTATTCTTCCGTAGAATTCCCAATGGTGACAAAATAAATCTTAGCGTCTTCTGTTACAAGTACTTCCTTGTTCTTTGGGAATTAAATTTGAAAGGCAAAACGTGGAAAAGATTTTTAACTCAATTTTCATTAACAGGAACGCGCTCTACCCCACGTGCAGTCTGATTTTGTCTACGAGAGTATTAACATCCAGGGCAGAGCACTTTTTTCTCTGTTTTTTTTTTCCGGGGGGGATACAAGTATCCTTCATCGGATGACGATAGGGCACAGTGCGGAAATTGGGATTTACACCAAATGACCCCAGCAATAGTGTTAATGTTATCATGTCAATAACAGCCTAATTGTACCCCAGTTGGGTCATGCTACCAAGGCATTATTCATTCATTACTAAGAAATAACTTCGATTCACACAAAAATTATGGTACTAAAAATTGTACTATTTATTAGCCAAATCCCAGTGCTTTACATTTTAACTATCAAGGTACCGACACGCTTTAATCTAATACAAGTTTCTTAAATATTTAGGTATTCTTAAAAGTTATACGAGCGATTGGGGGGTGGAGGTCTAACCAAGATTGAATCCACCATAGAGACAGATTAAGTTTCAACCAAGCAATTTTGTTGTAGCTTCCTTTGCAACACCAAAGCTTACTTTTGTGACAGCAATCCGACGTCATGTTTTAATTCCTATAGTGCTCTGAGCTTTAAGAAAAGGAGATCTTCTCGGGGAGATCGCATTCACTAGGTCTCCTTAGGAACACGTTGAACTCTTGAACTTCCACAAGTGATCAAGATGTAACTTCTCCCTATGGTATTCCATACCAAACAGGTAATGAGAATACTCAGACTTTGAGTAGAAGTTATCTTGATCAACCACCATATTCTAGAGACAAAATTACAAGGAAATGTGTTGCAGCTAGAGGGGAGAAGTATCAATCAGATCTAGGGAGTCTAAGTTCACATCAACTTAAGTGGTCTCATTAGTAACCTCATCCAAAACGAAATCAATGATCATTAAATGGAAATGGTGGAAACAAAAAATATAACAGGGTTATAGTTATGGTATTTAAAAGTAAATTATGTTTTATCTTTCAAGACATCACAAGCTAACTGAGGTAAAAGCTTTTTTTGCTGCCGATACTGGTCTTCCTAAAGTTGTTGCTTCCTCGACAAATCAATGCCTTTATTCTCGTCTAGGTGTTGCATAATTAGCTGAACTTTTATGTCAACTCAATCTTTGAGGGACCAACAAACGAATTCGACATGTAGTCTTCTCGCTCAACACACACTTACCGCGGCTTTCCCGCGATTCGACCGCATTCAGAGTGCAGATCAATTTCCAGCGATTCACCAGCGTGATTCGTTCCGATCAATTTCCCGACCGAGATCGAAGTTCGAGCCCCCAAACGACAAAGTTGACTGTAATCAAGTGCAAGTGCAAACTGATCTTGAAGCTAACTTACAGTTCTCTTCCCAATAAATACTGTTCAGTTTACAAGTGATTTAAATACTGTTCCTGTCTAAATTAGGATTCAATTCCTTGGTTTACGCTATAAAATCTACAACAAGGCTTCAAACTGAGAGGATTTACAGGGTAAAAATGTAGTGTCCGATTTTAAATTTCCTTTCATGTTCAGACTGACGAGGTAAAGATAAAAAAGGGCTAAGATCATCAAAGAAAGAAGATGAGTTTTTCATGTCCCGCACACGTGACAAATATTTAAGTATGATTGCGACGCCTAGTGCAAATGAGTGTAACCTAGAAAGTTACATAAGTTTGGTATTGATCTCTGCGGCGACCGCTAATCTGAAATTGCTCTATGAAGAATAAACCCTCTCTTGAAAAAGCCGTTAAGTATACTAGTACGATTATAAAAAGATTGGCTCTTCAGACTTCTATTCTACTTGCGTTAAGTACATTGATGTGCTCTGAAAGACTTCGTTTATCAAGTGACAAATACATCCTATAGAAACACATTCAGAGTCAGACAAGCGCCTCGACCGGTCGACAATATTGAAAGTAGTCAATAACACAGGCTTCCACCCAGAAAAAAAGAGTTCTCAAAAAAAATGATACAAGCACGCTACTCAGTAATCGTAAAACCTGTAAGTAGGATTCTCGTAGCCGTTTTCTTGCATGTTGACGAGATGGCTCTTCTCGGAAGCACCTTCTGCGTCCTCGTCGACGAGAACTGTCTTGGTGTTGTTGCTAGGTCGCGTTCGGCGCATGGCCATAGCAACCACGATGATGATCATGATGACCAAGGCACCGCAGCTGAGGCCAATGACAGCAGAGAAGGTGGCTCGTGAATGGTTCCTTCTGAAGGGTCCTTCCTCATCCTCGGCAACGTCTTCGTCATCATCATCAATATCATCATCCTTCTTGGAAGCTGCAGTTTTACCTTTAAGAACAAAACAAAGGTAAAGATTTGTCAACAAAAGAAGGCATCTTAGGCCATAACCTGTATAAATGCCAGGTGCAATTAACATAAAGCTTTTTATAAAAATTTTAGTGTTTGTCCAGAAGATACTTATAGCGAATAAACCAACTTATCAGTTGAAGGGCTTTATCATAATGTTGTACCAGAATCTTCGCTAATGTACATGGAAATTTCCATCAGATAGAGGAGAGAGACGCATATCAAACACTTAGGAGGTTAAAAGTTAATGCCAACAACTGACCCTTCTTCTTGTAAGGTTCCTCAACCTCGACCACATCTTCATCATCATCTCCATGCTCAGGTTTACCTGCAGAAAAGGTGGTAAGACTTAGACAACTGATCAATATTCCTCCATCAAATCCCTTAGTAACACAGACACGGCATGTATGACACGGCACTGACTTGACTCACCCATGCCACCCACGTTAGTAGCTGCAGGTTGACTTCCAACATGGCTTGGTGGGTCTGTGGGATCTTTGGCTGCAGAGCTCTTCTCCACTGTTGGTGCCTCTGTGGTGGGCTGATCATAAAAAACGCATGAATAAGCATGGGTTCACAGTGCCTGTTAAGTATCTAAAATGTGGCACCAAATACCCACCATAGTGAACTAATAGACCTGGTAATGTTGCCAAAATGTCCACAACATGATACCATTTTAATTAAGCACTGCAAAATAAGGCTTGTCTGCTCATCTTCACAAATTCCCCAGTGTTAGGTTTATGGTAAATTCCCATGATTTTGCAAAACAAAATTTCTCAACTCATTGAGTGGAATTCCCAACTCGAAATATTCATTAAATTTTGTTGGATAAGGCCAGATTGTAAAATTTTAAGAATGGACTGATACCAATGCCCTTATCTGACATCAACTTCACCACTTGCTTCAAATACACCGATTTTGATTCTTTCAGATCAAAAAAAAATTTGTGGCAACATTTTATTGCTGCCCTCATACTTACCAGGACAGGTGGTTTTGGGATCCACTCTGGCAATTCCAAATGAAACTTGCGTGCAATGTCTGGCAGCTTGTACAGCAGTACCATAGACTCATTCACAAGATTATTGATGTGTTTCAAGTGGTTTTGCAGTGATTCTCGAGCTTCCTCAGCTTTCTCAGGATGGTGCTTCTGCACATAGTCGAAGTAACGCAAACTGAAGAGTAACCACACAATAAAGGATGAATAAGGCAAGGTGTATAGTACTTTTTTGCCTCCAAAAAGGCAGATACATTTCAAACCACTTATGCTTAACCCTTTAACTCCCAAGATCTGATTGTTAATTCTCTCCTCTAGCTGCTAAACATTTCCTTGTAAATTAGTTATGAGAACTTGATGCTGGATCAAGATAGCAGCTTCTACCTGATAAGTTTGAATATTCTCATTGCCCATTTGCAGAATAATGTACAGATATTGTAGGGAGAAGTTTCATGCTAATCACTTCTGGGAGTTAAAGGGTTAACTGCTTCAGAAATCTATAACAGCACCAAGTCAGCTTACTTGTGCAGACGATCCTGAGTGCAGAATCTCACATAGCGCTGCACAGCTTCCTGAATCTTATTGGCATCTTGAGGTTCTTCCTGTAGGGCAGCAACATAGTCAGCCAATGCTTTGTTCTGTTTGTCATTAAGGTCAATCTGTGTACACTGGTGATGCTCTTCCTTCAGTCTGGCACGCTCCAGTTTAACCTGATCTTCAAGGGAGCTCACCATCTTGTTGAAGGTCTCAAGGTCCGCTGTAAGAAATTATTTGAATTTGAAATTCAAAGTTTCTTGTAATACATAAATCTGTAAGTTCTGAACATTTAGTCCCACGACTGATTGGTCTGTGCAACTTGCCTGACAGGCATAATGTACCTCTCTCCTTTTTAGCATGTTCAAGGTATCAGCAGTAATACAAGTGTATGTTCATGTATAATGGGGCTGGAATCAACCCACAGACTGTACTAATAGTCATACCAAGGTCAGGGCCTTGTTGGAATGGTATGGGGCTGCCAAGGAACACTAATTCTTATGTCAAGAGACACTCAAAAGATGTTTTTATCTTCACAATCTGAATGAAAAAAAGCAGTTCTACTGGTTCTTCTCTGCAACATTTACAACCACGATCATCTTTCTTTATCATTTATGTACATGTAGGTATACAATATATGATTGCTGTTTTTATGAAAAACAACAACAACAACAAAACTAACAAAAATCAAAGGAACTTTGATGTAAATGTAAAACTGGCTTTTGCTAGTTGCATGTTTTTCACAACAAAGTAAACATCTTAAACAATGTTTTCCATCCCAATTCTAATTGAATCATTTTTAACCATGCAAAACACCCAAATCTGCAAAGCTCACCTGAAATTGAACCAGCTGCTTGGTCTTCATCGGTTGATTTCAACAACTTGTATCGTTTCTCAGACATTCTCCAGTTATCAATCAATGACTGGACCTTTGTCTTGTGGGTCTCTTCCAGTTTGTCACGTCGCTCATGATACTTCTGTCGGTCACAACCTGACAACAACAAGAACATACAGGATCACTTCTAATGAAAGACAGCTGTACAGTGAATGTCATAGACTGCAATTACAATTGACCTCAGATCTACCATGGTTGTGTTTAAAAAAAAAAAAAAAAAAAAAAAAAAAAAGTAAATTCAGTTGTAACCTTAGGGTCAACAAAATGCATTTGATAATGATACATTAAGCCATGAAAGAGAAAAAAGACACTGCTCCAGGTGATGAAAATTTTAAAAAATCTGTCTTATTTCAACCCTTTCACCCTCAAGATCTCATAAGTTATTCTCCTTATTGTTTCTCATACAATTGTAATGATGTCAGTGGGGAGAATTTGGTATCAAATCAAATAATAATCTCCTAATTAATATTTTTGCTTTATTCTTGTCACTGGTCTTCTTGATATTCCATCGAAACCAAAAGGGAAATTCCATCTTGGTCACTCATGGGAGTTAGCCATCCTTGAAAGTCAGTTCAACACTGACAACTTCCAATAACACATTATGCACATACATGTATATGTGTCTGTCTGCAAAATGATACTCCATCTACAATCTGAAATAGTACTTTTCAACCTCCACAACATACCAATTGTACTTTCTTCGACATGCTTTGCAAACTTGCTGATCTCTTGTTTCAAGTGTTCCATAACACTGGTTGGCTTTGATGTGCCAGCTGCCTCAGAAATTGGCACAATCTTAGCAGCATCAGTTGCTTTCTCGTCACTGGCATCTTGAGGACAACATACAAACTCTACGCCAGTGAACTTTCCAGTACCACATGGAATAAGGACACCATAATCCTTAACAATCATGCCTTCACTCTGGCATTTGTCTGAAGCTCGAGTGTGCCACTGGTCATGAGAGAGGCAATTGCTGTCATCATGCATATGCTCGAAACGGCATTTTGGGGGCACCAGTAAGGCATCTGACTCAAAAGGGCCAACTATCATGAATAGATAAGCAACCATCTTTATTATAACTCATTGACAAAATTTACACAATTAACAAATTGTTTCCAAAACTATAGATCACAACCCTTCGACTCCCAAGATTTGGTTGTTAATTTTCCCCTCTGGTTCTTTGACATTTCCTAATAAATTAGTTCACCCTTTACACCCTATTCTCCATACTGTTTCCGATACAATTCCTAAAGTGCTGACAGGAGAAATTTGTTTTTCAAACAAGAGAATATCTAGTTGGTGATCATTTCCTTCATTCTCATGACCTTACTGTGTGATATGGGGGTTATACTGTTGGGAGAAATTAGATGCTAGTCACTCTTAGGGGTTAAAGGGTTAAGAGAGTTTGGTATTATCAATCAAGATAAAAACTTCTAAATAACAAGTCTGAGTCGTCTTGTTGCCTGTTTGCCGAATAATGTATGGATATTATTGAGAGAAGTTACATGATGATTACAAAGGTGGAACAAAGAATCCTCTGTTTCACAAGGATTCAATCAGGAAGTGAGACTCTAGCAATGTAGTGAAAGTTACTGAGCTTTCTTCCATTCACCCCTTCAAGTTACTGCTCCAATCAGAGTATGATCTGCATAATCCTAACTGACTTACCAAGACAGCGGTATGGAGTGACAAGGCTGCCATCCACTAACACCTGCTTGTTACCCTCAACAACATTTCTCACATCTTGTGAAGGGTAGATGACCTTGCAATACCTAGTAACAGAAAAAAAACATTTGACAAAATGAGTGAGAAGTTTCAATGAAATACTGTTTTAACACCAAAACAATTTTGTTCGACATTGTACCAATTTTACAAAATCCTTTACTGTTCTCTTAGCATTTCCTTTGCAAAGATAATTTGTTTGACAATCAAGACCTTCTTTAGTAGGTGATCCTTCCCATTATTTTCATGACCTTATAAGCTGGATTCAAGTGTGATATTGTAAGGAAAAATTCAATGCTAGTCACTGTTAGGGGTTACAGAGGGTTGGAGACTGTCAACATAACATCACTCCACATCCTTACTTGAGAATTTCTTTCATAGTTACGGCACAAAGACTAGTGCTGTTTTTGTCTGCTTCCCAGCTTCCAGTGTTGACATCAATGTGCCTGGTCACTTTGCCACACTTAATGGCCACTTGTGGGTCATAGTCTAAATCATCGTTCAGATTTTCCACAAGTGCATTTCCAACCTAAACCAACACAATGCAAGAATAAATGCAATGTTTAATTGAGAGTTGAAAGTAATCCAAGGTTACTATGGTTTTACTAAACTTTCCTCTGTAATTGGTACAAAAAACTTGCACCATCCTCTCAACTAATCAGATACCATGCGAACTGTACAGTGTTTTTCCTTATTTTAAGCCCAACCAGTAGAAGAAATTTTTAAGTTTAATTTTCAAGTGTTCCAATCAATTTTACATGATAATAGGGGGTATTATAGTCAATAGATTTTATTGATTACTGCCTGAAAAGGAAAATACTATGTGAACAAGCACTTCTTACAATAGGCATGTGTAAATTGTCTTCTACAAACTAGTGACTAGTGAACATAAAAAATTTGCCACACATTTTAAACTCAACAAACAAACAAAGATTACAGTATTAAGAGGAATTTTCTCTTACAATAAGTATATAAAATAAACCATTGAGAAAGTTAACTTCATGTGCATCTACAAAGAGAAAGTGTTGACTCTGTTTGCATTCCAAGATGATGCTTAATATCTAGATTATTTCCCCCTACACAGGGTTTTCTTTAAGGTTTTAAGTAGCCAGAGCTTTTTAAAGGTAAACAGTTGTGGATCTTGAAATCCAATATGGTGGACAAAATGTTAGGGCTGCCAGCTCTTATCTACAACCCTGCCTACAGTTGACATCTAGACCAAAAAATTGAACTTGTTGGTGGAACAAAATACCTTAGAATTGATGCAGAAAAGAACATATCAATCCCTAAAATTTTGCCATTTACCATTTTTACCCTTTTGTATCCACAACTGGAAAAGCTGTTTACCAAAGAGAGATTTTGAAATGTTTATCTACTCTCAGTACTCAAGTCTAAAATACATGCATGTAGTGTAGAAATTGCAGATATTAATGGAATAATTACCAGGTTTCAAAGAAATACTGAACACACCGAATTATTACATCAAGAAATGTGGAAAAAATGATTATAGAGGAACAAAATAATTGAAAAGGGTCGAGAAACATCAATAATTTATTACAACCTAGCAAAATGTATCACCACAGGGATTGAAGAAAACAACAAACTATAGCAATGTCCTTGAATCAAACTGCAGTTTACGACAAGGTTTTTGAACACAATATGCCAGAGATTTCCCTGGTCCTTTTCACATCTTAAACTATAAGGAGTTAATTAAGCCATCAATATATCACCATGAAAAACCTAGGGATCTGCTTTGGGCTTTAATTAACAAACACTTGGTTGGCACAAAAGCCTATGAGGTAGATGTTTGCATGAAGTAAGTCTGTAAAACTCTGCATGAACCAATTCAACCAGCACATCATGACAGTGTACAGATAAAACTCATTTCAAATATTCAAAGAGTTTTGACACCAAAATATTCATCTGAGAGGAATCATAATATACTATGGCTGAAAAAAAAAAAAAAAAAAAAAACTAAAAAACAGAGGAGAAAGCTGAAACACATCTGTAACTTCACATATTCTATTGAGTTCCATAAAGTTGGGATTTACCCTTGAAATTTTCCTCAATTAGAAGTGTATGGAACAAGAATATAGGGAAAGGACAGAAAATCAATATTTATATGTTTCCAATTTGCTGTAAAAGTAAGCCCTTCTGATCACTACAAAAGATAAATTTTTTTGTGGGCCCTTCGTGTTATACAGGTTAAAAGGAGACCTATCTGAACTAACATCTATACTTATGCGTTCCGTACTTATGTAATACGCATCACAGGAAATACTAGCAAAGCTTACAGCAAGACAAACAACACGCATTTTCAGAAAACTATTGCGGAAAAATCAATTTAGGAATACCGAGTTTAAGCTTTGTCAATACAACTTTCCAATTTAAGAGCATATTGTGTGCAATCGAACTGTCTGTGACAAATTCGGAGATATGCGGATGCTTTGTCTTGTATTGCACCTGAATCTCTATATACCAATTCGTTTCAGACAAGACTGTTTCCATCTATATCCTCCATGGACAATAAACGACACGTCTTGAACTAAAAATTGCGTGGTCTAGTTTGTTGCTTTGATATTGAACAAAATCGTCTTTAAATCGGTGTAATATGATACAAGAAGGTACAATCACTATGTCAACAACAATCGATCTTCGTCCGCTTTCACAGATACTGCGCTCATTTGAAAATTTTAAGAGTTTTAATACCAATTCTACGTTCCTCTCTTTGATAATTCCATAGAGTAAGAGAGCTGTAGATGTATTCTAACAATAAAACCTTGTTTTTACAACGTTGAATGGGTTGTTAATTCAGCCCGTTCCGAAGCTGGGTTTACATATTCTTCTCAGCGAAATGTCGCTGTTCTTCAGAATAGTTCACTTGATTTTACGTCCTCGTTTCTTGAACACGAACTAGATAATTTTATTTAAAACATTAATGGCAAAATTGAAGAGAGAGAGAAGTAACGAGAAGCTTGCAAGTCATTGCGAAAGGGCGTCAAATTGATATCTGCCTTACGGTTTGAAGCGAATTGTCGAAACGGGAAATGTCTTAAATCAGAAATACTCGATTCATCTTACATTTTCGCCCAAGCAAATCAGCGCTCAGTGACTACTCAAACAACAACTACGACTATCAAATGACAGTAGTTTTTGAATGATTTTGGAAGTTATGAGACATGGCACATTTCGAAGTGTTAATCAGGACCATTTCGTCGGGGCCATCATAACTAAAATTCTTAATGTGTAAACTTAGTAAATTTCTTCCTCTTGGCCTTCGAGTCGGTGCAAACTACAAAATGTACTTACCGTTACGAAGGTTAGACACAAGAAAATCGTTTTTCGATAACTCCAATCCATTCCCTTTTCTAAATTTTCCTTTCAAATCTCAGTAATACTCGACAAAATCTCAAAATGGCTGATGAATGTCTCGCTGAGCCCGAACGTGCGAGGGACAGCAAAAATGAACAAATCACGTGATATGTAAATAAGGCTATATTTGCATGACAAAAGTTTGCGGGGATGTGATTGGTTGCCGAGGGTGACGCTCTGCGTTATTGGCGGTCATTACGGCAGCTTCTTTGTGGCCGCCGCAGAAACCGACAAAATTATGGCTTGTTATATATTCATATATTCTGGACTTTGCTTTCAATATTGCGAATGTCGTCATTGTGTTCTAATAATATCTTTCGCATGCAGAATAGATCGCGTACAAACAAAATCGACTTGGCGCCACTTTTCCTTGTACGGATGTGAAAACAGTAATTATTTGGAGTCGTTTTACAGCAGGTTACATAAGTCCATCGATCATGGCTACCAATAAAAGAAAGTGAGATTCCTGTCTGGTGGAATCTGATGAATAAATACGTGGTACGTGACACCCGGAAATTCTTCACATTGGTAAGGCCGTGGACAACTATCTCCCACCTCTTCAGCCAAAATTTCACGGAGAAATTTGCAAAACAGAGTTTTGAAGCACAACGAAACTTTAATGCACCCTTAGAAACGGATATATTGTTTCCCGTCCACGCCACGCGGAATAGATTTGAGAAAACAACAATCGCGGCGGCGGAAGCCTGAGAATTGAATGCATGTATATGCATAACGATAATCTAGCCATCCCACAAAAAAGATAAACAATTGAATAAAATAAAACAAAGGAGCAGTGATTTCAGCATTCGAAGGGCTCCGTTTGCGGTCTCGATGAGGGAGAATGGCTAACCTAACCACGGAAATAGAGGTCAGTCTGAAAAATGTTTCTGTCCAAACAAAAAAAGTAAAGCTGACGTTATTAAAATGTATCCGGTGACAGAAGACTTCCTTTATGAGCAGGGGTGTAACTCAGAAAGTTTTCAAAGGTGAGGGGAGTCAAGGTTTCGATGTTCAGTGCGCCTCTCATGAGTCTTGAGTGGATTATATCGCTGCCCTTTATCGTATTTGTACGTCGTGAAGAACCAAGCCGCAAATAGAGTATCTAATAGTGGAAAAGGGAGTAAGTTTTTAAAGAAACTGGTACTGAGTCGGTGAGAGAGTATAACAGGGTAATTTAGTGTTATCATCTGAGTTGAAAACGTAAATTGGCCACCGTTAGGAGTTTGAAGGCCGACGTTTCGAGTGTTAACTCTTCGTCAGAGCGATTGACAAAGGGCTAACGCTCGAAACGTCAGCCTTTAAACTCTTTACAGAGGTCAATTTACGTTTTCAACTCAGTTGATAACACTACATTACTCTAGTAGTGGAAAAGCTGTGTAGATTTTCGCAAACCCGAGGTAAGATTTGTAGTTCAGACCAACATCTCCATGCACTTCAAATTGTTTCATGGGTTATTGCTTCAACTGGCTGTAACTGATGCAGTCAATATTCCAAGCGACTCCTCAAACCGAGTAAGCCTTGCAAAGAGGGCAGAGGTGCTGAGCAATCTGTCCTTACAGGCGCTCATTACCCATTACCCATTATTTAGGGAAAGGGCTCCTGGCCCTCTCTAAAAATGCGGGGGGCATTTTGGGGACATAACATGAGGGAAGTATTTGTGGAGGCACCGTATTTACAGAGAAATTGGAAGCAATTACGAGACATGTTTGATAAGTTACAAAATTTCCAACCTGGTTATCCCGGTCTCAACCTTGCGAAACCGGGATCCCGGCCTATCTTGTTGCTTCCTTTGCCACGCCGCCATTTTGAAAACAACTCAATAACCTTGCCGCACGCGCGTACGTATTACGCATTTAGTGCTGTTCTGCATCCAGTCAGTCGAAGTTAAAACCCTACTCCATCCTTGATAGGAATAGAAAGCTTCTGTTTTCATTGGGTTCCTTGGTTGTGAGTTTTAAGATAACATGCTCCTTACAAAGAGAAACACGTTTGCTTTATTGTTGAGCTGTTCAGCAACTAAAATAATTTCATTTGCACTCCTGGCAGAGTTTACGAGAAAGACTGTCAGGGGACAATTTTGAAATTGTTATCAAGGCGAAAATTGACAAATCTGTCCGAAGATGGAAAGACTTTTTCTTGTATTGCCCAAGGTATGCTGCTCAACGCAACGTCCTCCTTACCTCTGCTGCCAAAATTATATTTGAAACATTGTCATCGAGCAGCGATGCAAGGAAACTAAAGTTTTTGTGGTATGATGTTGAGTCTGTAAATTACGACGTCAACTGTTTTTTTTTTTTTTTTTTGCTTGATGGCAGACTATTCGCTGTTTTAGCCTCATATAACAATTGGATTTAATAATTTACCTGGATACGTCTCTTGAAGAAAATCTTAGCTTGACGTCTTAAAAATATTAATTACATGAATCATGTAGCAGATGATGCTGTAACTGCAGCATACTGACGTTAAATGAAATGATTCATTTTCTCCCCGCAGGTATCAAGATATTTCTAATAATCAGTCGTTTATCGTGGTGGTGGCCAGTAACTGATAGTTCGGTGTCCGGCTTGGACCTTGTCACTGTCCTGTTATTCGGCGCGGTAGCTCCGGCAGAGGTTTTGACGAATCAAAATGCTGGTAACTTCGTATTATTCATAATGATTTATTCCTTTTTAGTTAATCCTAAACCTCTGCCCTACTAATACAGTCAATTTTGATCTTCACAAGATCGATTTTGCTTCGCAGTGGTCTTTGGTTCATTATTTCAAATCCCGAAGATCAATTTTTTTGTTTATTGTTGTTTTCTTGAGCGGTCTAAACAGCTCTTTCAGCTCTTGCTAGGCTATCACTTGTTTACGTTATCCAATCTGTAGTCGTTATCCAATATTTCAAATCCCGAAGATCAATTTTCTTTTTGCTTATTGTTGTTTTCTTGAGCAGTCTAAACATCTCTTTCAGCTCTTGCTGAGCTATCACTTGTTTACGATATCAAATATTCTGTAAGAAAAACATCTCAGAGAGAAAATTATATGATATGTAAACGAGTCATCGCTTACACCAAGCTTGACTCCGAGCCTGGGTACAAAATGCAACGACTTCTTCCCGAACATCCGTACATTGGCCACCGGAAGGAAGGATCACATTCAAAGATGTATCATTGACATACTATCCTGGGGGATCTCGAGTACTAAAGAAAATAAATCTCAGTACCAAAGGAGGAGCAAAGATAGGTATTGCTGGCCGCACGAGTGCGGGTAAATCGCCTTTTATAGCTGCTCTCATGCGCATGCCTAGCGCAGATAGAGATATCACGATAAACGACATTCCAGTTCAGGAAGTAAACATTCAAGAAACCCGTCAATGTATCTCCGTTCTTGGCCAAAATCCAGTTCTTTTAGGGGATTTTTGAGAAGAAATCTGGATGGCCTAAATCATTTTCAAGATGTGGTCCTATGGCGAGTGTCAGAGGACGTGCAGCTGAGAGATTTGGTAGAAAGTCTAGAGGGACAGCTTGAGCACGAATTGCCAAGACATAGCACTAACTTCAGTGTAGTAGAGCGGTATTTGATTGTCTGACTAGTGTCCTGTTGCAGCGAAGCAAGACCATAATATTTCAGTTTCAAGACGGAAATGTTCTCACATTCTGACTACACTCACACGAGACATTCCAATACGAAAAGTTCATTTAGGATTACTTATTAAGTCTGTCCTATAATACACACATGCTAATACAATCTTAACATGTGTACACTAAAACTAGGGGTTCTACAAAAAGAACCTGTGCTACGCCAGACGAGAAAAACCAATTTAAAACCACTTTTAGATAAGGTCAAAAAAATGTGGAAACGTATTCTTCATTTAATGCAGCAGCACAATACCCCAAGGAAAGGGTAAAATAACCTGGTAGCACTACTAATCACAAAGAAAAATCAATGATCTTAATAATATTTTACAGGGAGTTGGAACTTTGTTTACAACAAATTAAATACAAAAAATTAAGTGGTCAAACATAAGACTGACCGACCTAAAATGACGTGATTTTCCCGCGAAACGCTTAAATAATCTGAAACTTCCATGATGCCACGCGAGCCTCTTCGACGCGCCATCTGGGCCCAGCTGTATAAAGGGCGGATAACGCTATCCAACGGATAAATTGCTATCCAGCGGATAAATGATAACAAAACGTATAGTGTTATCCACCGGATAGAGATTTATCCAGTGGATATAGCGTTATCCGATCTTCGAACAACCGGGGCCAGAATGTTAATTCCCAAAGGTCAGGAATTGCTGAAATTGAGCCCTTTTGTTGGAAATCTGTATATTACTATTTTTCATTATTATTATTATTTTTACAACATTTTGTAATTTAAGTTAAGATTGCAAAATTTTTATCTAATAACAATACATTTCTCACGATACACAACACTTACACTACATTGCTTACAACAAACAAGGCTTGTGCATTATATCATCGCACAGATATATCAGTTACAAATTTCTTAAACGCAATTCAATCTTGGAGATCTGTTTTAACAATTGTAAGCCTCGAAAAATGGTATTCCTGACCTCCTTACAATTGACTGTTTCTGATAATCAGCAGAGTAGCACGCAGCTGCTCGTTTACCGTGCGCGTTGTGCCGGGCTTTGCATGTGGGGCCTGGTTACCTAGCCGCTTCCAAAATGGCGGCGTCCATCGTGCAACTCTTACAACATTTTAGAACAATTTTTCGAAGGGTTTTAAAAGTCTTAGGAATCAAAGATGTATCAATATAAAGTAATACATGAGTTATTAGAAAAGGAAGTGTTTGCAGAATAAATCGGAGAAGTTCTGCTGTGTACATGTGCGAAGCAAACCAATTCAAGAACTACAAATGATTAAATATAATGATAAGAATAAGACAATTTAATTATTGACATAAATTAATTGATAACATGGTTAGGGAAATTTGAAGTCGGCCGATTATATTTCTAAGATAGGTTACGGGAATATTTTACTTTATCATCGATTTCCAATCGTTTCTATTTAGCTCGAGATACAGGTTACCCGTACTGTAGCTTTGTTTTGTGAAAGTTGATCGGCAAACTTTATTTTCTGGCACTGAAATATTTAATTACGATGTTTAACCCTTTGCCCCTTTGGAGTGACTAACATCTAATTTCTCCTCACAATATCAGCCCTGAATCAAACATTAAGGTCATGAGAATAAAGGAAATGATCAACAACTAAAAATAGCCTTAGATTCTTTAAAAAATTCTCCTTTCCAGCACCTCAGGAAATGTATAGAGAGCGGTATGGAGAATATGCACACTGATGTTCGGGTGCAAAGGGCAGATGACTTTTTGAACCTATAGATAGGCCTCATGGGAGGTCTCAGCCTAGAGGATCTTTGGAGGTCTCAGCGTAAAGGATCATGGGAGGTCTCAGCCCAGGGGATTGTGGGAGGTCTTAGCCTAGGGAATCATTGGAGGTCTCAGCGTAAAGAATCATGGGAGGTCTCAGCCTCGGGGATCATGGGAGGTCTCTTTCGTAAACTTTGCCCTGTTTACTAGGGATAAAATTCTAACGAACTAGACTCAATCAAACTGTTTTATTCCACTCTCGTATTCGCTTATTTACAACGGGTGTGTAAAAAGATACTCTGCAAAATTTGTAAGAAATCACTCCCTTATACGATATTCTCTACATTGTGATTGGTGGTTGCTAAGTACTGAATTAAAAGGTCATTCAAGGTTGCGTTAATCATGTAAACCGATCAATGTCCCAAAATCTCTACAGGCGGTACTTCTAGCTCTTGACATAATGTTCACACTCATCATCTGACATGTGTCACGCACGAATCAAAGTCTCCGACATCTCCGGTCTAGGGGGTCTCAGCCTAGGGGATCATGGGAGGTCTCAGTCTAGAGGATTTGACACCCATATTATAGGACAGATTACTATGTCAGGACTAGAAGTTTCTATAAAAAAAAACAAACAAACAAAGAATTATGAAGCATGTCGAGTTCATGATCTTAGATAATTTTACAGTAAAGGAATAAAAAACGCGCCGAGTGTATTGTTGAGTTATAGAAGCACGCGGGAATTTTTAAGAACACGAGAGAAATGCGGAGCACGAGCCGAAGGTGCTTACATAACTCAACAATGCTCGAGGAACAAGTTTTTTATTTCTTTTATAAAATGTATCGTGAATTACGCGCGCTCATACCGATGACGTAGGCTGCGAACATTATATCTCAACAATGCACTCGTGTGACGTAAGGCGCGTGCTTTATGGAAATATAATGAACTCGTTCTGACCAATCATGGCGCGCGCATTTCTCTGAACATTTCATAATATACTAGATTATTCTCACTGATACCTGTCAAGTGAATATACTCGCTATAAACGGAGCAGAAAAATTTTTATGTTTACGTTTTTCATCGCGGAAATAAAATGGCATGATTCTATTTTGAAACGAACACATCATTAGTACTGCACCTTTACCTAAGGATCTCATTAAAATCTTTGCGGTGCTGATCTGAACGCTAAGCGCATCTTAGTTACCTGGAGGTTAGATTCCTTTTCTACGCATTCTTTCTCCTAAAACCGTTTTAATGGCGGTTCTCAAAGTTCGTATTCTCCAACAATATACCAGAGGATTCAATGAGCTGTTTAGAAAGGCTATCGTTGATGCGTACATAAAGGCCGTTTTCACCGGAGTGGTGTATCCCAACATCTTGTAGGCAAGTATAACGCACATGAGAGGCGCAAAACAAGCCGTGAAAAAACCAACGACGACAATCATGGCAATTGTTGACTTCTTGTAGCGTAGAATATTTCTCAAGCGACTCGCGGTTTGCTCGATTTGTCGACCAGATCTCTTGACCTCCGTTTGTACTGCTTGAATTTGACGCTCATGTCGTTTAACACATCGCAAGATTTTAATGTAGGCCAGGCAAATAGAGAGAAAACAAAGTGCAATTACGGTGGTTAAGATGGCGGTGTACGCCTCTGGGCGCAAAACAGAAACCCGGAGTACGGCGAAGACGACAAAAACGCCCCAGAAACATGCCACTGCGGAAAGGACTCGAGTACAGGTTAATACTCTGTTGTAACGCAAATGGAAATACAAAGCAAGCCATCTTTCCGCGGCTATTCCCGTCATTGTGAGTACTGAAGTTCCTGTTGTAATATTTCCCAGTGACTCGAGTAGCATTCTGGTGGTGCAATACATTTCGACGCGATGGAACATTTCACCGACCTTATGAACAACAAAACATGGCTGAGTCAACAAGCCAACTGCTAAATCACTAAAGGCGAGGCAGCATATAAAAACGTTCGATGGCGTTTGAAGTGAGGGCGTTTTCCAAACACTGAAGATCACGATGGAATTCCCACCAATCGCTGACGCAGAGAAGACGAAGTTCACAATGGTGGTTAGAATGTGGGTGACGAAGAGATATTTAGCTGAAGCAAAGTTCAGGTCAAAAAGAAAGCATTCCTTGATGTCGTAGATGACTGGGGTGGCAGATTGTGCGAAAAATTTCGTAACGTTTTCACTCGACTGTAACTGCATGTCTCGCCTCCTATTGCTAAAGGAAGTTTTTGAAGTGTGAAAATATAGAAGTGATGATTTCTGTAGAAACCTTCGCTCAGCGCCGATTAAGGCAAGTTTTCACTTTCTTAAAATAGTATGACGCACCAAGAAGGGATTTTTAATAAAGCTCAGGTAGGTATTTACTTTACTCGTTAGAAAATCGAAAAAGAAAGTCGAGCACATCTCCTTTGAGTTTACGCTGCTTGGTCGAATTTAGTCGCATGCAAATTTATCCCTTTAAAAAGATGATTCCGAACACTGTGCGAAAAAGACTTAAGCCCAGATAGCATAAACGATCAAAGTTTTGAAGAGAAGAAGGAGTGAATCATGCCACCCAATCGGACGATTCAACTTCTTTTAGTTTTTGCGAAATGCTAACAAAAACTGGATCACGAGATACCTTAATTCATTCAATGTTTGTCTTAAGTTTTTAACCTTTTTTTCTATTACTTAGTTCAATGTTTCAATCATGTATATCAAATATACCGAGAGGGGTCTTGAAGACATCGCAGTTAAAGAATAGATCTAACTAAGTTTTTGTCTCAATGAGTATGTACTCGTAAGCCGAGCTCTTTCTAAAAACCGGAGATACAATTAGGGCTTAATTTTTTAAATAAACGCGCTACGATTTCCTCTCTTGTTAATAGAAAAATGTAAAATTCAAAGAAATACGAAACAAAGTTACACTAAACGAAACAAAAATGACCTAAATTAAACTCGTGTATCAAATAACCAATAACTACAGCATTGTGAGAATTGCTCTGTCGCCTTGCTATTTCAATATAATCAAAGCCAACAATATCGCCTATTCATCTGCACAGAATTTCGTCTGGACACTCCGACACCTCAACTTTCTCTCCTCCCTTTCTCTCTCTCTTCCTTTAAGACAGAGTCTTCCGTGAAAGCTGAGAAATTTGTCCACTTTAGAAGTTACCTCACTTATATTCGCACTGTTACGAGGGGAAATCCAAGTTGGGCCCGGTTCGGAGCAGTGTCTACTTATGATAGAAATGTGTGATGTAAATTAAATAATGTAAAAAAAAAAACAAAACAGAAAATTAATTAAGCTGACAGACACTTAAGGGCTCCTTTCTTTACGTAAGCCAGCTGAGTTTTAATTTAATCCACGCGGAAGTGCTTTTTTTGGGTCTGAAAACTTTCATTTCATAGTCGAAACGAAATGCCATCACCAAAGCAACTGAATACGTATCTTTCGGTTTTTATTTTCGTATTTTGGTTTTCTTCTCCTTCTAGGAAAGTTTGAACGCCACTCTGTAAGCGAAACGGATTTTTCATTGTATGGATGGATTGAGGGGAATGGTTAAGGCTTTGTCGTTCATTTGTCAACCCGACCGAGTGGCGCGAAAGGCGAGTTACGTATCGGCAGCCGATTGGCGAGATCAAACACACGTGAAAAAATATCGTATTTTGCACGTGTGTTGTTACGTTCGTTTTCTCAGGGCTGGAAATCCTTGCATAACACCGTGGTTTACATGATAAATACCTGTAAAATCTTGGCTTAAGTCTTCAAACAATACATCAACTGTGCGTCAACATACGAAAAAACAAAAGTTGGAGCGTGTCATAATTGAAGCTTTCTAAAACCCTGTACACCATGACATCAGCATGCATCAGATTCTCCATACTGTTTATCACACATTTCCTTACTTACAATTAAGGAGAATTTTCTTTAACAATAAAGAGTTATCGATCAATCCTTTTATTCAATTCGTGATGTTTGCCTCAGCGGGTGATGCTGTGAGGAAAAAATTACGTGCCGGTCACTCTTAGGGGTTAAAGGGTTAACATTTATTTAATGCAACCTTGTGAATATTGTATGGACTTGTTAACATTTTCCTTTATGTCATATGATAGGTGTTTTTGCAAACCTAGCTCATTCATTATAAATAATCTCCTTGTATAAAAACAAGATTAACAGTTTTGAACATTTTTACCGCAATTTCGTACCGAGTCAATAATTTTTGGAATTTTTTTTCCCGTGTATGTTTTATATTTTCCTATCGCCTTCGACATTTTTACCATAAACAAAAGCTAACTAATATGTCCCTTCCGCACAAACCGCTTGACTTTCACCGCATGAGCCAAATGCATATTTCGCAAAAACACCTGTTTGCTGATATTGTTTAGTAGCTTCCTCTCTCCATATAAATTACTAAAAAGTCGGTTGGCTAAATTTACCGCCATTAGTCTTAAGCAGGTGTCATACGAGAGATCTCGCGCGCTATCAAGTGATATTAGGTATAGATGGTGATCATCAACAGAACAAACAGTTCGCCAGTCAATTCCTCTCTTGAATGTTTTCTTTTGGACATAAATTTGGATTTCAGCCAACACCTTTTCATCGCACATATTCTGACTACAATATTAAACTCCGTAACCTCGTTCACGGCTGCTGCCGGTAATTCTGTGGTTATTGTAGCAGTTTGGAGGACTCCGTCGCTTCACACACCGTCAAATGCGTTTCTTTGCTGTTTGGCGCTCAGCGATCTGACTGTCGGTTTGATTGCTCAACCATGTTTTGTGATTCACAAGATCGGGGAACTTCTCCAAGACTACAGCATGTACTGTACCACAAGGATAATGACAGAATCGCTGGGATACATAACGGCTGGAACTTCAGTTTTAATCATGGCAGGTATAGCGATCGAAAGATACCTCGCACTTTATCTGCATCTCCGTTACACAGAAATTGTTACCATTAAACGCATTTTATTTACTGCCTCTGTTCTTTGGATGGTTTTTATCCTACTAGCCTCTTCCAGGCTTTGGATGGCCGATGATGGAGTTTTTAACAGTATTTTAATCCCAGTGATATTCTGCAGCTTGGTGTTCACTTTCTTGGCGTACACGAGAGTTCTGAAATACGTCCGCCGCCATGAGAAACAAATAAAAGCGACATCGGCAGCTCTATGCCCGGTAAATCATCAACTGTCAAGAATAATGCGATACAAGAAATCAACTTTAACAATGGTGTACATTGTGGGCATTTTTGTTTTCTGTTACATTCCGTTTCTGTGCGTGAAAATTGTTCACAAGGTAGAGGGCTACACCATAAGCGTTAAGATAGCTTACTTGTATGCATCAACTATCGTGTTTTGCAACAGTTCTTTAAACCCTCTGGTTTATTGCTGGCGTATAACCGACATTCGCAGAGCTGTTAAAGCACTCTGTTTACGATGCCTGGGAAAGAAGAATTCGGTTGCTCCCCTAGCGTTAGCGGAACCTCGGCCAAGAAGTTGCATGAGCGTAAGCTTTGATGTAACCCGGCGCCCATCGCTAAGCGTAGCGTGCTCTCAGAGAAAAATTTCCGGGCCATGTAACTTCGAAGGGCATATCTATAATAGGACTTAAGGCCAGCTGGTTGGTAATTTTTCGACAAATTGTTTGGATAATGCAGCATATATATCCCATTCCCAATCTTTGACCACAAGTTTCAGGGATGAAAGAAAACAAACTTAATAAGGCTGAATAACATGAATTTCTTCACTTTTTTAAGTAGGTACAGGCGAATCACAAAACTTAAAAAAGTTTTCTTTTTCATGATTAGTAAATAGAATAGTTTTTTTAATTTTATTTTGGAGTTTTTATTGTATGTATGCCTTATTCAGCCTCAAACCAGCATGATTAACACCCGTGGAAACCAATTTTAATACACCTTTTTATTAATTTTTTCACCACGAAGAAATTGCTGCTGAAAGCATTACTGACATTGAAAATTAAAGATTCGCCGACAATTAATGTTAGCTTAGTCAAGAAGACAAGAGAATGATCCAATAGAAACCCGTACTAAAAGTGAAATCGAGGGTGTTTCTTTGTTGTTATCCACAATAAGTTCTAATTTTTCATAGCGACATCATCTCGAGTAGACCACAATTCTATTAAATAAAGCCCACTAGGTAATTAAAAATGCGTTTCTATAAGAAAGTTCACTTCTTCAGCCTTCGCCTTTATCTCTACAAGAAATATGAATTTTTGGACAGGTGAACAGTAGTGTGAGTTCTGTAAAGTCTCTTTAATTAGCATGAGAGAGAAGAAAACATCTAAATCAATGGTTTGAAGCGAAAAAACAGAAACACCTCTAAGTTTGATTACAAGCATTTGGTTGTGTATTGCACTTTTCAAATACTATATAAACCTTCCTTCAAGTTGGTTGCTCTGTACGTATTTTAGAATTGTGTAGGCAAGGTTGTAGAAGGTTGTTGTTCTCAGCACGATTTTCTTAACTAGCGAAAATGCAATTATAGTTTGACGTATGGAATAAGCCGTTAATACATATTGGACATAAAGAGATTGATTAAGTATTGTTTAATGTGTCAGAAACACACGAGATGTGGTATAGTTTTGCCATGATAATACATTTTGATGTTTGAAATTAAACGATTAGTGCAAAAATATATGAGCACAATTATACAAGCACAAATGGAAACAGATAAAAACTTCTGTAGAACTCTCGTGACGTTAATTAACCTAGCGCGGTCTTGAAAATGTTTAAATGTGTTAAACAGACTTGTTTTTCATAGTGAAATCCTATGGTTTTTAGAAAACATTTTATGAAGTAAAAGAGTCAAGGCAATGTGAAAGTGATTTCATTTTTTTTTGTCTTATATTTTGTCAACCTATTTATCCGTTTTTTATTCATTTTTTTTCTGCTCTATTTTCCAGCATAATGTTTCGTCCTTTTGTCTCATTATTATGCTAAAAATAATGCTGGCACCATGCCGACAACCCTAAGTTTTGTCTTTCGTTGGACATTACGAACAACAATTTCTCCGCTTTATATAGAGCAAAGCTCGTTTTTTTTTTTAACTCAAGTTTTAAGGATGGAAGAAGATGTAAAATGAAAACACAGCTGGAACAATCAGCCAACTCCCAGCTTTTTTTCTTTCGTGTTTTTCTTTGGTTGTTTGTTTTTCGTTTGTTTCCAAGGTTTACTGGCAGATGTTTTTCGTGAAATATTTTCCATTTCAAGTCAGGGTAACACAGGGAACTATTTCAAATGTTGTTGGTGATGTCTGTCTTTCAAGCAACGTGGAATTTGTACTCATAAACTGGAAATTTTTCAACAATTCAATATTGTGCACCAAAAGCGCTAAAAACAACATCGATTCGCATAGTCAGGTGGCATAAACCGTCAATCTTTGACGTCACGCAAGTATCGCAAGCTGCTTGAAACCTCTATAAGCCCAATCTTCCACAAGTCCATCTTATCACATAGCTAGTAAATTTGTCTAATCAAATTCAATTGCGCGAGCGTGCTTCATATTCCAATTGTGCACGCTCGTGACGTCGAGAGAAAAAATTTTTCATCGGGTTGAAAATGTTATAAAACAATTGCTTCATACGTCAGCTGTGCGTTCATCGAGATATGAAGCTCTTGGGAAGTCAGAGAGCACTAAAGAAGCTAGAGTTGCTCGAGGCGTAGCCGGGAGCAACTCTTACGCATCTTTCGTGCTCTCCAAACTTACCGCGTGCTTCATATCTCGATGAACGCACGCTGACGTAGGAACCAATTGTTAATTGGCTTAAGTCCTCTCGGCCTGCGAAACCTGGTAACAAGTGATCATCCCGCCAAAATGCAAAATGGCCAAGATTCCTACTCTGGAAATTAACTGACAAGGAGGGATTAATTTGCGTTAAAAACCCCAGCAAACATTTATATTCTTTTTCACGTTGTCAAAATGGAGAGAGATCGAGACCTGGCTGAACAACTACGAAGCTGGGCATTGGACGAAATGCGATTTCGACCTCAAGGACGACACTTCAATACAAGTGTACCATCGAAGGACGACTTCAAGATGTAAGTTTCGATTAAAAATCTTATGATGGAAGGATTTTGAATGACTCGTTGCATTCGAGATTTACACATTTTTATTTCTAGTGGGTCTAGATCGAGGAAATTCGATGGGTGATGAACAGTTACCCATCGGTGTGTTTGCAATAGTAATCTGTGGTATATGCGTGGCATTGGAGATGAGAATTATCCGTGTACTACGCACAATTCTCCGGGTGAAGTTTTAGTCGATTTACTCTTTCCAACAAGTTACACAGACCCTTTACACCGTAATGTCGGTATTGTTATTCTCCACACTTTTTCCTTTACATTTCCTCTAGTACTCACAGGGAGAATCTGTTAGAAAATCAGGAGCTAGCAAAATCAATGGTCATCTCCTCTGTTCTCGTGGCCTCAACTTTTGTTTCAGAGGTGATACTTTAAGAAGAAATTTGAATCCAGTCACTCCGAGGGGTTTAAGAATTAATGAGTCATTATACCTGTGATGAAAGAGAAACTGTTGTTGGTAGCAGACGGATGTGGGTTTTAAACCAAGCTTGTTGTCTTAAAAGTGTATTGTAAACCTGTAAACCCTTTAACTCCCAAGATCTCATTGGTGATTCTCCCTACTATCTGCCACATAGTTTTTGTGATGTTAGTTTGAGGAATCTAGTATTTAATCAACTAATAATCCCCTCATTAAAATTTTTCTTTATTCTCATCACTTGTCTGCTTCATATTGTATTGATATTGTAAGGAGAAATTCTGTCTTGGTCACTCATGGGAGTTAAAGGGTTAAATAGTGCTGGCTAAATATAATTTACAAAACTTCTACAGGTTATGCCGTGGAGCAATGGTGGATGTTTGGAAGTATGTTTTACAGCATGTCAGGTCTACAAGGTGAGTGTCAAGAGCACTGAAGTGTTCAGTTTGCCTCACTGTCTTTTGATCAGTTTTTGTTGTTTTTGAATGTCAGTAGGGTTCATCAAAGTCTGAACATGACCAAGACACCCAATCTACTCTATACTTTTGTTTCTAGCTTAAAAAGTATTTATTTAAATGAATAAAGGGGGTAAGTTTTTAAAGAAACTGTGGTGCTGAATCGGTGGGGAGGTTTAACAGGGTAATTTAGTATTATCAACTGAGTTGTTATCATTAATTGGCCTCCGTAAAGAGTTTCAAAGCTGAAGTTTGGAGCATAGCCCCTTATCAGAGCAAACGACAAAAGGGCTAACACTCCAAATGTCAGCTTTGAAACTCTTTGAAGTGGCCAATTTATGTCATCAACTCAGTTGATAAATTACCCTGTTTATTTAAATGAGTTTGTTGTTCAAAGATATTTCCCTATTAGTTGGTATATTCTAGATGTCCATATGAAAAGTTTTAAAATAAATCATTTACTTTTTTGAAATAACAGAACTGTGCAGAAGATCCATGGGAATTTGAAGTTGTATCCTTTTCTCATAAAAAAGATACATATTTTTTGCATGTTATGTTTCATCATAGTGATATTATTTGATATCATAAACCAACACTCTAGAATGATGTTGATGTCAAAGGTGTTGAATATTAGGTCATTGCAATAGGTCATAAGATATTCTGTAAGCTTGCAACTAACTTCTAGAGGATGCATCTTTAATGGAAAAAAAGACAAGGCATCGCATAGTCAGTATATCTTATTACAGACCTTGAGGTGTCAGGACAGCATCCCTGAATAAGACATTAAAAAAATCAATTAAAATTTTTATTAAGAATTTTATGAATGGCTGGATGTGTTAACCATCTCTCAGGATGCTGCACCTTGACTTAAGCATAACCTATATGAGCAGTGTTGAGTTTGTAATGGAAACATGAACAGTTTGCTGTTGGGCTTTCTGTTCTCAGACCACACAAATTTTGGTGATTTTTATCTATTTGTTTGTAAAGGACAGTTGAAAATGTACAAAGTTTTGAAATGCATGTGCTGAAATATCATTCTACCCATTAGAATTTCTGTTTGGCTATATCCTTTTTGCTGTTGGGATTGTTGTTTGCTTAATTTAAGTCCCTGTCATCAGGTAGAACTTTACCATTCTCTCTTCCTAATAAAAGTCCTTTTCCACCCACAATTACCCTCCCCTCCCCTCCTTCACACCTTAGCCTGCTGTCTATTGGCTTTCCCTCAACATTCCAATACCTTCACCCCTCTCCTGTACCACCCCCTTAATTTTTCCTTGTCTTCACATTTCACCTTTCACCTTGACATTTTCAAGAGGTTCTTTTTAACCCTTTAACTCCCATGAATGACCAAGCCAGAATTTCTCCTTACAATATCATTACAGTATCAACCAGACAAGTGATGAGAATGAAGGAAAATATCAATTTGGGGATAATTAGTTGATCGAATGCTAAATTGAATCTAACATTTTAAGAATTGTATGGTTGACCGTAAGGAGAATGACAAACTTGATCTGCAAGTTAAAGGGTTAAGTGTTGACTGCTGGGAGAGAAACTGGCAACTTTGAATTCTGGGCACTTTCTTTTAATGAAATTATTTGTGTAAGTTTGAAGCAGCAACTGACTGTTAGGAAATTTGTATAATAAGTGTTGCATTCTTGTTATTTATTTTCCTAAACCACATTGACATTTGGCTTTACATTTTCTCACTATTTTAGCTCCCATCTAATCTTAATTTAATGTCATCTTTTTATCTTGCTAACTTCCGTGTTAGCTAACGTAGATGAGAATGTGCAAACAAGAATTCAAACCTCTCAATGTTTGAACATTTTCATGCAGAACATGTATTCAGGCAACCCCCCATCACCACTAGGCAACCCCCCCTCTCCCCCCTTACCACCACTCTTCAAAGGCTTGTGCCTTTTTTGATTGAATTTTTAGCTGTCCATGTGTTTTTGTATGTTCACATTTCCTTAACAGAAACTATCTTTAGACAAAAACTGATCCATGAACAGGCAGCTCCTGTAGTTGATAAAGCAGAGGACAGTGATAAAGGAGATGTCAAGGGGAAACATTCTCTGTTAACTAAGGAGCTTTTGGAAGTCAGAAGCAAAGTACAACATCTGGAAAAAGAAATGAGGGCCTTGCAGAAGGAGATTCTTGAGGCTGGTAATGTGGAACTTTTATCTCGTGTCTTAGTTAACAAATAGAGAAGCCATGACTGTGCTCTGTTCTGTTGCAAAGCAGGCAGGATGGACTTCAGCATGATGGCAGTCACTCTGACACTGTCATGATTAGTATGAATTTTAACAGTTACACCAGTTTGGCTATATTTTTCATCATTCCTGTTTTGTTCCTTTTTGTTTTTGAACACGAAACTATGTATACTATATGAGTGTGACAGCTTCAGCTCAGCTCTATGTTCTATACTCTGATAGAGCACACTCTTTCAAACAATGACAACGTGCATTATATCCAAACTTGATTACAACACTTCATCTCTATTTTTAAAGTTGCCATGTTGGTAGGGAAATGTTGTCTCTTATCAATGCAAAGTTACTGAAAAAAGGAACAAGGAATTGATATCTAACAAGAAATGGAAAAATCACAAGGCAGGAATCTGATTTAAAACAGACATGAAGTCTGTTGTTAACTTTCCCTAACAGTTTAGCAGTACCCATTTACAGCCCCTGGTGCTAGGGGTGGTACCCATTTACAGCCCCCATTTACAGCTCCTGGTGCAGAGGTCAGCAGTGAGGAGAAAGTTTCCCACCCAATGAGAGAACAAAATTACTTACTCAGGGTTTGGAACGGGACTTCTTGACCCTGAGTCTAGTGCAATGACAACCAGGTCTCCACACTTTCCCCTCTTCTCTTACAACCTACATCAATTCTGTTTAATTTAACTCTAGTTTTAATTTTACCACAGAGGAGGCATATTCTAACACTACCCAGGAAATTTCTGATCTAATGAAAAGAACTACTTTGCTAAGCACCCATTCCAAGCAGTGCAAACTGTTGGTAGAGTTGTACACAAGCCTTGCTAAACAGATTAACGATAAGAGCACAATTTACAAGGATATTGCAAGGTACAGTGTTTCTGAGATTAATTAACTGTATTCAAGAGAGAAATGAGACATATGGCAAATTTAACCCAATCGTTTTTCTTTCAACCTCTTATTCATTTTTTGTCAAATGAAAATAATTATAGTTACATTTAGTAAATGTATTTTCATGAATAAGTGCCCAGGTGGTTATTTAATTTTTTTGGCAAAATGGGGGGGGGGGCACTCATTGAAGGGTAGGCACTTAATTGAAAGGCATTATTAAGAAATTGTTAAGCTGTAGTGATTAAGCTGTAGTTGAAACTTGAAAACTTAAACAATAGAAGCAGGGTTTCCTTGTATCCCTAAGGAAGGGGGTGCTTGTTTGATATATTGGCACTGGGATAAGTGATTATTTGGGGGAAGGCACTTATTAGAGCATGGGAGATTATTCAAGGAAATGTGGTACTATTACTGCCATGATTTCTCATACGTTAATACTGGCTAGGATTGGGTTATGAGTGAAAGTTAAAAAAAAATTACAATTCATCTTGCTATTTAGGTGCAGAATGATAGCTTTAACCTGTGATAATTATATGGTGATCCCTAGAAGAATTTGGGAATGCTTAACCCTTTAACCCCTGAGAGTGACTAGCATCTAATTTCTCCTTACAATATCACCCCTGTATCAAACATTCAGGTAATGAGAATAAACAAAATAGTCACCAGCTAGAGAAGCTCGGGATTATGAAACAAATTCTCCTCATCAGCACCTTAGGGAATGTATAGGGAACAGTCTGGAGAATATGCATACTGATGTTAGAGTGGAAAGGATTAAGAGATATCTAAGGTGATCCAAACTGTTCCGTTAACTCTTTACTCCTTAGCATCAGTATTCACATTCTCCTAACTGTTCTCTTTACATTTCTACGACACTGTCAAGGAGAATTTTTTTAACGCGCAAGAGCTTCTCTTGTTGGTGATCACTTCCTTTATTCTCGAGACCTTCATGTTTGATTCAGGGGTGATACTGCAGGAAGAAGTTAGATGCTAGTTACTCCCAGGGTTAAAATGATAACACATGCAACAGATTAGGAAGAAATGATGACAAAGTACTATTTCATGATATAAGGTTATCTGTACCTTTTAACCCTTTAACTCCCAAGATCTGACTGTCAATTCTCCCCACTAGCTGCTAGGCATTTCCTTCTAAATAAGCTCCAAGAATTTGGTGTTAGATCAATATAACTCCTTCCTGATAAGTTTGAGTATTTTCATAACCTGTTTCTGAATGATGTATGGCTGTCATTGGGAGAAGTTTCAAGTTGATCACTTTTGGGAGGGTTAATTAAGATGGGAACTATAAAGCTCAAGAGTTATCATCAAAATAAAAAGGGTCATCCACAACTTTGTGAATCTTTTCATGGAACTCCCAGGGTTAACAGAACAGGTGTGATGTTTTGGACATGTAACCTTTTAACCCCCAGAAGTGATTAATATGTAACTTCTCCTTAAAGTATTCATTCAGCATCTAGCAAACAGGTAGCAAGAATACTCAAACTTATCAATTACAAGATATCTTAATTGAACAGCAAATTTTCATAACCAATTTACAAGGAAATATGTTGCAGCTAGAGGAGAGAATTAACAATTTGATCTTGGGAGTTAAAGAGTTAAGATGTCTATAATGTATTGTTTCTGTGTCTTGATTGGTGAATTTGCTTTGATTTTGTTTGTCATCTTGTTATTTTACTTTGCTGCAGAAAAAAATCAGCTGATCCTACATATTATACATCACAAGGAATCATAACTGGGAGAAAGGAAACCTTTACTGCCACTGATGGGCGATCAACTCCTACAGGATTAGAATCAGCTTCGACGGTAAGCCATGAATGCAAATTACCCTTTACACCAGACAGCACCACAGCAGCTGTTGTATATGTGTAGTACATGCAAACTGTCTTTTCAGAATTAACCTTCTTTCATATTTTGTTTACCAGCGATCAGTTAGGGAATCTTGTGAAAGAATTGGATCATTTTTACATGATATCTGTAAGGCAGATGAAGAGAATGGAAGGTATATGAATTGATAATTTGTTTGATAATTCATTGTGTAATTGATAATTATGTTATTATGTAAACTACTGTGTTTTACTAGGATTTTCATCCTTGAGAAAAGCTGTAACTGCACACCTGTAAAATAAAAATAACTTTGCATGTGTTTGATATTGCCATTCAGCTGCTGGCAGATCACTCTATCAGGTTGATGAATGATTGGCAAAGCAGTCACCATTCTCAATTTTCTGCCATTAAAGGCCTATAATAATAATAGGCTTTATTTAGAGAGGGTAAAACACTTAACAGTAGCCCTAAGACACTGATGACTCTGTGGCCCTCAAAAACAATTATAAAATATGGATGCTACAACTAATAACTATAAATTAAAAAGATAAAATATAATAAATAATTCGTATATACAAAATTACAGTCTAAGGCGCATTGCAGCCTTTTGTTCAGCTGGAAAGGATTTAAAAACGTTGTGCTTAAAACTTGCTAGCGAGCCATTATTTCTTATATTAGCATTCATGCAATTCCAGTCCTTTATAGTCCTAATAGTGAAAGTATGACCTCCTTCTGATTTTCGTTTACACTTAGGGCACATCAGATTTATATTTGAATGTCTAGTGGCTCGGTTATGAATTTCTGAATTTCTAACTAATAAATTATTTAAATAACTAGGCATAATATAGTTGTGCACCCACTTATACACTAGTGCACATCTCTTTATTAGAGATTGTTCAGTAAAAGGGAGCCAGTTTAGATTATTGAATAATACGACTGATGGTGTAAATCTTTCAGCATCGAGTATAATGCATACCGCTCTTTTTTGAAGTTTTAAAATACTTTGAAATTGTTTGTCATTGCAGCTATCCCATATCATGCTCCCATACAGGAGGGTGGGCTTTATAACACCATTGTAATAAGTTTCCCTTTGACGTTGCTTAAGAAACGGGCTGATATGATATTTATACAATACAATAAAAAAAATGATTAATGATTGTTTGTCGATATTGAATTTCTCATTTTGTATTCAACTCAAAATTTTACTCGTTCACTGCTATCATTCATGAGATATCAAGTTTAAGACTTGAAGAGAAATTCCATATGTACTTGCACTCATTAATTTTTATAATTTTATACAACGTTACATGTGCATAGTATTATCGGATAATCTTAGAGAATTGGTGTTGTTTGTTGTAAAACATTCATAGAAACTACAGACCTCTTTTATTATGTATTCTAGAAACAAAAGATCCCAGCCTAGTTCTAAGAAGCTGCTGCAAAACTTGACTTTTTCCATGGAGATGTTAAATGCTCTTCAAATTTTAAGTGTTATAGTTTGGCCGCCATGTGGCTATTCTTCATAGCTAAGTGATGTGGCCAGTGGCAAACCAGTAAAATGCACGAGGTGTCATTTGTTAATGTTTTTGTCAGCCTTTATTTTTATTGGTGACAAATTTATAATAAAAATTTGGCTGAATTTGAATGAAGTTAAGCTTGAAGCACTGATTGACAATATACAACAAATTATCTTTTTCTTGGATTATCATTACATAAAGGGTTGAGGATGCAAGTCAGAGAGAGATAAAAGATCAATTATGGACTGGAGTAGAGGTTTGTTTAGCGTCAGTTTACTTGAAACGTTTCCTTTTGCTTTGATTGTAACTTTTTTTTTAAAGTCGTTGCCGTGTTTTTATTGAACGCATAAGTAGAGGTTCTGTTAGGTAAACGGATTTTTGGGAACCTGAGATGGAGCAACTTCGGCTTGTCTCTGTATCTAGACTCAAATGACATGTACCAGTAGCATTGCTACTTAGGAGCCACATCAAGATGTCACCTCCATGCATGCTACGGGCACCTCTCCATAATAGTGACCTATTGGATTGAAGGACTGTGAGAGCATGATGTCGTGCCCACTTTAATGATTACCTCAAGTAGGATTTGAACCAGATAATCGGAGTTCAAATTTCAGTCATGTGGCCAAAAGGAAGCGATATCTTTCACTGTAATACGAATTTCATTGAGCTCTGTTCTTTATAATTTTGTTTTGTTTTCTCTCTTTATTTTTAATTATTGACTTAGAATGCCTTGTCTCAACACATGGCAAAAGATGTTCTTACATCTTTGTGTCGAGTAGCCCAGGACTCTGCAGTCAGCCTGCGGGAATTGTCTGTAAGAATTGATCTAAAGAAAGATGCTCAAGAACTCAAGTAGGTTTCGTTTCTGTTGAGAGTTCAGAACAATATCCTGTTACGAAACACATTGTAAATATGCGATTTTTTTCTTGTGCGTTGAGACGAACGGAGGCAAGCGCTTGTCATGCGCAAGGAGAGGAGAGCGAAAAAAATGTTGTCCCTCCCCTCGCGCATGACTCGCGCTTAGCGCTCGTCTCGCACTCGTGTCCTGTTTGGAAGGCTAAATGTACATGAAAGTGGGAGGAATAGAGCTCTGATTGCCTCTGTTTTTTGCTTATCACCTATAAACCTAAACAATATTAACAATCTGTTGTAAAGTAAGGTTAAAGATAATTGTTAGGACTTTGGTTTCCCTATGCTCTCTGAGCGAATACCGCTGTCTTCAGCTGTCTAGCATGAAAGCCCCCTTAGAGTGCTGGTCCTCCTTCTGCTTAGGATACTAACCAATTGAAGGCAAACCGCCCCCCGGACAATTTGTCGATTTTCTTTGCCACTTACCTCGAAGGTCGGATAATGCTATCCACCAGAAAAATCTCTATCCAGTGGATAACGCTATACGTTTTGCTATCACTTACCCGTTGAATAGCGATTTATCTGTTGGATAGCGTTATCCGCCCTTGATACAACTGAGCCCTGGTTGAAGATAAGGGTGGAAAGAGGCATTGTGAGAGCTATGTATCCTTTTCAAGAATATAATACTGTAAACCTGACCAGTCCTAGAGCATTGAGTTGACCTCTTTATCCTGAGTCCACCGCGTTACTTATTTACTAACCATCACCTAACCCGCTCTGTTTTGTTGTGAAAGCTTGGCTTGAAATTTTTCTTTGTCAGGTTTAAATATGAAAACTGTGGCAAACTTACAGACACTTCATCGCCACCTTCTTTGCTTCAAAGTGTTCACCAATTAATAGAGGTTAGTAATTGTTGAAATTGTTCCTTCTTGTTGCATAATTTGTACACTGTTAACCAGAAGGTCCACTCGGATGAAGGTCGAAATTTAGTGAACAGTCAAAAGACAAAGTGGATAAATTTCAACCCAAATGACCGTGGCGGTTATTCAAGGAAATACTGTGTTTTCATTATTATTATCATATTTTGTAGAAAGGTCAAGCTGCCCATTTTCAAAGGTTTGTTGAATCTGAAAGAGGACTCAATGAAGCCTGGCGAGGAAGACAAAGACTTCAAACTCTCCAGCAACAGTTGGAAGCTAATTTTGTGGCCAGATACCAAGACTCTCCTGGAAATATTGAACTGGCAAGGTAAGTCACTTGACAGAAAGCCGCATCTCACTAAAAGGGAGACGCAGCTCGCTAGAAAAGAACGCGTCTGAAGAGAGACGACATTGATATCTCGCAAGAATTTCATCGCTTGCAGTAAAATTGTGTTAGTGCAATTTAATCGTCCGGGTGATTGTAGTCCTGAGAAGGACTGTTTTCAGTAGTTGTGACTGATGTTTTGAAGTGTTTTTCATTTCGTTAGAGTTTTGCTTCACAATGAATTAGAGCTAGCAGCATCAAAAGCCTCCTTGGATTACATGAAGGCAGCGATGGCCGAACTGGCCGCGTGTAGAAATGAAAGGCAAAGGGCCAAGGAAATCTTGATCATGAAACACAAAAAGATACAAGACTTTGAAAAACTAGCTGTGAGTTGTTTTAAACCCTTTGATCTCTTATCTAATTTCTCCTTACAACGTCACCGCTGAAACAAACATAAAGGTCACGAGAATAAGGAAATGATCACAAACTAAAAGCTCTTGATTGTTCATAAAATCCTCATAAGCTTCTTATAGGAAATGTAGACTGAACAGTTTGGAGAATAGACAAACTGATGATAGGGTGTAAAGGGTTGATCGAGGATTGGGTCTTGTCACGAAAATATAAACTTTTAGTCTTGTAAATGTGAGTAATCGTGTGAAAAAAGGGAATCAATTGAGGTGCGCATAGATCTAAAGGAAAAAAATATAAAACGCGATTAATGCTGAGAGCGAGATGTAGTGGCATTGTTCATCTCAAAATACTTAGTCTCACTCAGATTAGCTTACGAGCAGGCTTACATTAGGAGCGCTTTGGGACGAGCCTTTCGTTTCCCGCGGGAACTTATGAGGCCTTTAGCAACACGAGCCAGCAAGAGGTCTGCAAAGGGTCAGGCACTTATCATAATTAGTACCAGACCCCCGACAAACCTCGCCCTGACTCGTCTCAAACCTTCTCGTGGGCGGAGAAACGCATGACCTGCAGCGCTAATCAGTGATAGCCTCCTCGGAGGCTACACTCAGACTGACCTCAGTGTCATTCAAGTTGAAAAAAAATTTGGTTTGCTTTGGTGGGTGGCACGTGTATTAACCCTTCAATCCCTGAGAGTGACTAGCATCTAATTTCTCCTTTCAATATCACCCCTGAATCAAACTTTAATGAGAATTAAGCAAATGATCATTAACTGAAGAACCTCTTGATTGTTAAACAAATTCTTCTTGTCAGCGCATAAGGAAATGTATAGAGAACAGTATGGACAATATAGATACTGATGTTAGGGTGTAAAGGTTTAAGTAAAACAAAACTCGTAGATTTCTCTCGACTCTCGATTGAAAATTGTCTAAATTTTAATATTTATTTTCTTTGGTTTCAGCAAACCAAACAGGCTATGATCCAAGCTCTTGTCAAACAAAATTCAAACGCCAGAACAAGGATCGAGAAGCAAAAACATGAGGTATGTCACCAGTCTTCATCTATCCTTACGAGCATCAACAATGGTCCTTTAGACACCAAGTGGCACGTAGAGCATCAACAAGATATCTCTATTCCGACGCTCCCTACAGAGCGGGAGTTCATCCTCAATTACAGGTCGATGGATTTGGGACGTCCGCTGTTCGTCATTTAGGAAACGCATTTTGGTTGGATCCACATCCAATATTTGCAAGTCTTTTTTCCATCCAGGGTACCAAATAACGAATCTTAGATATAGTCCCCTCTTTAAACTCTGTCAGAGATAACTGATCCCCCCTCCGTTCCCCTCCCCCCCGCACTTTCCAGCGTGAAGGAACTAATCAGAGAAATTTGAAAATTAATTGCTTTCGATGGATTTACATTAGCTTAACATCTCAGAGAAATTGAAATACTTCTTGTCTCATGTGTTACAAACCGGGAATCCATTTTACTTTTATTTTGCTATTCTTATTTAGCCACCATTTGCAGATGCAGGGATGCGGCTTTGGGTTACAAAAAAATGTCTCAAAATCGTACAAAAATCTGTCACCACATCCAAATGCAACGTTTTTACTCTACCATATTATCTTAGATATTGGGCTCAGCTAACCGAAGGCGGTCTTAATTCCTTCACAAACTTTTTTCATCATTTTTTTTAGAAACATGCAGATGAAGGTGCGTCAACCGCTGCTGGTAACCGGGTGATGTGTTTTTGCATCTTTTTTTTTGGAACTATATCGGTGTCGTGTTGGTGCTCATTTTGGTGCTATATCATAGAATTCTTAACTTAAAATCTCTCATACCCTTTTGCTTACTTCTCAGCTCCTCCAGTACATACAGCAAAAAATCTGCTCGCACGAGGCACACGTAGTTGCCATGACAAAACAACTACAGAACAGTACTGCACGTGAGGTGGATAAGTTTGCTGCCTTACCTTTGGATCAAGTTCATTATTCTGGAGTGGACAGGTGAGTAGTTAGTGGCTATAGGCGAACCGAACCGCAAAAATTTTTTGTCGCGAGGCAAAAATTTCTCCAATTCAGCCCTCAAAAAAGGAAGAAGAAATAAAAGAAATTCCGTGAACAAAACTTGTAGGTCATGAAAATAAAGGAAACGATCGCTTTCTCAAGAAGCTTTTGATTGTTAATCAAATTCTCCTTATCGGAATCATTAGTACTCAACACAGAACAGTATGGGGAATATGCATACTTATGTTAGATTTTAAAAGTTGATCTAGTTGATCCTGTTCGCTTTCTGTGCGCAGTGCCAGAAGAGTCCCAATCAGTGAATTATCAATAAACCGCCTGGAGAATCTCACCACCAGTGCAGGAGGAACAACAATCAGAGCTGTTTTAGACAGTTTGGATTTTCCAATGTATAAGGTGTGCACGAGACGCTCGTTCTGAACTAAAAGTATCTTAGGAACAAGTTATTATTTTTTGCCTCAGTGGGGAGGGGGGGTAGAGAGGTGGAGGGATTACTTAGTTTACTTCGATCAGTCGGCCTACTGAATATAAACAAAGAATATAGAAAACTGACTGTTAATTGACTGCCAATTAACTGCCAATGAGGGGGATGGGGGATGGGGGATCATAAGCGTGGAAAAAATAAACTAACCTGTGACATAACCATGATTAATCCTCAGACCTTCAGATTCCGTGCTCCAATGCTTTGCCATTGAGCTACTGGGAACTTTTTGGCAAGTTAGGCCATATTTAGGATAATTTGGTTTGATAAACTGAGTTTATCATGTAAATTGGCCATTGTAAAGAGTTTCTAAAGCTGATGTTTCTGACAAAGGGCTAACGCTCAAAACGTCAGCTTTTGAAACTCTTCACGTTGGTCAGTTTATACTTTCAACTCATTAGATAAAACTAAATTATCTTCCTATACCCCTATCGAAGCAGCATCACAGCTCCTTTAGAAACTTACCACCTTTATTCGTGGGCCATTTTTAGATCCATACGTGACACGCATTTTGCATACTGCAAGGAAAGCGTCATATTAGTAAATGAATTTAAAAAAATGGTAAATTTGTAGCTTCTTAGTGGAATAGAGAAAAACTGTTTTTCGTCTTGTCACGAGCGGAGGACAAAACGTAAAAATCACTTCCGGTTTGTTCCTATCCAGGCTCCTGAAGAGCTGCTTCCAACAGCTATGAATCTGAAAGAGAAAGGTCAGTATCTAGAACTTTTCGCTATGAATTGGAACTTTTTTCTTGTCGTTATTAAAATCTGTTCGTCAGTAGATTCTTGACGTTCGTGTGTTTCTTATCTTTTCAAAGTTGACGACGCTAAGATTCTGGCACAATCACGTGATAGCATGTTTTCTGAAGTCAACGGCGACAGGTCGTGTGATAGGATGGTTGTGCATTTGAACGGTAAGTAGTGGTCATCATTATTCAGCGTACAGGGAAGGAAGGGAGCCTGGGTGTTTTCCGGAGCTGAGATCTGAGCATAGTTAGTAAACTATTTAGTAGCACTCCTACAACGGTGCGCTAGTTTCTGTTTTGTTGCAGCGATTTTACATTTTGGAAACATTTTGCTTTACTTTTACTCAAAAACTCTCCTCTCTTACTCTTTGCTATAAGTCTAAAAGCGTTGTATCACAGATGTTGCAATCTGATTGGTTACTACACCAGCTATCTCTTCCGTGATAGATATTGAGTAGAGTAAGTAACCTTAATGATTGCAGTTTTAAACAAGATGAATCAAAACATGAGTCTCTCCTGTGGTTTGGTGTTGAGTCACCAATAGATTCATACTAAAACAGTTAGATTATTCGTTCTCTATTTAGCTCACAGCTACATATATCGATCACCTTGCCATTAGCTTCTTACTCTGCCCGAACTAAAAGTCTTCCTCTATTCTTCGACAGGCTTGAGGAGAGAAGTTGCCGAACAAGACCGCGCACAACTTGATTATATTATGCCACTGATACAGAACGGGCTCAACAAAACCACCAAAGCTTTGTCAGACTGTATCTCTGTCAAGGACGTTGTAAGCTCATGGTAAGATCTTATTTTTATTGGGGAAGGAGGGGAGGGGGGGGAGGACGTTGTAAGCTCATAGTAAGATCTTTTTTATTGGGAGGGAGGGGAGGGCGTCTAACTAAAGCCTTAATTTTCGTCAATCACAGATGATTCTCGAGCGTGCCAACTGATATCTCAGTTTCATACCAATATTCTGTTTAATTTTTGTAGTATTCTTGATAAACTTATGTAGGCTTTGATCACTAATGATAGAGCGTTTTCGATTGAGTAAAGCTTGTTTGGTAAGCGCAGCTTTAACGTTCTCTGTAGGTGGGAGCAACCAGCTCAGTTTGTTGTACCGTGGGTGAAGTTGGATGACATGAACATGAGACAGTGGACAGACCAGTGGACATTGTGCGCCACTCGTTTGAGACAACTACAGATGAGTCACTGACAGAGGGGCTTGCGGTCGTGACGGACTGGAATTTCGTATGCTTTTTATTTCATAAATGTATTTTGGACAAAGTAAATAGTTAACCTTAAAGGAAAGCTTTACCTTAAAAAACACAGACAATAACAAAACACCCACAAATGAAACAAAAAAAATCGGGCCACAGCGGAAATTAAAATCCAGGCCAAAGTGTGAAATTCGGTTTTGTCATCCAGTCTGATACAGGACCAAAGAAACTATAAAAGTGATTTATTAGAAATGACCTCTATGTTTTAAGATAGCTGAAATAGCTTCCTGTGTTGAAATAAAATGGCAATAAGGGAAATAATCTAGTTCATGATCCTTCTTCAGGATTCATTTAATTTCAAACGTTTGTGAATCTTGAAAACATTTTGACATTTTTTGTCAAAATTTCATCGTCTCAGTCTTTCCTATTTTTTCTTCCTCTGCTATCTTTGTACACTCATATTTTGTATATTGTTTCCTTCAAAATGAAGGTAACATTGTTTGTCGCCAAACAAAACACTCAGAATACTGTGGCTCAGTTCTTGTTACTCGTAAAGAGTCGTGGAAAGTCAGGAAATGCTTTTACCAAGCATGTCGTGGAAAATCAGTACCATAAACAGTCACAATAAGTGCAAGAGTATTATTCACGGATGCAACCTTTTTAAACTTTCGTCGGTTTGTCAATTCGGGGTGTGTTGCGATGATCTTCCAACAACCGAATCCATCATAAGAGATCGATAATTCGCTCGGTGCAAGTCAATTTTCTCCTGAAATGCGACACCTTGTTTCAAAAAGGTGGGTTGTACGAAAGACGTGTTTATCTGCCCCAGTCGTAATCCCGCCTAAATACAGTTGCCTGTACCTGAGTCTTCTTCGCCTCTATCCGTCTAGACTGAAAGAGCAAACGGGAAATTTGAAGCACCACTTATTGTGCTCGTTGATGATAACCCTCGGAGACAGGTCGACAACTTTTTCTTCATTAGGTGGGCTTGTAATACAGCCGTCCTGCAGATAGCTAACGGATTTCCTTTACCCCACGGCGATGTGTGCTGGCAGGTTTCGAAGTGCTTTATTGAAGTGTTGACGAAGGAAAACCCGGCACTTAAAAAATTGCATTGTTACTACGGCTCTGTAGTTTTATTGATATTGAATGTTAGTGGCATTTGATCTCTCGGCCATGAAACCTTACTATAGCTACAATCTTAGAGCATGTCGTCAAATTTTATTCAAGTTTTTCGCGGTCATCTTTTTATTTTTGGGAGGGCTATTTTATTCATTTTCCCCCTTAAACATCTTTGGTCCTTGTAGGTATTTTGATTATTTATTTTGTATTTCTAGTAATTTTTTTAAAAGAATGTGCTGTGTAGAAAGAAGACTCGGAATGTCCTTGGATCATGCATTCAAGCTGGGTCGAATTTCAGTTGTTCACTGTTAGAGGTGCTTTATCAGTACTTCAGAGATCCAATTATTGATGTTTTTTTTTCACAAAAATATGGAGGACTTAAAACCCTCTTGTGTTGGACCAAAGCAAAAGGAAAGATTAATGACCTCGCCTTTGTTAGTTATGCTTCGTCCGTAATGGGTTTCTTTCGTTCGTAAAGCAGGTCAAAGTACTTGATACAATTATCTCAGATTTCCTGTTTATGAATTCTCGGACTTGTTTTGTCAAGCAACCACTTCCAAGACGTTTTCTTTAGAACTCTCTTCCCAATTTTTGGACGTTTTGCGTTTTAATGTAGGATACAGAAATGTTTCCCATTTCCACATCTATGACACCATAACCGTCGTGCTTCCAGCAGTGTCCAAGAAGTAATTTCCTCTCAGAATAATAAGACATGTTTGCGCAGAAAGTTGAATGAGACAAAAGGAAAATACCGACCATACGCCAAATGATAAGAAATAACCTCATGGCAGATAATGCAGACAATTTATATTTAGATCTTGGATGGGAGTGCAAAGTTTCATTGCGTACTTGACTTTTGTCTCCGAGATGAAGAGCAGTTCATTTCATGTTAGCGAGAGCCAGGAGCTCGGAAGATGCTTAATTCTGTCATACCTGTTTCGACCTGTTGGCTCTTCCTTCTTCAATCGGCCTGATTCGCGAATGTAAATGAATTTAACTTTTTACTTCTACACGGTTGGAATTTAAGGAGCTTGCAATACATTAAACAAAAGCAGAATTGTGTTTCGGAATTTTACTGGATCTGTTGATTAAGATCCGTGATATAACTATTGTTTTCAGATATCGTCTAGAAGCCTTTACTCTCATGTATCGATGTACATCAAAGCTAATAGCACAAATGACTCTTATGTCAGACAAAAGATTCCGGTTGGGCACCCGTGCGGATATCCGCACTCATTACAAAGCAAACAGACACCGCCCTTAAGATAGTCACGTTCTCCTTTTTCTAACACGGAATTTGATGCGTGTAATGGCTCATGAAAAAAGGAAATGCCACAGGCAACCCAGACAATGAAGTTTTTGGCAACATCTTCTGAATGGATTTTGTGATACTCATGAACCGATAGACGACTTACGAAAGCTACTAACGCGATATTTGATTTCGAGCAAACCCTTTGTAGAGAACTGCATCCCGGCCATGAAACGTGCTGATGACTAAATTTTGCTAACAAGTAACAGTAGGATTAGTAGGTTTGATTCAAGGTTAGTATGTCGCTTTCGAATAAACCAGTTCATGTTTGGATGGATTTTAGAGCTAGTTTGACCATGTGCTCATACTTTGTCAAAAGCACAGTGCACGTACTCGCCATTGAAAGACCTCCAAGCCGGTTCTAACCGGCATCAAATAGCGTAAATCTACGTAGAGATAAAAGGCACACTGCATTGCCAAATACTTGTAACCTTATCATCTAAATCAGGAAGGCCGTTACTTTCTTTTTCATTGTATAATTATATTCGACTTACTTTCCGTTTGAAAAAAATCAAATCAGTTTTATGGGTATTATTTAGCTATTTTCAAAGTTGCGGCTAACTCTTACGCGGAGGCTGTAATCAATAGGTCTTCACACTTCGGTTTGTGAATCTGGTTTTCAAATATACACCATAGAACCTGTTTAGAAAACATGGACAAGTTTCTTAGGAATTTTTTTGACCGTTGTAAAATTTCATCTTGAGGTTGCCTTTTAAAATAGCAACGGTGACATACTCCGGCAGGCCAACAACTTGAAAACGAGAATGCTTAGCATATTTTTGAAACTCTGTCATCATTTGGCATTTTTTTGTACAAGAAACATCTGCTGTGGATATTGGTATTTTAATTCCCTGAAAATGGAAGAGGACACACTTTTACCATTCAAGTGAGAGACGAAAAATAAAGCTTAACTTCAGACCTCTTGTGGTGGTTTTTTTTAAGGGTTTTGCTTTCGCCCCAGGCTGGAGTTTATTTTTAATGTTCGTTAAACTTTATCGTCATTTTGAAATAAAATTTAGATGCATCGCTTCAAAATAGTTCCGCATTGCTTCCTCAAGGGAACTGAAGCAAAAGAGCTCGCAAATTCAGTGTTATCAACCACTAACGAATTTTTAGCACGTCGTTCGCGTCAAACCGTCGGACAAGCAGAAATCACAGCTCTCAAGTTCGTCCTCCTCGAGCGTTTTTATTTGTGCCGGTTTTTGGAATTTCAAAACGATAATTTTTCTGCTAGCGTCAAATATTTTCACTAAACCATTACCCTTCAGGCCGGTTGTGAGAGAGGACCTTCGAGGAACTTCGCGTCAAAACAGGAAGCCGCCGGATTTTAGCCAAGAATCACTTATTTTTCAGGATTTAAGGTCAAATTGAAAAATTGACAACCTTACATTTAATATTCAATTTCATGCCAACAAAATGATTCATGGATGACTAAAGATCGAGTTATGTGTGGAAACGTTAGGCAGCTCAAAAAGAAAGATTATTGACATTCCTTTGAAAATCAATGCAACAATTATGCAACCGCTAATCAATATCTCACTTTCTCGTATCTTATTGCGGTTTTTCTTGGGTCCAAAGTAGTTTACTCTGACTAAAAATAACACCAAATAAATGAAAGACCATTATTCGATTGTTCGATTGAATAATTCCTTGATCAAGTGCAGTTCGACCTTTCGACGCGCGTATTTTCTTTCGGCAATTTTGGTTGAAGATTTACACTTCCAAGTTTTGTTTTGTGATGTGACCGAAATTTCCGTTGAATCGCGTGAGCAAGTTCTTCCGTATGTGGCTGATATATGAGCGCACGATCTTGTTGCTCGTTTGAAAGGGTCGCCGCTGTATTGGCCCTTAATTAAAGGGTGTATTATGAGGATCTCAGCCACGGTACTTGCATCTTAAAACGCTTAACCTGCGTTCTCTAATCCCTTCCTTTACTATCCGTATCAATCTCCTGCATGATCCGTAACCATTCTCGATCCGTCTTTTTACTGGTTCCAACTCCTCTTGTGAGTGTGCGTGAGTATATGTGTGTGTTTTTTATTTCTCCGACAGTTTTCTATTAAACGTAAAGAGTTGTAGAGTAGCAGAGAGAAGGATATAAAATTACGATGGTTTCGCGTCACAGTTTAGCTCGCATTTAAGATCTCTCGGAAGTAGGGGACTTATAAAAGCTAAGACGTACTGGTAAGCTGCTCTTGTGCATACCTTATAAAGGTGTAGATGAGAATCGGCTTTGTGATAGAATCTGTAACAATGTTACATTTAAATCGAGTATTTATAAAAGACTATGGACTCGTTGTTCTCACTCTTTCATTGCGGGTGAGGATGTAGTAAAGCTTTGATTCCAAACCATTGATTATTACTTTGAGCTGTTCGCTTAACACCTATTTCTCAGGGATTCAAAAATGGGCGGAAAAAGGCGGAATAGAAGCGTGTCAATGACCTTGAAATATGCGATATGGAATATCTTTCAGACTTCTGTAGTCCTCTATATTTATTGAACATAGCATGCTTGTGTTCTCTCACTCGTGGTACTCTTTCTTCTCTTCTCCAAGCTTTCATTCGACCGGAGTCACTCCCCAAAGTCACGGACTTCAACTCTGTTTAAAAAACATGGAGCCACGCCTTCCACGCAAGCTGATATTCGTCTCTGGTTGTGATCATAAAATGCCTTCACATTACGCTACACCGACGAGTAAGGAACAAAATTCACTGGAGGCCCCTTATCTAAATAAATTGCAAGTTCTCTTCAGCTAAATTTAAATTTGAAATATTCATTAGATCGTTTTAACATGTACATGTGAAGGTTACATTCAATAGCTCACCTCGAATTTCCTGTTTGGGCTTCTATTTTTATGAAAGGAAATTCGCTTCAGTAACTCTTGGTTGACGCACTTTTAAATTGCGTATCACCGGTCAGGTGACTCAGGAATACGTCATGTCGGTCCAAAGGAAAGACTTGAGGGGCAATGAAAAGAGAACAAAGAAATGTTTCATAGAGGTCGAAAAGTGCTTGATATCAGTGCCCAAAGGAGGCATAGAAGTGTTAAAATGTGTTTGCTCAATCCTGCAAGTCTGGCGTATCTTAGGCTCTGAATTATAAACGTTCTTGTGGAAAACCAAACAAAATGTATTAGTACGTGCCGGTCGAACTACACAACCTGTGGTAACCATGGTGATCGATGCTGATTAACCGGATGATTACACATACGCAGGCTCATACATCACTCTCCTTTCATAGAAAGCACTCTAACATTAGCAGCTCAACGGTGAATCTTGGAGACTGAATCGAGGATTAAAAAAACTAGCTTGAAAACCCGACTGCTGAGAGAAAGGAAGGCGGATTCTGATCTTGTCTTGTTACAGGTAAGGTTAAGCAATCATGTAATTGTGATTGCTAGCTTTTTCAGGCTAGCCTAAGAGCTACTCCAACTGAAAGTTAAGACTCTTTAAAGCTGAACTTTCCCAATGAATCATTCGGTTGTAATTTCATAGTTGTTTGTAATTTTCGATGGAGTATTAACAAGCAAACCACAACTGGTAAAATGTGAATTCTGTCTTGTAACTTGCACCGCGTAAAACATGCATGCCTTATAATAGGAAATGAACAATTCTGATAGTCGTGGTTTATGGTGTTGCAGATGCCACGATCTCCCCTCCACGATGCAAATTAGCAAGTGGACTGTAGGCCCTTTAGTTAAGGCCAATACAGCGGCGGCTCTTTCAAACGAGTAACAAGATCGTGCGCTCATATATCAGCTACATACGGAAGAACTTGCTCTCGCGACTGAACGGAAATTTCGGTTAGAAACACCGAGAAATATCGAATATATTCGAGCCAAGTACATTGAATTCCCGCACGATCTTGAGAAAGCAAGCGCAAGTAATTTTACTCCGTTGTCTTACCAACAATATTTTAGCCTCCGTGTATTTTCAGCGTGTGAAGGAGATATAAAACTTTCCTTCAGCATGAAAACCATAGCGTGAAGACCCGGAAATCCGTTCAGTGAATACTGCCTGTCCCAACCACCAGCTAGAAAGTACCACCTTGCGCTGAGCAGCTCTTCTTATTGCTCACTATCATTTGCAGTTGCAAACTTAAAACCGCTTAACATGCCCATAGTTTTAGTGTAAGTGAATTACTTGTTACCATTGCATGCCTTACCTTGAGATCCGGACTGAAGGAGAATGTAAAGGGGTGTTTGACTTAGTTTCTTTCTTGAAAGTCATCTTACCGTTTGCATCTGGCACCGCCCAAATGGAGACTCTCTTTTTACTGAAGTTAACGTAGGAGCTTTTGTTTAGATGGGGTTTCTCCGGGCAAGTAAGTAAGAAGAGGAAGTTGGAGTTGTATGCCCATCCACATAAAAGGAAATGTTACATTTCGATTGAATGAACTGGTCATGTTCTTTTCCCCGGTTTGATAAAAAGGAAAACAAAACAAATGTAATTCCTAATTGCAAAAAAGGCTCCGTTTTAATCTGGTTGATGAGTTCGATGGTTTTATGATGATTCACGGTGACCGCACTGAAAAATAGAAAAATGTTTGATTCCGTCTTCTTTTGACTTGCTTGCTGCAGAAATGGAAATGTTCTGTTTTGCCTTTTTTAGTTAACCTCTTGGCTGTTTGTTTTTTTTCTGTTGCAATAAATGGAGGACCATGCTGTCAATTGCGTAACTAAAGTGGATTTAAAAAAAATTTGGAAAGCTGTTAAAGATGGCTTGTCCAGTGTGGTGCTAGAACCAGTCGACCCATAATGCTAAATGGGAGTTAGTCAACCTCATTATAACGATACTTCCCTATCTCGTCCGTGTCATAAAAAAAAACTAAGAACGTTCTAGACTGAACAGAGGTGGTATAATCACAAACAAACAGCCAAGCTGGTGATTAAAATGCTTTTCTCCGGTTTAAAAGTAGCTCATTATTAGGAAAAAGTCATGAAAAATTTTTGCACATTCGTGAATGGCAACCGAGTAAGATGTACGTTCCATTCTGTCTTATTTCACTCTCAAGATCCAAATAGTAACTCTCCTTACTGTCTGCCTCATGCAACGTTAGTTTCGAGCATTTGGCCTTGGATCTCATAATGATACCCCAAGCGTTATATTTCCTTATGATTCTCATCACCTTACGGCTTGATATTGTATTGATATTGGAAAGAGAAATCATGTCTTGGTCATTCCTGGGCGTGGAAGGGTGGAAGCAGTTAACGATATTTATAGTCTGCAATGTACAATGAGAGTTAGTTCGTATCTTTGACATGGCAGTCTTCACTTTCAGAACTCAGAATAAACTCGTTGCATGTTTCAATCCTAGATCTCGTTAGTGTGAATACGCCCATCTACAGGTGTGTCATGTGTTTACCCTTGGTGCGATAAAAATTTGTTTGTCGCGATCGTATGATTTCATCTCTGCGTGAGACTCCAGGTTGAACGCAAAATTGGCGTGTCATCAGAAAGCCGATATAAACGTATGATTTCCCCGACTAACCGAAATTCGTTCCAGTCAGAAACACTCCATCGCCGTCGGGCCAAGCAATTCTCTGTCCTCTCGACCTGTTTTCCGGGAAGTACACTCCACACTTGAAATAAACACCCTCAAATTTCTTTACCTGCTTTGCAGAAATCGTCACTGCGCTGAAATATGCCCTTGATTTTGTTTCGAGAGGGTAGGTTGTTTTTTGAAGTTGCAGATAGGTGCAAGGAGTCTAGACTTACCTCCTACAGTGACCTTGTGTGTAGCGTGAGTTTCAAACATCCGCCTGGTATTAATGGTTTCCGCTTTGGTTTGACACTATAGAAAATATTGTCAAGGTGTTCCCAAGCAAACATGTGCAGACTTTGCGATCATACAAAGTGTTACAGTCAACTTGAAAGGCTAGAAGACGTTTCTTTTCCAGTTGTCCGATTTAGCGAGAGTGGTGCGCTTATGGTTCATTTAAAAATTGCAAGCGCTCGGCGACCCATCGATGAGAATGGATTGTCCTTTTCAATAAATTGTATCGTTTTTTGTTTCGGTGTTTTTTTTCTTTTCTTTTGTTTTTTTTGGTGTCTGTTCCTTAGCTTCGGGTGATCTAAAGTGAAAGACGATAGTGCCGAAGAAATAACTAAAAAATAAAGTCTCCTTCCTATTTTCTCCTTTCGTTTGTTAGGCGTTCGCTCTATGAAAGCGTCGTGTGCGAACTGAGCGCCTTTGAGATTCACCAGAAATATTAACTTAAGACACACTCTAATATCAATCGTTGTAGGGGAGGGGAGGGAGGGGGAATCATTCAATATTTTTAGTGTCCTTTTGTCACTGAGGACTTGAAGGCGAGACCCTGTTTACAACAAAGAAAACCGAAGATACCTATATACCTTATATAGAATTTTTTAAGGACTGAACCAATCAGTTTCAAAGACAAATTGAACAAGGGACGTTCATTTGAAAAACTATTTCTTAAACAAAACGAATTTCAAAATTTTTTTGGTCTTTGACCTTCTTTGGCAGAAAATAATCGCTGAGCTAAAAGCGTACTCCCCTTTCAAGACTGAAAGGTATGAAAAGCAAATGCACACCTGGTCCCTTAGTGCGAGCTTACTGTGGGATAATTGTCCACATGTAGTCTGATAATCACATCGGGAGCCCTGACAAAAAAAATTCATAATCGATGGTTAATCTTCTCTGTGCATAATCTAAATATAGAGAGTTTTGGTAGTTGTTTTGTCCTGCGGTTCCGAAATATTGTAAGTTGAATAGGAAGTTTTCTTTTCTTATGATAAATGAAGTGAAGAGCGCAAAATATGCGAATCCCAACAAACGTTCGCAAATATTTATCTGGGTAATGCTAAACCCCAAAACACTATGCAAATAAAGTACAAATTAGGACTGCGCAAAGGAAGGAATTTTGACGGGCGACAGGACGTTTTCAAGAATTCATTTGTCATTCTTTAATTCCAGGGCAGCTGCTCTTTCCACAGGAACCGCAAGGAAAATTAACAGGAAGAGGCTAACACAAGTGTCGAGTGGCCTTTTAAGATGAAATCTCGAAATGCCGAGAAGCAAAAAATAGCCATCTATGAGTCGTTGATACTGTCATCTGACTCTAAAAGATATTTTTGTTTAGATTACTCAAGCTTTAATTTGATCTCGCAAGAAAAGGGAGTACAGATATATTTGACACTCGGCAGAAACAAACAAATTCGGAGCTCAACAAATCGAACTCGCAGGAATCGCCAATTTTAAACCTGGGATCATTAGAAATCTGTCAGTCAAGATTTAAGATCCCTTTACTCAGGAGATTATGCAGATACTCTGCAAAGAAGCGTTTTTTGAAAAACAATCAGTCCCCCGGGAAAAAAACCATACGCCGAAGGAATTTCCGGTACAAAACCACAGTGTAATTTTGGCATTGTCATTGGCCGTTATTGTCGCGCGCCGGAAATCAGTAATTTCCAGAGATAACACTATGATTAATTAATTTTTCATTCTTGTCGTATTTAACAGCGTTTATGTAAAGAGAGAAGGTTCGCTGAGCTTCTGTCACTAAATACAGAATTGTTTGCAGCTTTGAAAGCGCCTTTTGTGTCTTTTGTCAACAGAATGCGAACCCACGCCGTAATGTCGAGTGATGCTCTTTGTTCCCATTTCCGGCCGCCAATAACAGATAACGTCATGTTTCCGTTTCCGGTTAATTTCCGCAAGCTTGCGGTGATACAGCGTCACGTGCAGGAATTTTCGCTTAAACTCATTTTAGTGAACAAGTTTAAACCATTGCTTGTTTCTAGTATGGACCAATTCAATATTCCAACGCAGATGGCTTTGTTTCACAGCCAAAGACAAGCCGACAGCGCTGATTTTGCAACTTTGACCGAGGTGACAAAGTGGACAATTTTCCCGCCGCGTAATTTCCGGTTTGTGGTGAAGAGGTCACTGTGAGATCAAAGCACCCCACAATAGCCGTTGCTAATTCCTGTCTCCTTTCATTTTTGTATCTTGTGGTTACAGCATTTCGTGGGCGTAGAGCGGAAATATCAAGCACTACGAGCGTAGAGAGCCGGTAGCATGTACTCCTCTAGAGATAGTCAACAGACTTCTATAAACTGCGCAGAGAACAGATCCAGGTTAGAGGGTCTGCCACTCACTCACGAACCCCGCGTTTGGCCATACAACCCACGAACAGAGATGTACCCGTACCAAATCGATGCAAGTGAGCACAACAAATCTAACTCCAGGTAATTTTTTTTTACATTTTATTTTTGCCCGAATGGTCCTATGTTCAGAAGCCTACCTCATCATTATTTCAAATGGCTGTTTTAAATTTAATATATATTTCCCCGCGATTTAGGTCATGTATAATACGTGCGTCCATCGCGAAACTCATTCGAAACCGTCAAAGCGATTCTTAAAAATAATTGTTCAAATGTCAGCTTTGTGGCCAAATTTAGCCTCCATGTCAGACCACTGCTTCCGCTCTACTGCTTTCTTGCGTTTTTGCGAAATCCGTTCAACGAGCGTGGTCATTTCCTAGGTTTGCGTTTTTGATTCGAAAGGTTTATGTTGTATCTGTTATTATCACCGGTTTGAGGCTAGGAGAAGAACCGCTAGCACCGACGCTTTAAACAGTCACTTAAGATCACTACTTCGAGAACGAGATAATCCATTCGTCAGCGAATCTACGCGATCTTTCCAGGAACTTCCCTTTGTTACACACGACTTTCCTGGGCTAAATTTCTTTAAAAATCTTTTAAGGTAAGTTCACTGAGTAGGGCCGATGTTTAACCAGACGACTTCTCTATAAAATCACTCTTGCATTTCACCCATAACTAATTATTTGTTCATTTTATTTTTAAACTGGCCGTGATAAACCGAGAAATCCGCTTTCAAAAATAAGTCAAATCCAATAGAGAGAATATCTGCTTAGAATTTAAATCTGCTGTAGAGTGCGACTTTTTTGCTTTCATTTCACTTTTGAAGGGCCAGGTTGTGTATTGTTCGAATAGTTTGACGTTGAAATATTTTGTTCGTCTTACTTCGTTCATTAGCCGATATTAGTCAACTGGAAAATTATTTGAACCGATTTTAAATGATTCTTCAGCAGACACCGAGCTACTCGCAGAAAATCAAACCCAGGACCTTCCGTTGCAGAAAAATTTGATTGTTTAACAATGTTTTAGCTTTCAGCTTGAAAGTACCGTTGCACCATTTGCCTTTTTGAAAATGAGTGAAAAATAATAATAACAAATACTGCATGTTCCGAAAAAGTCAAGAGAGTGTCTAAGAGGAAGGGTCTACGAATTTCCTGTTTGGAAATACGTAAAGGTGTCCTAAATTACAATATTGCGTTTTTCTGATATGGTTTTCCGGTTGTAAGAAAGAAAACAAAGAAGGAGAAAATGACTAAGCTGCAACTTTTGTTTTGGCTGTAAGCAGGCATTATCCTAAGGTCTCAAAAGGGGAAGTTTTTGGGTTTTTCGTGGAAATTAAAATATATTTATTGCAATCGAAATGACATGTTTTCAAGTCCGTCAGACTTTTTACTGCTAATTGCCGGGGTTTTTGTACGGACGAAATAAAGAAATTAACGAGCTGGAAAAGAAATTGGAAAACCTTGTAATGAGGCAAGGAAAGACGTAAAGAATTTGAGGAATGCTTAAAACGGGTGTGGGTTGGGTCGGGAGTGCACTTCGAAGTTTGAAAACAACATGTAATCTATCAGGTATCGAATTTTCCTGACAGAAATGGGCAATATGCTCTGAGAGTGAGACATGTTAATTACTGATAAAAAGGTATGCTATCAAAAGCACCGGAAGACCCTTCAAGAAGCCTCTTACTGGAAATTGAGAATTCTTTTTATCAAAGTTGAGCCTTTTCAAGTTTTCACTTTACAAAAATTAATAGAAAATTGAGATTAAAAAAACCTTTGAATTAGACCTCAGTTGGCTTTGCTCGCTGTGTTTTCAACGCAGCGTACGGAATTCGTTTTCGTTCAAATCAAAAACATTTGCAAAATGAACTGCATTTGAAGCTACAGAGTATTTGAACCAATATTTTGCCTCTTTTAAACAGGAAAACTTGAAAGATTTTCTCATCAAACACATCTACTTAAACTTAAAAAAAATGACTGTGTTAAAAATAGCATATACAGGTTTTGTAGTAAGATTACTCAGAGGTCGCAACGATTAGGTTTACTTCAAGCCGAGAGTGTTGTAGGAATGCACAGATCAGGCAGAGTTTGGAATATTATCTCATTTACACCTATAAATTAAAGCTTGCAGTTCATAGGCACGTAATGTTTTAACTTCCATCTCACCCGTTACGCAATGGGAACCACAATAGGAACAAGCTTTTGTTTTTGCTAATTTCTTAATAACATTATCCTTTCCTGTATCACCTTTGCATTTCATCACGTCTTGAATATTTTGAGCATGGTTGCCCTCGAGTTCCATGTTTGTTCATGGGGTGCAAAACAAAATAAAATACTTACCTATTTGCACGGTCATTGTGGGAGTCGTGCCAAGTCACGTATAAAAAAAAGTATCCCTCTACTAGCAATGCTTTTTGGAGACAAAAACTTAGTCTAATCGCACAATATTTTTGTCGATATTCAAAGATGATTTTTAATGCTCTCTCTCTGTATTGTTCGTAGTGAGCTTTCCAAAGAAGCTTACACATAACATTTCTCATTTATTTGTGAGTGGAGTCCAGTAAACCTCTTAGCATTATAAGGATATTTTACGTCAGAAAAGCTTCAATTACGTGACACATTCCTGTTGAAACGGGCTTAAAGCGATTTTGGTGCACATTTGTTTTCTTCATCATTTGAAACAAGCCGGGGTTGATAAACCAGCTGATTGTCAATAAGCGAGTTTGTGCGCTTGGAAGGATCATTTTTTCTCAACCTCTGACAGAATGCCACTTCCGAGGTATACTAGTTCGTAGTTCTACTCCTTTTAAGGGCCAAAAATATTACATAGTTCCGTCCGTTTGGGGTAATTCCGGAATTCCGAGGTTGTTAATGGTCAGTCTATAAATATATATATATATATATTTACAAATATTGCTTCATGGGTTTAAAATTGATTTATTTTTTGCCAAATTTTATCCAGAAATTTCCCCATGTTTTTCTGTGGGCGTTATTGAGGTGTGACTGAATGAAAATAAGCGAAAGTAGTTCCTTCTCGCTCAAAACTCTTTGTCCAACAAAGAAATCAAGAACTTAGGGTATTTTTTTACTTGTATATCACACTGTAGAAGTATGAGCTTTTATGGATGAATTCCAGAAGAAGCCGTGACAACTTCCGAAATATTTGTAGGCACGATTCGTGCAAAGAATACAAACAAGCTCAACAGGAAATGGGCAATTGAACTCTTCCGATTACATCAAATAACTTATAAGCCGAACATCACGCTATTTCATAGTTGTACGTGTCGTGGCAGAAGTAAGACCTCAGCGAGGAATTCGAGAAGATTTCCAGAGAAATTCATGGCTTGCGTTTTTCCTAGGTTGGATCCAGCTTTAGCTTATCCAGTTCCTTTAAGACCAAGTGTTTTTCAGCACGCACGATTCATCGATAAAATGCAACCCAGCATGGCGAGAGTGAAGCAAGAAAAGTACGAGATGGCGTTCCCGGAGGAACCTTTAAGCGAAGGTAGGTAATAAGGGTCGATAGTTAAGGACTGAACCGAAAAAATCTTTTCGAAGCGAGTTTAAGTATGATGTTTACAGCAGTTAGAATGAACGCAGGTTTTGTACTTTCGTTGTAATCCCTAAATCAACTTTTAACTCAGGATACCAAATATCTCTTGTTCACAGTTAATGCAAAAATTTTAACTAAAGCGTTAAAAAATCTTAAGGCGATAGCAATTAATTCAGTTTCTCGGTTTTGCCTTTAGCCAATATAGTTCATAATTGTACAATTCTACCACTCAGCAGGGATTTTAAGCACTCTTCATGTAGTTGTTATTCATCGAATATTTACATGTTTCATGACTGATTGAGGACGAAAATTTTGATTCCCTTAAATGTCGTAAGAATGAAAATTAAGACAGCCTATCCATGTACAAAAACCAAAAAAAACCAGCTAGTATCACTAGGCTTAAAACACAGGAAACAACGGCGATTGTAAGAAGAATGATTTAAGCAAAATGGAACGTGACAGCATTCAGGGATTATTCAATTGTGTCGGTTGCCTTGTTAACGAAACAATTGGTTGCATCAAAGCTAACGTCATGCTTAGACTGAGCCATCTATTTTCATGAATATTATTATAAATAGAAATGAATAAAACCAAAACGTCAACTGTTGCAACAGGGAAATCGAATGGTTCTTTAGCATTTACGCAATTCCGCAACGCATTAAAAGTTCCGTATCGAAAATAGATTTTTGTTGGTTGTAATTATCCCCTGAGTATGACGAAATACTTTAGATATAATTTGGGCACGAGTGTTTTTTTTTCTGTCGTTGTTTTTTTTCCCCTAATGTATGATTCTTGCTCAGTCGTAGATAATTGAAAATTAATTTTATCATTATTAAGGGGCTGTATGAAAACTGAGTCATCGCGGGCTTTTATAGTGCGTTTATTGAGATAGGTAAACTTGTTCAATCCTCCGTTTGTAATTTTCCAACTTACACATTGGGTAAAAATCCTTAGTGTGGTGTTCTTTCATGTATTTTGCCAAAGGTGACTTCTGTGACCTGATGTGAAGCTACAACCGGTATTCTTACATGAACAGAGTTGGATGTTACGAAATAGAGCTTGTCTTAATTGTCGCCTGTAAATGTTGCTAAAGTCGGAGATTTAAAAAAAGATAGATATCCAGTGTTTCAGGGTCCTATTTAAACCTCCTGTGTTGAACTAGATGCTTCTGGTATTGATATGAACATGCTAGAAGAGATTTGAAATTCATAGCAGAATGGGTTTACAACGCTTCCGTCTCTTTTCGCTCATTTTCTCACTCTTTCCCCACTTTTCTATGTATTTAACTCGTACATGTCTATTTACTTATTAATTTTTGTATTCTATCTTTTTTTCCTATTCATTTCTTTATTTAGTCTTGAATATTTCAATTTAATGTTTATCCTTTTGTTTTCTTTTTATTTCAGTTGATCCAAGAAGGTGGAGTCGCGAAGATGTAACACGCTGGCTCCAATGGACTTCTGAAATGTTTCATCTTGGAAGCATTAATCCCGAGCGATTCCAAATGAACGGTAAAGCTCTATGTCTCATGACAATGGATATGTTTCTGTACAGAGTTCCCGAGGGAGGAAATATCTTGTATCAAGACTTCCAGAGGAGACTTCGAAACGCTGTGGCTTTGCAGAATTAACCGCGTACTACCTGCTAGATCTGTGACTAAACGTGATGTAAGACGGCTTTGGATTGGAGTTTGGAACTAAGATAAGCTGAGCAGAATTTAGATAAAGTGTAAACGGGTTGTCTAAAGAGGACAGAGACGAAATGAAACCAGTACCTTGCAAGAAAAGCTAGTCAAGAACGTCGTTAAAAAATATCGCGCGAAAAGATTGCAGTTTATTTGTGTTTTTCTGCACATCGATGACTTTGGAACTTTCGTTGCCACTTAGAGTTTAGATTGAGGACTGTTTTTTCGGAATTGGTTGCTGTTTTTTCTTTCGGCTTCCTCAGGAAGTGGGAAGAACGATAATTAATGCGATAGGTAACGATTTAAAGGAAAAAAAAAGAGCATAATAATTATTTTTGAGTAGGCTTGTTACTCGAGTTAATAAAGCTAGTGTTATTTGTAGGAGAAAGAAAGCTCATAGCAAATTATTTGAAATGAATGAAAGTATGATTCGTTTCTTGTAAATAGTTTACAAAGATGCTTTATTTTTATGAAATATTCAAGACGTACAACTAAGTTTATATTTCAAGTCATCACAGACGTAATACATTTTTACAGTCATGTTTCTATCATGAATCAATAAACATTTAACAAGAGATTTATTATTCATTGGAGTTTGTGCGGTGCAATATATTCCACATTCCTTGTCGATATATTATTTTGTATTTTGTAATGTCTGGAAAACCGACTTTGAACACATATTTCCGCAAATACGCTCATTTTAACGAGCTGATGTTTCGGCTTTTTGTGATGAGTTCCGTAATGGCTTAATGAAGTCTGAAAGAAAAAAACCGCCAACGACTCTCACTTTTCATACTGCCCAAATTCATGCAATGGCGGTAACATAAAAGAGCCGTTGGCGTCATTTCAAATAAATTTTGGTGTCTCTATATCGGTTACGATTCATTTCTCTTCGCATATCTGGTAATTTTTTAGTTCACTCGCAAGATAGCCTATCTCTGGGGTCACAGAATTATTTCAATATCTCGTAGACTTTATTCGGCAAACTGGCGCGCGCGCATGATAGTCGAGACCTTTGGCGCAGTTAAGATTTAAAAATTAGTGCTAATCCACCCACGACAATCAGCTCTATTACTACATCCAACTGACGCATAGCCCGATGGAAAGATTTTTTCAAGCATGTATTTGTTCTAATTGAAGAGAAATAGAGGGGGAAGCGGAACATTAGAGCCAAGGAGATAATGTCAAAGTTAAGTGGTGTTAAAAGCTTAATTATTAAGGAGGCGCATGATTACTTAAGCGATCTACACCTAATAAACTTTCTAGGGGCATACCTAAGAGCAAAGGCAAATCGAATGGACAAATGTTAAGAACAAACAAATTTAATGATTTGAAATAGTGACTTAGCCGTCATTGTTTCCAGTGAGCTTCATGTACACGAAGCAAATACCAACAACGGCTTTTCAATATTCTGTAAACGATACTATTGACCGCTTCTCGCCCTTCACCTCATTTGACATGGAACTGAAAATCCATAAGTCATGGAGGATTAAGGGGGCATACAGTCGACTTAACCATTTTTTCTTCAATCAAACCGATTCGATCTCTAGCCGCTTCCTGCGTGATTTACAGCAGATCAGAGCACAGACGACGCTTCTTTATCAGTCTAAATATACTAGACGTGGCTCCTGAGGTCAACGTCGTACTATCCTGTGCCGGAACAGGCGCCAATTTTATTTTTTTCGTATTTCAGGCGAGCGGATGAAAATGCGCGCAAGGCGAGACGCCTACAATCGGATATATTTTGTTTTTTATCGCGCTCCGACTTGCTTAAGTCTCGCCTCTCTTCAAACCCCCTCTAGTGCTTTCCTCTCAGCCTCATATGCTCGCCTGAAAATGGCGCCTGCTCTTCAGCCTGGGACTAAGGTGCAATAACTCGTCGTCTTAGACATAAGTAATCCTGAATTAATGGATGTTTCTTGAAATGGTCGTGGGTTAAGGCAGCGCATCGCTCTTTCTAGGATTGACTAGGAACTTCGAACTTTCAAAGAAGAAGGATGGTAAAGTTTGAACTCCGCAAAGTGATAGAGAATTATTTTTATTTTTTTTTATATATGACTCTTTTCGACATTGCTTATCGTTGCTGTATGCTGGACAAATATGGAATTTGTAATGACGGAGCTCGTAGTGGTGTCTCTGTGGCTCTGGTGCGACGTTCGATTCTTCATGAGGACTCAGATTTTTTTCTTTGTCCCGCGCTCGAGACGAGACGAATGAATATCTTCCTTCACAACCTTTCAAACGGTGCTATTTCTTAACATCTTAAGACTACCGCACCGTGCGGCTGGTCTCTTGGTCAATAAAAAGGAACTCAGTGCGCGGGTTGCTTTCTCCTTGTGTGATAGAATGAAAGCGCTTTTAATTCCTTTTGAGGGCTTTTAATTTTGCTTTCTTTCCTGATACAGTAATAATGCGTTAATTTCTTTTTTTCGCCGGTAAATTACAGTGCGTCATGATCATCTTTGCGTTTTATTTGTTGCGCTCTCTTCGGAAGAGGACAACGAAATAACAACTATTCATTTATTCACAAAATTTCAAAATGAGGCCTAAAACATTTCTTATCTTACCTCCACTACTCAACCGGGCATAAAGATGTTGATATCTGGGTGCATTGGCCAGCCAAGCCACCGTAACGTTTGTTTAACACCACTGAATATGCTTACAAAAGTTTATTACGATCGAAAGAAACTAAATGCACCAAAGCCGGACACGAAAACCCCTAAATACCAGCAGGTGAGAAGAAAGGGGAACATGCACCCCCAACTAAGGCAGTGGCACCACCCTCAGGGTTTTATGGTATCCTATGAATAACATGATATACAAAAGTAGATAGCAGTTAATTGAGGATGTACGCGAGTACAGCTCTGTGTAAAACCTGATGTGAACATGACAATATTTCAGAAAAAAAAACGAAATGAATTTGAGGGAAAACGAAACCAAACAACTTATCACGACGAAGGCTGACCGTAGAATGCCTCGCCCTACTACCACGTTCCCATAACTCTCCGCGCTCCTCGCACTCGCCTCCAGTCCTTGATAGGTGCCGGCAAAATATTAATTGATGCTAATTACGATTCTCACAAATTACAACTAATTCATTATCGAGATCTACTGCTTTTAATGATATCAGTCTTTCAAATGAGCTCTTTTCGAGTGTCAGAGTAATTTCCTGGTCACAAAACAGTTTCTAAAATTCAACAGCTGTGAATTTTCTCCTCTTGTTACATTCCAATCCGTCACTCACAATGCCTTTCATTGAGCTTGATTATTGATAAGCTGGCAAAGCGTGCAAACAGAACTCCGGGTCCGTGCCAAATCTGTGACGTGCAGTCGATTATTTGCCGCAGTTGTTAATCCACATTCATTAGAAGTTGTGGAATTTTCAGTAAACCATGCTGTCTGTCGTAGAGTGAAGACATGCCTTCCGTAAGGCTAAACATAGGCGCTCTGGAGGAAAGAAGACACTCGACCTGTAAAGACAAACAACAAAAGCACTCTTATGTCACTACTACAACAGGTGAGTATTGCCGTTTGAAAATATTGCCTCAAGCACCTTCAAAGATATAATATTATCTCAGTCGTATTATCTCAGTTCTATGACGTTGCACGAATCGGTTGGTTGGACTGAGCGGCTCTTCAACTCGAAATTAGAGTAAATTAGGGTGTTGGCTTCGAGAAAAGAGGAACCTACGATTGAAACATGTTATTAGTGAAACTGTCAAATAAAAATTTTTGTTGAATCTATTGGGTACTTCACTTTATTGTATTTGAACGTGGCAGCGATGAAGGCTCCTCTACTCAGTGACCGTTGCATTATTGTAAATGACATTTAAAAAAGTTGATACTTTGTGTCACAGAGAAAAAAAACTGTACAAAATTTTAATTTTTAATCATCGTCCGCGTGGAAAATGAGCATTCCACATTCGTATTTTCTATTTTCAGGAAGAGAAACGTTGTCAGTTATCAAAAGGATCGAAGAACAAAGATTCTGGTCAAGAGACCGAGAAGACACTGGAATCACTGGATTTTCAGTGGATACTTCAAAGATAAGAACTTTAAAATAATTTAGCAAAAATGGCAAAAGTGGTGGCCTTTTATGTCTAATTACTGTGCGTAGTCCTCCTTCTTTCACCAATTGTTTTGGAATGAGTTAAAATGATTACATGGCAAGTGAAAAGTTTTCGATTAGCCACCATTTTTTAAATAGTTTGTTATTTACTGATTGTTATGCAGACCCTAAGCTATAGAGATAATCTCTTTACATTGAATTAAAGACAGAAATGACTGGAAACTGATTTAACCTTGGCAACAGAACGCTGAAACTTAAGAGCACCAATTTTGAAGCTTTGATCGCTCATTTTTTTGGTTTTAACAGTTGTATCCTGTGCTTATTGTTCATCGTGATGTAAGATGGGAGATAAACTTTATTCGTTTGTCTCACGATGGAGTCACTTTGGATGTTTCGACTGCAATACTGCTAGTCTTCATCAGGCGATGAAGAATAGCAGTATTGCAGTCGAAACGTCGCGATCAACATCCAGAGTTGTATCCTGGTTGATGTTACAGGAAGGTGATATTTATTAAGATGGCACTCGAACAAAATACTTCGGCCGGACGAAGAATCGAATACAATTCAAAATTGGAAACTACTATCGGCACCTTAAAAACGACTTGGAAAAAACCAAAGCGGTCACCAACGGACAAAAGAAAAAAACAACCAAACCTTACAACTGATCAAAACTGACTAATGAAGGGACGAGCGCCATTTAAGTACAAAAATCACTTTGCTGCAAAACCGATCACTTAGTTTTGCAAACCGGGGCCCAGATGTTCGTTGGCTGATTAGCATTAACCCAAGGTAAAATTTTAACCCTATTTTCTTCTTTCCTTTGTTCAAAACCTTCTTGGGATAGTTTTATTTTCTCTTTTTAGATTATCCAATCATTAAATTGTCGACAAAAGGAATTATACTGAATTTCTTTTTAAGCCTTTCAGACCTGAAATCAGATTTCACACTAATCGTGGGTTATCTAAACCCAGCTTTGAACAACCCCACCCAGCTATAACATTCGAATTGTCAACAATTTTCCGATGACTCCGATGTCTTCTGCGTAAGGCAAGTCACTAGTTTCGACAATAACAAACCTTTTCAGGGCTGTTCTTACTCGGACGATCGTACTTCACGATTGACAACGGAATGTTACCAAGATGAAAAGTTGACATATTAATACAATTGGAAATTCATTTTCGGTATGAACTGTATTAAACAGGAAATTTGGTTTGCACATACACAAAACAAGAATTTAGTACATTGCCATCTTAGATTACAACCTTTACTGTGTGCCATCAACTGTGTTTAGTTTCCGTTTAGAAGTAACATATGTTCTAAAAATCTAATGCCTGGTCACAAGCACTTTCGAGAAACTGATTTCGGTTCGAAATTTACCGTGACCTAAACCAGTTTAGATTGATTCCTTTTTACGAAGGATTAAGGTAGACGTTCATATTTCGATAGAAATCAAATTGGATAATTGTTTCGAAAATCGTTGAAAAACAATTTACATAGAGGACGAATATCAACGATGCACAAGCCTGTCGCATTTGTTAACATATGCCTGTATTGTCGTTGTTTTGCACAAGCCTTTTGACTAGTGAGCAATAAATAAGTCTGTTAGTGAAGATTCGCTTTAATAACTGCCTCTTTCTTGTCGAATGCTTTCATATATAGATTAAGAGTTTAATAGAATTTATGGAGTTAAAACATATATGCTTATTTATGCAATTGAAATTTTGTACAGAAACCACATTGATTTTCCAAACCGAAGCGCGAACCAAGAACGCAAATTAGTGATATTCAAATGTAAGCTAGGCTATCGAAATTATATGAGTTCATTTTGTCCTCGCTTTGAAAAGCTAGTTCTTTTCAATTTCTCTACCGCAAGGGTTTTCATTTTGCTGGTTTATGTAAAATTGTTTCTTTCTTGAAGACGAACTTTTTAGGTATTGTCCACCAAACTTTTAAACTAAGTCGCATTTGAAAAAAAGGATCACTTTGTTATCCTTTGGACCAGGCATTTGGTTTTAAAGTAAATCTTAGTTAGTTTACTTACTCCTTACTGTTATTGGAAGGAATATCTTTTGAACAGTCACTTGCAAATTGGTGTAACACAGGAATACAGAAAACAAATTATGATTGAAAGTTTAAAATTTTGACCTTCAATCTCAGTTTTTAATAAACAGAAATTGAACTCATTAAATGACTAAATATTTCGAAACAACCCGCTGCAAAAATTCATTGTTTATAATTTGGAGCCCAACTGTGAAATGTCATCGCCTTTAAGAAGCTAAAATCGAATTAAGGAAATTTGCTCCAACAGTTTATATTGTTTTATTCTTCAAATTACCTCTCGAATCTGTTTAAGGGATTTAAAGACTAAATTTTACATGTCAGCTTTTGATGGCTTAAGTCACATTAAAAGAGTTGCTCCAACTTCTTCCTTCTGATACTTTTTTTGTCATATTTCTTCACGCAATATGTTTTTGCTCTAGAATCAAATTGAAATACTTATGCTCCAATAATTCGTGATTTTCTTCGTGTAAAATTTAGTCAAATAAGAATTTTCGAATCTGGAAATTTAGCCCAGTGTCTTTTATAGTATTTTCGATGCTTTAACGTCCTGTGTTACATTCGAAACTGGCGGCTTTAAAGATCTTTCACTCCGAAAAAGACATGGCAAGCAAGAGAAATACAAGAAAAAGATTTGAATGTGAAAGCGATCTTCGCAGTAATGAACACTACTTAAGTAGTAGTGAAAAGAAGGCCTGGAAAAAATTCAGGCCTGTACGGGATTTGAACCCATGACCTCTGCGATACCGGTGTAGTGCTCTAAATAATGATGGATTCAAAAACTAACTTTTAATTAAAATAAGTTGAGTACAAATTTAGAGTTTGTATTTTTGATTGAACAATCTATAGTTTTCCATGGTGCTCTTTCGTTTGGAACTTCCACACGTCATCTCGTACAAAGAATTAAAGTATATAGGGAAAAAAAGTAAAGTTGAAATATATACACGTCGAGTCAGAATTTATTTTGTAGGAAGCGAAACTTTCTAGACTGTGTTTATGGTTTTTTTTTTTTTTTTTTTTGAGTGGAAAAGAAATTGCGATTACTCTTCAACTTATTTTTGCACGAGAAGCTGTTAAATTTTAACTTTTTTGGCGAGAATTAATAGAGGAAGCCTTGTTAAAATTCTTGCCGAATAAGTTGTCGGGGGAAACTCTGTGCAGATTGGTTCAAATTTTCCCGCCAAGAAGAACACAAGCAGAGTTCTTTACTGATACTATAAAAGAGTAATACAAGAAGACGACAAGTAAATTAGTTTATTGACAGGTAATTTAGTGTTAACAACTGAGTTGAAAACGTAAATTAGCTACCGTAAAGGCAGCTTTTTTTACCCTTTACCGTGGCTAATTTACGTTTTCAACTCAGTTGTTAACACTAAATTACCTGCTATGCTCTTCCACCGACGCAGCACCACAGTTTCTTTAGAACCTTACCCCCTTTATTCAATAGTGTATCGACAAACTTGAATTTTTTAAAAGAAAAAAGCTGGCGCATACGTATTTTGGCGGGAAAATTCGCCAAATTTTAACAGATGTTACTTACAGAATAAATAAAGAAAAAAGGGCGCATGCGTTCGTTAAGCGCACGTATTTTCAAGCTTTTAACATTGATTGCTCCGACAAAATTCAGGAAAATAATAACTTTCCAGTCCTCAAATTTGGCGTTTGAATCTTAGCTCTGACTCTGAAAGAAATGCACTACATTGTTTTGAATAAATCTTGAATTTAACTTGGATCAAAGTCTCTTGTTTGATTCTTGCTTGGGGATTTTAACCTGCAAAACAACGACGATAAAGCCATATATTAACAAATGCGACAGACTTTAAGCTCTGCTTTCTCAAGTGATATTAGTCCAGTGTTGGTTTGTCGCAGAAAAAGTTAGTTGGTAATGTTAGACATGTAATAGTCAGGATACATGTATTTAATCATTTTGCGACTTGATACCTGACTAAGTGACCATAACCTGGATTTAACCCTTAACTCTCAGAAGTGATTACCATGTAACCTCTCCCTATAGTATCTATACATTACACAACAAACAGGTAGTGAGAATACTCAAACTCATCAGGTACAATTTATTGGCTTGATTGAACACCAAATTCTCGTAATCAGTTTAAATGCGTAGTAGCTAGCGGGTAGAATTGAGATCACATCTTGGGAGTTTGAGGGTTAACGATAAAAGTTGAAGCGATTACTGATTAGAATATTCGAAGTCAAAGTTAGATTTTATAATTCAGTTTTTCGCTTGCTTGGTTTCAGGGATTAAATCGTTTCTTTACGAGGATTAGAGTTTATAATTTCACTCAGGCAACAGTAGGCCGTAAGCAATCTAAATTTTCATGCAGCAACTGCAATAAGCTAGTTTATGTTTTCTTAAATTAAATCTGTGATAATTCGCAGAAAGCCTTTTCAAATGAAATACAGCATTCTTGTTCAAATTTCGACGAGAGCCAAAATTAACCGGAACGAAATATTGTGGCAAACAACCCACAACATCGATTACACCGACAAAAATCATGAAATAATAACTTTCCAGTCCTTCATTTTGGCGTTTGAGTGTTAGCCCTATAACTATGAAAGAAATACGCTTAATCTGTTTTTAACTCGTACCTCTGACTAAATCTTGTATTTAACTTGGATAAAATAATAGAAAAATGGAAACAGGTGCATGTAAAGGTAAATCCTGGTGCGTGAGAATTCGTGAGGGTCGCTGAATACGTAAATAATAATAAAAATAAGAAATAACAATGGCTGAGCAGCGTTTTTTTTAAGAATGGAAAGTTGCAAATTACTCCTTCGACAAAATTTATTATCCAAATTATTTTCGGATAAATGTTTTTGATAAAAGTTTTGAAATCAAGCTATCTATTTCTTTCATAAATGCGTTCCCAGTGAACATCTTTGAATTAATCTGCCTACTCAATATCATAGTCTTTGGCTGACAATAGACCATTTTACAGTTATGTACTTGGTTGCCAAGCCTTTGATTTGGAGTGAGGCTGAAGGTGACCTTGTTGTGATAGAGACCAGTATCTAGTTAGCATAACAGCAAGGCAATTTACATTTAAAAACTAGCAATGAATGGCCTCTCAGATGTTTTCTCATCGCCCTGGGTAAACTAGATTAAAAATTTACTTGCCTTTCGTGTGAGGGTATTGTCTTTCATGTCAGTCATGTCATGGAATTTGGGTGCTGCAAAGTAAATGTTGCAAAGTAATCAACCCAACATTGACGCACACTAAGAATGGCATTGAGAAAGAACTAGAGTGTTTGTTTTGGAAGGGCAAGTTTCGCTGACTCTGGTGGAAATTACGTAAAGCATTTACATAAAGCATATTTGAAAAGTAATCTTGTTTTTGTCTCACAATTGCTTATTCTTGGATGTCTTGTTCCAGATCGCACTTTCTTATGGTTTTTTCCCCACATATCCTAACTAATTAGTGCCCAGGTTTTAATAAGCCTCCTTCCTCGAATAGGCACCCACCCCCTAATGATATTTCACAATAGCCGTTTGGCACTAAGGTGTATTCATAAAGAGTGATTCGTTTCTCTCGGACTTTGTCTCATTACCCTGGGGTAACTTAAACCGAACACGTATTTTGAAAATTAATTGGTTGGTTGTTTTAGGTGCAGTTTTAGCATGCGATGGATACTCTATTCCGAATGTTTAAAACAAGAAGCGAAACGACCCGATACGTTCACCACTCCCACTAAGAATCATAAATAGGACAAAAAAGAACAACACTTCTGAATATACGATGTTGTTTGATGTTTTGACGGCAAAATTCGATTAAAAAAGATAAAGAACGTACACGCCTTTCAAATAATAGCTTGATTGTTTCGTGGTCCAGCACGTTCGTCCAGTGTCATACATTGTGTAATGATATTTCTCACGCATTCTGATGTCATAATAAATGACTTTAACAGTATTGCAATATCGCAGATAAGCCATACAGTCCCGAGAACAAAACAACTATGAGAGCTGACAAGCTCAGTGAACTTACCTATCACTTGCACAGACCCTGAAACACCCCATCATTACTTCTGCCGCCTTCTCCAACATTTCTCCAGGTTTGCCCTGTCCCCTTCTTACTTGCTGCTCCTTTGCTTGTCAAAATCATCAATTATAATTCCAATATTATTAATTATTTTTAAAATGACAAAACACGATAACTTTTGAAAGACATGGTTTGGCATCACTTATGCCATCAAGCCCCATACTCATATATTATTTTCTGTAAGCTGAAAACATGGGCCTAGTGAGTGGTTAAAGTGGTATATGGATAATTAAAAGTCACTGACAATGAAACAGATCTGAAAAAGTTGTTTCAGCTTTTTTTTTTAAGATAAAAATTACCTTTTAACCAGTAAAACTGTAAATACAATCAAATCCTGAAGTCAGAGATTCTTTTTGAATATAGAGACATATTCTTTGGAACTAAATACCTAATTAAGAATTGAAGTGAAAAAATTCCTTCTAAACACTACATATTTTAAACAGTTGTACCTGCATGGCAAAAAGTCTCAGATCTACTGTGACAACATTCATTAGTGGCAATGCCCTAGTGAATAATAAAGAATAATATCACCAGAGACAGAATAAAGATTACATGCCCTTGTCAAATGAGGTGGCATTGGTAAAAGCAAAACATAGCATCCATAATTATTCAGGCTTTTCTCTGCCCTGAAGTACACATGGATACCAGCAGGCAGACAGATTAGGGGAACTTTATGAAATCCTCAAGGTTTACCCATTCACCTCCAAGATCTCATTGGTAATTCTCCTTACTGTCTGCCATACAATTTCTATGATATTGGTTTAGAGAATTTGATATTAGTTCAAAAAATGATCCCCTAATTGATAATTTTCTTTATTCTCATCACTTGTCTGCTTGATCATCATGATATTGTATTGATATGGTAAGGAGAAATTCTGTCTCCGTCACCTTTTAGAACCAGGATAAACTAAACAATTACAAGTCTTTAAGCACACAAGAGTTACCTTCTGTGTTCAACTCTGAGAGATAGTGCTTACAGAAAACTACAAGATGACTGAAGCCTTTTCCTTTCTACTTCACTGCATTGTAATTGCCTGATGTTATTACAGTGTATAGAACATGTTCTTACATAGAAAAAGACTGAGCTGTGTCACATCTCCACTTTCAGTTAATAACAAGGATGTTCAGGATTTCTATCTGGTGGCTGGTTAGGCATTAAATTTTATCTGAATCATTTCTAATAGTTAATTAATTTGTAGGATTACTTGTTAATAAACATACTGGTCAGTTTTAATCTTTTTGACTCTGAAAAGTACAGGTGAAAGACTTTCTATTTGTTAAGGCAAAAGATGATTGGATAATAAGCAAACAGTTGACATGTAGAAAAAAAAAGTTTCAGTAGGCATACACAGAGTTTTTTCAACCAAAAACATATTGGATGTTGTTATGACTTAAGGTTCTTTTCACAATACTTTTCTTGTACTGGGTTAACAATGCAATATGTTTCTTTGATTGATTTTCATAGTACCATTGCTGAGGGATCAGTAACCCAACCGCCGATCAAAGAATCATCATAAGGGACTTGTCAGAAATTAGCAGGGGGGGGGGGGGGGTGGGAATTTTAAATTTGGGTTCGGAAATTAGGTGACCCATCCCTGCAATGGGAGTGAAATTTGCTAACCCTCCCCTTGAGCTTGGCCTAAAATATCATGACCCTCCCCCTCTTGTATAAATGATAAAATCTAGTTCTTGCAATACACTAGGGTGCGTCAGTATTATGAAAACTCAAAATATATTTCTAATCTGTTCTTTGTCATGCTACATACATACTTGCTATAGTACTTCACAGTTTATATCTATAACGTTCCTTAAACCGTTGTATTTTTCTCTTTTTTTGCCAAATAAAGAACTTCCTTTTTCTTCTGTGGATGAACCTCTACATGATCACGGGCGTATATTTGCATGACCCTCCCCCTTTTAACTGCCCATTTTTCATGACCCCTCCCTTTTCTGAGGCTCAAAAAGTTGTGACCCCCCCCCCCCCCCCTGCTAATTTCTGACAAGTCCCTAAACTAACACTAGGCCAGTTTTGCATAAATCATTAAGTCATTACAAAATAATACAAACTTGCACATAAACAAATGAATTCTTAGAATATTAGAAAATTGACATTGCTGCCAATTATTAAAACAAATTATTTCTGGACTACTGCAGTTGGAAAAATTGTGAGGGAACAAAGATTTGTGTCACAGCTAATCAAGAACTGTCCCCTCCAAAACTTCCAAAACCATCTAACAAGAATTTTTTGTATTTTAGGTTTTCAAAAAAGATATTGGACAACAACTGCTTGGGCAGATCATGCTTCAACATAATCACCATTGGCCACAGCCCAAAGAGCTCTGCAAAAAAAACAATGTAAATAGAAGAATATCTAGATTAGTTTCCTCCCACATAAAAACAACAAGCCCATGACACCTATATATCTATTTGGATGGCATAGTTTACCTGAGATGATATGCTACCATTTCATCATATGGTGGTTCAAACCATCTTTCACATTGCAGCTGTGCATCCGGTAACTGCCAAAAATACAAACCAACTAAACCTGATACAATGAAATGGTAAGTTGGTTAAAAAAAAGTTAGGTTTCAGCTGCTTCAAAATGCCAAGAAATTCTGAAACAATGGGAAAACATACCCTTAAAAACTAGTTCCTTTCATAGTTGAAGATAAAACAACTAAACAGCGATGTAGTCTCAAAAACACTAGCAGGAACAGGGAATTTCATCTCTCTTCTTGTATCAGGCATACACTCCCTGCGAAGGCCTGATTGGAAATATTTCACTCAAAGTCATGACATACAAACCTTATTATGCTCAGTTTATACATCATGACAGAGAGCAAAATATTTTCCTATCACACAACCCATATCTCAGTCAGTAGGCATTTTATCATGTGTCTGTCCTTCTCTCTCTCTTTCTTCCTATCCTCTTGCTTTTTTCCCTTCGGCTTATCTTGCACAGAGCTTGTCCCAGCCCTATTAACCCCATTGCACAAAGCCGTCACACAAGGATCTTTTCATAACCTTTTTCAATAAAAGCGCACGCAGGACTGTCTGCATAATATGACAATTAACAAGTATTGACCATAGTGGAGGTGGCTAAAGGTGGATATTTACCCAGCCAAGAAGGAGGAAGGAAAATATTTTACCTAAGCCACCAATACTGAAATGAAGAATTGTTTAAGTATACACTAAAACAGTGAGATAATATAGCACAAAAAGATCACTTTCACTCATTCATTCCTGCAACAGTTACAAAAATTTCAACTCAAATCCCACATGCATTGATTGAAGGTGAAAGGTAAAGGATATTTGGAATTTGAGTGCCAATTATAGCATACCTTCAAGGCTATCCACTATTCTATTATATACTTATACAAATTATCCCCAAAGTAAGTAATCTGTAATAGTTTTACCTGCAGTCTTGGACTTGCTATGTGTGGATGACGACTTGCTATGTGTGGATGACGAAAGGAAAGTAGTTCCTACAAGTACATAAATATTTGAAAATGTTTAAATATCATTAAACATCATAATGAGCATAGGCAAAATATTCACTGGTACAATTGATTGCAAGAGTCAGTAAAAAGGAAAAGTTGCTTCCTATTTCTTTGATATCTTATGCTCAATTTTTATTTTCTTTAAATAAATCAAGTTTTCATTTATAAACTGGCATCTGTGAATTGATACATAACTTTACAGCAAGGGCAACAATATACACTTGGTGTATGGTCCAGAGGGAAACAGTTGGTCTTGTTTTTCCAAGAGTCTTAATGTTTAAAAATACAAAACTATCAACGAAATCGCTTCCTGACCTGATCTAAATACTTTCCAAGACTCATATGCGCCATCTTGGAATTCTCGTCCCCTAACGCATGCGCTTCTTAATTTCCGCTGATTTTACCCTTTGGCGGGAAGTCTGCGCCGTCAAAAAGAATGCCAGCTAGAAAAAAAGGCAGCAAGAAAAGTAATAGGCCCTGGGCCCCCGGAGTGCCTATCTTAAAGTGAGACTTTTTTTGGGAAAAAAATTACTCTATGTCAGATCGCTGCATTAGGGTATGTATCTTGCACAAATCAGATCGCCTCAGATCGCCTATGTATGTAGAACAGATCAGATCACAGCCCTGAGGCCCCTAGAGTGCCTGTTTTTGAAAGTAAATTTTAAATTTTTTAATATTTCAATAGCTTTATGTAAGCACATAGAGTGGTATGTTACTTGCACCATAGGAGTATGTTTCCACCAATCAGAGCGTCAGGGTGTTGTCTTTCATGCCAATAATGTCGTGGTATTTGGCTGCCGCAAAGTAAATGTTGCAAAGTAATCAACCCAACATTAACACACACTAAGAATGGTACTGACAAAGAGCTTTGATCCCATCTACCCAGTTAAATGGATCATGTCCTTCGTGAAGACCTCGTCGCTTAGATCTGTCGAAATTAGAAAGATCTGCAGGGAATGTTTTACCATTGAGAAGTTGACGCGTGTTTTGTGTACCGTTCCTTCATGTACTTACAACGCACACATCGACAGCTAAAGGCCTAACACGAAATCATCACTGAAGTGTTTGTTTTGGAAAGGAAAATTTTGCTGACTCTGGTGAAAATCGCACAAAGCATTTACATAATGCATATTTGAAGAGTAATCTTGTTTTTGCCTTATGGTTGGTTTTTTACAAAGATTGAAAAGATCAACCGGCAGTATTTACGTTCTGCGTCGACTGCCATGTTGCATATCCGTCTCTTTGCTTTAAATATTCTTTACGATTTACTTCTTGTATTTAAACGGTATATTCTCGATTCAATTACGTGTTTGGTTGTCACATTGACTGCTTAGGCTTTCTCCGATGAAAAGACATTTGCCAGTAATCAACTTAAATTTACGACACATTGTGTATGACAACGGTATTGCAAAGGTCATGGGTTCAAATCCCGTACAGGCCCGAATTTTTTCTTCTGGTCTTATTTTCACTACTTCTTGAGTGGTTTTCATCACTGTAGAGATCGCTTTCAGATTTATTCCTTAATCCGCAGCTCCCATATACGATTGTAACATATTCATAGTAATGGCATTACTTTGTTGTCTTTGTAAGAAGTGCTCGGTCAAAATTCTAGCCAGTCCTTGAAATAATGAATATTTCTGTGATGCGTTTGATAACTGTTGACTTTCATGTCAATATCACGAACTCTATCTTACACTCTGGTCACGGGAAAAAGCGGTTGAAAATTGCAATTTTTTCTCTCCTTTCCTTAAAAACGCTGCTTTGGTACAAATTAAAATCCGAATTATGCAATACTAAACACACCCTTAGGGTGAGATCACATCCATCACATCGCCTAAAAAAAGCTCTTTTTTCATAAAAAAATAAAAATGCCAACCTTTTGCAGCAAACTTCTTTTATTTGACTCATCTCTAATGACTTAAAGTGCTGAGCTGAATTGACAAAATCTTATTTTGCTAACTTTTCATCAATCAAAAGATAACATTAAGGCCAAAAACTAAAAAAACAAATGAACAAAAGAAAAAATCTGGTAGGAAATGCAAGCGAAGAGCCAGGTCAGATTGGTCATCTCATTTCTTGCGGAGGCTCTGCACTCGGTCGTTCATGGGGAAACCCATGGCTTCTGGACTTTCATACCACTTGCCTGGCTCCAGTAGCGCTTGCAAGCCCTGATAGTTGGTTTTGTTGTAGGCTGCAAACCTCTCGTTCTTGGATAGCACGATGATAGAGGAGACTCCCCCAGTTGGGAAAAAGGGGTTCAGATCTGCGCCACTTTCTTTAAACCACTGCACTAAATTGTGGAAAGAATAGAACCCAGATAAAGGAGAAACATCTCTCAAACGAAATAATTTTGTACTAGCATCTAACCTCTAAGACACTAAGTAAAAGAATAAGCTCGTTTGCAGGAGTGTCTTTTGAGAAAAGTTTTAAATCTGGTTAAACTCCTCATTTGACATGAATTTTCGAAATCCACTAAATATTCTTCCAGGAACTGCGAAGGGAGATCTGGCACGAACCAGAGCTATGACGAAGGGAAAGACAGGGGTATGTGGACAAAATAATCAGTTATACTCTTACAACAATCGGATCGCTTTTCAATACCTCTTGCGCCCTTAGATCAAGTGTCTGCATGATGTATAGATGATCTGTTTGTGATTCCTTATGAATATGAATCCATGTGGAAACAAGCTATCTTATTGGCCTCCGTCTAAGTGACTTTGAAGATTATTTATCGGAAATAATCTACTTTTTAGAAAAATGATTCCAGGCCCGAGTTCACTCACGGCCAATTTCCAACCAAAATGACTAAAAATCCTTGTTCAAAATTAAGAAAATGCATTTCATAGATCAGAACTGCGCATGTCACAGGGAAGTAAAAAAACTTAATTAGGCCCCTAAGACATAGTCAAAAGAGCTTAAAAAAAAAGATTGACACGCTTCACCATACCTACATAACATCATTGTGGCTGACAACTGGCGCTTCACGAGGAGGTAGTCCTCAAAGACCAATCCGCAACAAGATGTTGCACGATAGTTTAACAGCAAAATTTTTTCAATTTTGAGAAGATTAAAAACGCTTGCGAGTTTCACCTCTTTGCATACCTTTAAATAGAATATATCAGCTTGACTCTTTTGTGGTTTCACGGTAGCATTCCAGCTCGTACTCTCTTGTGTTTTTTTAACATTTTTAAAAAAAATGTGTCCACGCCCTAACAATATTTCACAATAGAAATTGATCGGTTGTTTTAGGTGTATTTTTAGCATGCGATGGATGCTTTAGTCTAAATGTAAACAAGAAGTGAAACAACCCGATATGTTCACCCCTCCCACTAAGAATCCTTGAACAAAAAAGAAGAACACTTCTGAATATACGATGCTGCTTAATGTTTTAACGGCAAAATTCGATTTAGAAAAGACAAATCACGCACACGCCTTTCAAATCCTAGATTGATTGTTTTGTGGTTTCACGATAGCATTTCAGCGCGTCCTAGCGTCACACCTTATCTAGTGACATTTCGCAAGAGCCATTTAGCAATGGGGCTAATTTCAAAAGAATTACTTCTCAGACGTTTTCTCATTACCCAGGGTGAAACTAGAATGACAAATTATTTTGAGACATGCCTTGTTGCTTCATGTGTAGTTTTAGCATGCAATGGATACTTCAGTCTGAATGCAGGCAAGAAATGGACAACCCGTACGTTCACCGCTCCCACTTAGAATCATAGAATAAAAAAGTGTCTGACAACTGGCGATTAAAAAAATATTCCTCAAACAGTAATTCTAAATACAGAATGGCTCGATTACGCGGATAAGTGATAAACGTGACCCTGCCTAAATCAAAATGTATCCCCCTTAGGATACAAGCTTGAAATTCTGTCTAAATACAGTGTAGTACATGTAGTATGTATTCCAAGCGGCTTACATTCATTAAATTTGATCAATGTTCAGATTTTTCACGTGATCAAAACGTGGCTATACTCTTTTCTCTAAAACTCGAGGCGATTCTAGACTCTGAACATTCTAAACAGCTCAAAGCTAAAAATCAGCGACTTTCATTAAGTCACGATTGTTATTAGGGAACGCTCGTCAAAGATGTCATTGATTAAGCAGAAGAAATAAGAAGTTCAGTAGAATCATTGTAGGTCGAGCTTTTTTCAGTAGTCTTTTCAAAGAGTAAACGCTAGTGAGGGAGTTCTGAAGTACATGTTGCTGATGAAGGTAAAATTGAAGATCTGTGCGGCGAATTTTGATAATTCCTTAGCATACGTCCATTGATTTTCGACCACCACTTATAAATCGTTTTGTTCACTTCGGTATTAAGATGTAACCGTTGTGATGAAAGGAGAATTTTGACAATTGCCCCAGAGCATTGCAAAATTACCTGCCGTTTACATGAGAGCTTTCTTGATACAAAAACAATTTTATTATCTCACTAACCAGACGTAGGAAGTAAGAGAACTAGATCATAGGGTCTCAATTTAATAAGGGGCACTCAAACAGTAATATGGCCGATGTCTATTTGTTTGTCAACGAAATTACCTTTTAGTGCTAATTTATACTAAAACTGAAATTCTTTGAGATTAAAAACTTGTCGTAGCCCACCCAAACGCTTTAGTAGTTTCATCAGCTGCAGTCGCCATTCGGAGAAATTGATAAGTTGTTGGTTTGTCTATCAGCAATTTTCCCGTCCAAAAAGAAAACAATGGATAAATAGTATGTATATATATATATATATATGGACCCTTGACTAGCATCCTATTATAATGGGATTTGATTCTGGTAAAAAGTGGCTCTTTGCCGCACTGTATATAGAAACACCGAAATAACAGATGTTTCTATATGTGCCTTTAATTGCTTTTTCATAAAAGAGGCACCCAAAGATTCCCGGGAAAAATAAAATTTTTTGACCCAATAGAAAATTTCCTAATGCATTTTGAATGAGTAAGTCTTTATGCGACTGTTAGTTAGGAAATTAGGCTTCAGTAATCCTTGCTGCCATTTTCCGTTGCAAGAACAGAAACCTACAAGAAAAGGGACACGCCGAAGACAGAATTATGTCGACAACAAATTTCAGTAGCGGTAGAAGTCGCACGGAATCATTTAAAGAACTGCTATGCTCTCCCTCTTTGGTGGGTGGACTTCAACAACAACTATCAATTTGCTTCGTAGCGGTTGACATTCTCCTCTCCATTACAGCATTTGCTGCAAATTCTCTTATCCTTGTTGCCCTTCACAAGAAATCTTGCCTGCATCCGCAGTCAAAACTCCTGTATCGTTGTCTGGCAACCACTGATCTGTTGGTTGGTCTTATTGCTCAGCCTCTCGATGCTCTATGTTGGATATCCGTGGTTAAGGAACACTGGAGC